AAGGACAATGAGCCTGTTGCGGAATCAACAGCAGATCAATCAAACCTCAGGGTTTGTTTGACTTGTTCTCTCGGGAGGGTTGGATGATTAATGAGGTGGATCAGAGGCTGGCAAGGACAAGGATAAATTGACCGGTCATTACCAGTCTCACAAATGGACAGCCGTAAGGAGAGTGTGCACTGAGGAGAGAGAAAGATTGATTTGTATATTACTCTTTATCCTAAATATATTTCAGTATATTTTTAGATAAGATATTGTTAATTTAGATAATAAATTCAACAAGCAATGACAATGTTGTCAGAGTCACAGTCACTGGTTCAGCAATTAAAGATAACTGTTAATATGTCAGATAATAGAGTCAACGTCCCTCACAGCTGCACATAGTCCAAGTTAGTTTTGTCCGACCTACATTTAAAAACCTCTTAGTGCTCCATTTACTGTTGGAGCTGAAAATGATTGTTTTTAAGAGGATGGAACCTGTTGCTTGACAACTTCATTAAAATAATTGCTGTCAATGATTTGTTTTGGTGTATCAACAATTGTTCACTGTCAAACATTCTGAAATGACATGAAATATTGTGGACCTTTTTAAAAGGAGCTGTTCCTGGAGCTGAGTCTGGGTCGGGAACCTGTATGTGATATTGGCCTATAAAAAGAGTTGACCTGACTCGGCAACATCATTCGCTTCAATTTCACACGGTTCATGTTCACAAATGAACTGCTCTAACAGACAAACACTTAATGAGCCATTACTCCCGTCCCGGCCTCTTACTGTCATTGAGTGCATCCATTTCACACTCATCCATTCAGACACAGCAATGGGTGAGCTGCAGTCAACCAGCTATTAGCCTCCCTTGTTAGAACTCTGGGAAGACTTTTTGACGTATTGGCAGGGTCGGGTCTCCCCGTCCCCTTGAGAATGGCCATTATCGCCGTTATGGCATTTCTCCAAGTCTCTCCTCAAAGTGGAGGGTGTGGAAAATGAGAATGTTTCTCATAAATGGTGTTTTGGCAGCTCGCCCCAGCCAGGCAACATATAACAATACTGAAGAATTAGCTGTAAACAGAAACATCTGTGAGCAATGACACTGAATGCAAGATTAAAAGTGTATTGGCTCCATTGGTTTCGGTTGTTCGGGGCTCAGGGATGAGAAGGATCACCTCAGATTGTTTGCTCATTTGTGAGAGTGGGATTTATGCTTATAAGATAAACATACTAAACACATGTGGTTCTTTCTTAGGTGGGCATGTTATGGTGTGGAATTTAAATGTTTTTTTAAACGTCCGCTGCATTTCTCCATCGAGGATACCCTTCCTCCTTCCCTCGAGGCTCCCAGCTGTTGGGAGTTTTCCTCTGTGCGATGTGACAAGCCGTGTTCACAGGACGTCCGCAGGATGACGGAGGGAGGTGATGGGGGTGAAGAAGCGGAGCCAGCTGCGGGGGTAATGTGAGGAGTCTGGGCTCAAGCAAACTGTAATTAGAAGTATGGATGCCTTAACCTGTTTGGAGAAACTGGGGAGAGCAGCTCGTTGGGGCCCCTTGTTCCCCCCCGGTACCCATTAAGAATACACACAGCCCACATGGCCGCTTACTTGTCAGGATAAACCCAGATAACAACTTTTCCTCCTGTTCCTTCGTATTCCTGGTCTTCCTATTAAGACCATTCAATTAAAACCAATGACTTGGACCAATCAACGCAGCTCTAACTGCTGAAGTAGCACCTATTTCCTGGCGCTGTGTGTTTTCCAGCCCGCGGCGGTCAGTCTCATTGAGCGTCATTCATTGGTCGACATGAGGCGCTTGGACAAACAGGACCGTCATGGAGCGCGAAGTGGCCGCTGTGGCCCGATGTGTCCGAGCAGCGTGAAGTGCTGGGGGCGGCACACAGGATGGAGCTCAGCGGTGGGCTTGTCCTGGGCCTCGCGCCGGCGGGCCGGAAGAGCGGGGGGACGTGGTTCACTGCGATTCTGAAAAGGCCCCTGAGAGTCCAGCGTGATGGACACTGGACACTGCACACACTAGCTCTTTGTATCCGGCTTTCTTGGACTCTTCATTTTTTCTGTCCCTCACACAATGTCATAAATGCACACACTCACACACACAGACACACACACAAGCGTCTTTTTCCCCCTCCCTCCTCGTGACCCTGATGTGGCAAATGTAGCCTCTGCTTTTAAGGCCCGGCATTGTCATCACCAACAGTGGCTGACTGTCCTGCTCTTATTGGCGTACTGTAGAGATGAGATGGGGAGTGGAGATCCTACTTTGTGGTAAGTCCAACCAGCAGCATTAGTCAGGGGCTGGGAGCATGTGAGCAAGTCATCACAGGGAAAAGGCCCAACGTGATTTTCATTTGCGTGTGTGAGGGCTCCACTCGGAAAAAAGCCAGCGGGATCCATTCAGAGTCGCCGGCTCCGACTGTTATTGTCCCCTGTGCAGGAGGGTGATTTGAACTAAAGTCGCCCCGCCCGATATTAAAATCCCACGCGGTACACTCTGTTCTTTGTGGTAGATTTACTGATGCTGCAGCTGTTTTTCATAACTCTACAATGGACATCACAACTTTCGGTGTGAAATTTTGTCAATAAAATTGCATAATCCATCGTCGTTTTTTGTAACTGGATGAATCCAAATGATCTAAATAATCTCAATAGAGATGTATAATTGCCAAATGAAAGTTTTTTTTTCATATTTTTTTATTTTTGGGGGATTTTCCCAAAACGCTGATATATTCCTTTTACCTCCAACAAAAAAAAGAAGGGAAGTGCACAAAGCTGATGAGCTCAAGAGCGGATCCTGAAACATGAGGACGGCAGATTTAGTGGGAAGGAGTTTATTGAGGGTGAAGGATGGCGTAATATCTCACAGACCCAACGTTTTCCACCAATATTCACCTCATTGTGAATTTATCACTCGGAGAGCAATGATTCTACTCTGGTGCCGACCGCCGCCCCCGTGGTGCTGCTTAAATGTGCATTTTGGGCTTTGACAGCTTCCCTCTCTGCTGACGTCCTACTAAAGCTTTCACACATGCGCTTTGTGAACAGAGCAGGTGAAGCTGCTGCTGGTTGAACCCCGTCTGTGAGTCTTTCCTCAAACATAACAGAGTTCTGCTAACAGGCCGACGTGTTCAGCCCAGCGGTTGAAAAAACCCCTGAATAACATGCATGATGCGTGTTATTGAGGACAGAAACTAGGAAGTGACACATGGTTCATCCATTGAGGGAGAGAGAGGTCTGATGTGTCAATATTCTATTCTCTGTCCGCGGGGACGGATGTTTTAAAAGCAAGCCACCACTGTGGAATGGACACTAATCAAACAGATGGCTTATAGATCGAAGTATGTTGTCTCTTCCTAAGTGCTCCGAGTTAGACGAGGATGACAGATGCAAACATGTCGGTCTGACCTTGCCTGTGAGCGGCTCCAGGGGAGGGCGGTGCAGCGGTCAGCGTGGCATTTTAAAGCTTTTCACATACGTTTTTTGTTTTTTTAGCTGCAGCCATCCCAGTCCGTGATGGTTTTTACTCGTTTTCAGATCTAGATCTCGCGGCTGACGGACAGATATCATGGCGTCCAGCAGCATTCTATCAACTTATGCACAAATGATTAGATGGGACTCATATCAAGACAGGGTTTGAAGACAAACTGACACATAATGAGTTGGGCAGTCAATGCCGCTTTTCATCTACGACGTGTCCCAGTTGGTAACAATGAAATGAATTGACACTGAACCAGTGGGACGTGTGACTGCCCCTGGCACATTAAACACAAGAGATTTAGTAGCAGGGAGACTTTCATGTGTAGACATTTCTATTCGTCATCAGAGCGCTGGAGCATTTAAGGCAAATATTCAGTCAGCTGCTGGACCGCGACAACCTGACAGGGACATCCACCACTAGCGCTGTATTTGCTTTGCAGCTGGGCTCAATATCCTGTGGAGCTCTGCGCTCTAAACCCCCCCCCCTCCCCACCCTCCCTCAACATGTTCATCAGAGCAATGTGGACTGCGGTAGAAGTTAGCAACTCTGCTGTGGGCTCGCTCGTCGAGTTGTGGTTAACATGCTGCCATGGCAACTCCTATTCACCCACCACGGGACAAAAAATGTTTTATCTCCCTGTGCTACACAAACAGTCCCGGTGAAGCGTCTGAGTGCACAAGTGTGGAGCCAGCAGCGGTATATCTGCTTTGATTTCCTTTTGTTAAGGCAAAGAGCACAAACACAGATGAACTTTCAGGACCCCCGTCTCATGGATGAAGCAAGCAGGTCAATTTGTTGGTCTGTCTGTCCTCAGGAAAAGTGTTGAGATAATGACAGCCTGGCGTTTTCCATTTCCTACCACATACAAGGAACAGCAGAGATAAAAAAATAAAGAAAAAGAGTCATCGTTAATGTAAAATATAAATGAAAGCAGCTTTAGAAACGTTAGTTTTCGTGCGACGTTAGGCCTATGCGAGGTCTCTGCGGAGCATAAACAACGGCCTGGATGTCCTATGACTCAACAACGTCCTGTCGGACACATGTGGGTCTGATTGGAGGCACGCTGCGGTTTGTTTTTGCGTGCATCCACAGACACGGCGCTGTGGCGACTGGCTCCATTTCGCGAGGCATAAGACCACAGCGTGGACGAGGCAGATCCATCTGGGTCACTTCATTCCCTCGTTGCAATCTGCCATTGATTTCCGTTGCAGCCTGGCGGACGTCCACCGCTCTGACCTGCCGGATGGCCGTCAGTGCCCTCAGCGTGGGGCGATGAATCGTTTGGCGAATGCAGACTGGTGGTTTACGCAGCTGCAGTCCTGAAAGGAAACATCTTTTCTGGAAACTTATCCTGAAACAGACCTTTTTCTGCTCTTTATTCCCTCACTTCCTTTTGTTCTTGAGAGTACAAATGAAAATCCTTTGTTGCGGTTCTTTATTGAGTCCTGACAGATAACTTGCCCGCCTGCAAGTTTATCACAAACCCGTTTGACCCTGTTTGTCTGTCTCTTTTCTACAGGCTGCTTCGAGTGCTGCATCAAATGTTTGGGCGGGGTGCCGTATGCGTCGCTGGTGGCGACCATCCTCTGCTTCTCCGGCGTCGCCCTGTTCTGTGGGTGCGGCCACGTGGCTCTCACCGGCACCCTGACCATCCTGGAGACCCACTTCTCCACGGTCACCAGTGATCACGCCATGCTGACTGACGTGTAAGTGGACCCCCGGTACGGTGGCGTGCGGACGGTTACCAAATGTCACAGTGGGATCCTGTTACACAATTCACTCAGAGAACCACAACAAAGAGAGGTTTAAGAGTGAGATAGATCCCTCTTTTAATGGGGTTGACATTATGTAGGCTATTTTTAGCTGACCGCTTCTCCCACAGTCACCTCATCCTGGAGAACAGTCCTAATATGGCTCTTTTTTATTTTATATTTAAGTGGATCCATCAGTCGGGACAATAAAAAAAAAAGGAGTTACAAGGGAGAGGACTGCACATATGTTTTACGTTGCCGTAAAGTACACTGTTTAATTTAAGATGTCTGCTGGGGAAGTCTATCTCCTGGCAGATACATGCATCAGCTGTTATCTGCATGTTTGGGCTTAGCCTCTCTCTTCCATGGACGCCGGTTCGCTGTCTTAATCATGAGCCTCTGTTTATGATTAGTAAGCTGGCCCAGGTTTACTCATGTTTTAAAGGCTGAATGCATGTTATAAATTATTTCAAACAGATATTTCGATATTACCTCGTACGTTGCAGCGGGTCTCAGTTGGTGTTAGCTCTCTATTTTTGCTGACTTTGTTTTTAACCCATTGCAGCTTTACAGGCAAAGCTCATGTGTGACATTGCTCTCTAACAGAATACAGCTGATGCAGTATGTCATCTACGGCATCGCTTCGTTTTTCTTCCTGTACGGGATCATCCTGCTGGCGGAGGGCTTCTACACAACCAGTGCAGTCAAAGAACTGCACAGCGAGTTCAAGACCACCATCTGTGGACGCTGCATCAGTGGAATGGTGCGTCGTTGCAACCACACTGCCGTCGCCCACCGAATTTGGAAACACAGACTACATGAAAAAAAGTGTTCATTTTAAAATATAGCAGCAATAACACCGTGTCGTGTTTGTGCGTCCTCAGTTTGTGTTCCTCACATACATCCTGGGCGTGGCCTGGCTCGGCGTGTTCGGCTTCTCCGCCGTGCCGGTCTTCCTCTTCTACAACATGTGGTCTTCCTGTGCCACCATGAGGTCTCCCACGGTCAACCTCACCGACGTCAACTCCATCTGCGTGGATGTCCGTCAGTATGGTAAACGCTCTCTCTTACCTCTTTTATCAGTGATGTCACTGAAAACAGCGATGTCCACTTCTAAGCCCTCACTCCCCCCTGTTGCATGTCAGCCAGGTGTGACAGGTTAAATATCCTCCCCCCGACTCCCCCGTTGTTTTTATTTAAATAATTGTTCAATCACAGGCAGCCGCCATCTAATCATTTAGTCATGTCTGAAACACTGGATCCTACACTTGCTGGAATGCATCCTGACTTCAGTGGATTTCCATTAGAATAAAGAATGATCCTAATGTATACGATTGGTTGAGTCCCGCCTGTTTTTCATTATCATCAGATATTTAGCATGTAAAAAACTAATAATAAAATGAGAATTTCACGGCTACAGGAATTATCCCATGGAACGCCGTGCCTGGCAAGGCCTGTGGATCAACGCTAGGGGACATCTGTGCAACCAGCGAGGTAAGAGGCCGTTTTTATAACCAAACACATTCTCACGAGCGGCCACAGGTACCTCAGAAAATGATGGCAGCGGTACTTATAAGGGAAATTGTGTTTTCATTATTTCTTGTTGCAGTTCTACCTGTCTTATCACCTATACATCGTAGCGTGCGCCGGCGCAGGAGCCACTGTGATCGCTCTGGTAAGCTTCCCTCCGGTCTCTTCATCCTCTCCTTAAAGTCCATCTCTGCACGGTTTGTATCGCCAGATCATGAGTCAAGTGCTCCTCTTCTCATTCCCAAACCAAGGACGATTACGCACAGGCTTTTCCTCAGCTCCCATTTTTGTGCTGTAAAAAAAATCACAAACAATAGTTTGAAGCTCGAATCACGAATATGTTTTTTGTAAAATGATACTTTAATTTTTAAAGCTGGAATATAATATGGTCATTTCACTGACTTGGAGGAATAGTGACACGGTGGTCACCGGCATGTTCTCTTACAACCTTTTCTGTTCTCTTCCACCAGCTGATCTACATGATGGCTACCACTTATAACTTTGCTGTTTTGAAGTTTAAAAGTCGAGAAGACTGCTGCACTAAGTTTTAAACTGTTTTACGAGCACAACATTTGAGGCTGTACTCCATAGAGGCAGTTACCACTGACAAGAGTTGAACTAAAAAAACAACAACCTGAAAATAGGAAAACCAACATTTCTCCATTAGTAATCACATGAAGTTTAAATAGCTCAGTGTAGGCCTCCTTTAGTATTTGATACCCGGGGATATTGATTGTCTGAGGACGACTGACATGGTTTTCCAGATTGGGAGGGTGGGGGTTGTTGGCTGCTTGGTTCTGCTTTCTTTGGCACTCACATATAGGAATTTGTTACCATCACATTTGACAGAAATGTGCACGGCTAGAAATCCAGAACAGTTCTTTTTTTCTTCATATTTCTCATGCTTGCAGCTGATTTTGACCTGCGCAGAACCTCACAGTATTCAGCTTGTAGCCTTACTGGACGAGCATCAGTCAAGCCCCGGCCGTGCAGAAATGCAACATCTTGCAGCACTTCTGGGACTCTGTGTAGGAGTTTTGAACAGGCCGTAAGACACAATCATACATGTGATCCAAGATGAACAAGAGGCCATCAACACTGCACTGAGCCCAAGTCTGATGATAAATATCAAATGGGTTGTCGCGCTTTGTTTTTGAATGGCAGATTTTCAGTTTTGGTCGGGATGTGCCACATCTGAAAAAGGACCAGTTACCGAGGCAACGTGCCTTGTCCTTACCTTCCTTTGGTTTCTCTCCTTAGCCTTACGATGTTGGCACCGACCCGTGAAACCACCAAGTGTTGCACAGAAACAATATTCAGTATTATTTCTTTTGTCACAAGTTAGATTCTTAAACTGAACTAAAACCCTCTCATCAACTGTATTCTGCTGATGAATATGATGGTGATCAGTTGTGTTTTATTGTAGATTTCAAAGTAACACACACCTCGCGCAGCACACTATGAAGGGTTAGGCCAGTACCATCTGCATGAAGCCCTAAGCCGCATTTTAATTTCATGTATTTTATAAATAAATGAGAAGTTATCCTATTTCAGAGTAGAATGAATATGTTTTCTTCCTTGAGGGCTGATGCTGGAAGAGCCTCAGCCATGAAGTTGACGTTTGGGTTCCTACATTTTCCTTTTACGAGCTGTTCGTTATCTTAACACTGAGCCTGCCTGCTTACATTCTTCAGATACTTTGATCTGTTTATAGCTACTTATGCTCCATATTTCATATATTTAATTTTCTGTAGCTTTTACTTTCTATATAAAATAAACAATCTTTGTTTACAAAAGCATTCCCACTTGGTCTATTTCTTATAAATCCTACAGCGAGATGCAATTATAATCAGGGTCAGATTCACAAAATCTCATGCTTTGCACTAACCTCAAGCTTCTGCTGCTTCATACAACTCACACGCCCGACCTGTGGCTCTCTTCCTCTTCACCGATCCTAGCGCCGCAAACGGGTCACCTCTGTAGTATCGTGCGTAGCAAGATAGTAACGTATTGTTTTCAGTCATTTGTCTTTCGTCGTCTTGTGGAGTCTTTTAAGGGACTTGCCTTTATGTTCGCGTACGTCCGTGATGTACACACTGTAGCTGCGACTACTGTAGCTTGCTTTGCATCTTTGACATGCTCACCGGCCATCCACCTCACCCTTCTCTTCCAGATCCACTTCCTCATGATTCTCTCAGCAAACTGGGCCTACCTTAAGGATGCCAGTCAAATGCATGCCTACCAAGACATCAAAATGAAGGAAGAGCGGGAGCTGCAGGACATCACGTCACGCTCAAAGGAATGCCTCAATTCCTACACATAAGGATACACACTCCCAAACCATACGACCACACACACACACACACACACACACACGTTCAAAGACACATTGACACTGCAGCCAACCACTTTGGACCACGACAGCGCTCTGCTTAAATACTCTGCCCACTGCCGTGGCTCCGTGCGCTACTAACCAGGCTCCTAACAAACTAACGCATCGGTGCTGCTTTCTGCACTAACTCACCGAGAAGTGTTTCAGAACTACTACTTACATTTTTGTTCATGCTTTTTATTTTTTCCAAGGATAAACCACAGGTTTGAATTCTTACATTCATGTTAGTGTTTGATTTTTCTCTTACCCTTTTATTTTTTTCAATCAAAGCTTGAGACATTGCACTATTCTTAATGTTGTTTTCCCTTCTTGCTTTGTCTTTTTTATGAGCTGCGGTTTTCAACAAGGGAATGTAACCTTTTTCTTTGCTCTTTAAAAAAAAATGCAGATTAATCATACACAAGATGAAAGGCCTTATATTCAGAGTTGGTGTGTTATGTCCATACAGCATGTAAAAAGAACCATTACATTATAAAGTACTGACACCGGACTGTGTCAAAAGACACTGCTTTAATTCACTCATTCAATCTCATCTTAATGTTGATAATTGGCTCCACGTTCTAATTTCCGCTGTACAGCGAATTAAAAGTCACGCAGAATGTTCATGGCCTCCATGAACACTACCCCAGGTTTGCACCAGAGCCTATGGATCAATTTAACTGGAACAAACACCACTAAAACTATGGTTTTAAATCCCTGACATCATCAAACGCACCGGGAGCTCCTCAACATCACAGTATCTCAGATCTAACCTTTCCAAACAATGCTATCCTTGCTCAATGTAACCGTAGACAATAATCAGACAAAAATGTGTTCAATTAATAAAAAAATGTGGTTCGTGTATGTTCATTCAGGCAAATGAAAAAAAAATCAAGGCAGCTTTTTAGCTCATTATCTATTGTAATAGCTCACCATATACTGTACTATATGATACAAATTGACTTACTTATAAAGCAGGTGTAACTATGTCATTGGTATTATTGAAAAACCTACAGAACTTAAGGTGTGAAAAAAGTTAACTTGTCAGGTTCGTAGGTATTTTTTTGTTATTTTGAAAGATAAAATTAGTTTTGTTCTTCATTTTCCATTATTGCACCGGTTTTTGATGTGAAATTGTCATAATGTTGACATAATTACTCATGTAATCTTCAATTATTTTCTATTAGTTGAGTTACCAGGATAAGTTTACTTGTTGCATGAAGACAACTGTTTCTGCAGTGACACGTGATGTGCGGTCATGTATACTGACATCAGTAGTAGGCAGTGTTTGCCTGTTTCCTTTTTATTCTAAATGCAGTCAAATTAATCCGTTTTATGTATAATTAGTTATAGTGTTTTTATTCTTCAAGTCCCAGGTACATGGGTCTCATATAATGTTTTGCTTCATGGCATAACTGTATTTTCTATGAATGTCAAGGGCTTCTTTGTGACTTACTGATGCTCAACTTTTTATTCAACTTTCAAATCAAAGTGAGTTGCAACACCGGTCATTTATAAAATTGTAGGGTAAATTTATCCAAAGTATAAATGTCATTGTGACTATCTGGGAGATGTCACTGGACAAAACCTGCATAGTTCTCTGCAGGACTAAAAGCCACAGGTGCACAGAGGCTAAGGAGATAGATGTCAGATGTACAACATGGAGCTGATGTGCGTCCCATCTCATCTCCGGATGCTCCGGTGTTTCCTGTTGAATTAACCAAAAACTAAAAGAATAAAGGCTACCTGTCAATCACCAGGAGGACAACAATCCAGCAGCCTGTCTGACTGGAAACCCCTTTACGACATTACCTAACTGGCCTGATGACTGTTTTTATGAAAATAAAAAAATACAAATAAAAAGAAATACTGTTGTGAGGTTGTTTTTTCTTTTGTGTGAAATACATATCTTGTTTTATGGTGTACAGTCAATCCCAGAAAATAATAAAAAACCCAAAATGATTTATTCAAACACAGACACTTGTACAAATTGTAACAAACACACATACCAAAAAGAAAAATCCTAAACTAAACAATTGCTTGTTGAAAACCCCACACGGCTGCAGAGAGTTGTGTAACTCATCGGTGTCCGGAAAAACAAGCAGCTCACCAGAAATCATCGTCATCTTCATCCTTGTGTGAAAATGCTGCAACGCTGGAAACACAATATCAAGTAAATTACTGAAAGCCTTGAGGGACAGAAAGAGGTAAAAAAACAAAATAGTGCATGTTTCAATTAACAAGATAACAGAATTCCAGAACAAAAAACATGAAAAAGAACAATAGTGCTTCAGAAGAGAATTTTGTAGGCTTTTACATTTATTAAACTAGCAACAGATTAGCTTTTGAATTATAAAACTGTGGTTGATATAATTTATAAACAACGCCATGAATCTAGTTACCTGTTATCTTTCTCCTCTGACAAACTCTTAGCCTCTGGGCTCACACGTCCTGCTTCTTCTCTTCCAGGACTCTGAACCACACACACACACACACACACACACACACACACACACACACACACACACACACACACACACACACACACACACACACACACACCACTGCACACGCAGATGGTATAAGACACTGCTTCGAAACAAGAAATCCGAAAAACGACGATATACCATACTCTGCGAAACTCACCTGGGGGGGCTGCTTCTCTCTGGCTTTCAGGACCAGCGCCATGTATATCTCTCATGAACTTTCACTCTCAGGCTTCTCCCCGACAATATCACCCGCGTGTGTCTGCTCTTCATCTCTCTTCTGAAACTGCGTGCCTCTCTCCTCCTCTATCTTCACATCCGAATGCTCCCTCTCGTGCAAAACGCGTTACACATATATAGGGACACATTTTGTTTTACGGAGCGCCCTCTCTTGATAAAGTTCTAACTGAACCTATTGTAGCATAATCACCATCTCTTTCTCCAGTCTCTCAAGTTCTTGCAGCTCCCGCTCTCTGGCTTCCTCTTGCTTCCTTTGCCTTTCCTCTAGTCTCTCCCTTCGCTCTGTTTCCCACCTTTCCTCCTCTTCTTCTTCCATAACAACTTCACCGGATGCTTGTGGGACTTTCATAAAACATACGGAGACGGGAGAGAAAAAAAAATTGTCTGGCCATCGTAACCAGGGGCAATGACACCCGGAGCGGCCACAACATATGAGATATTCATCCGGTTACACTGATGGTGTACAGTAGAAGGTGGCCGTTCTCGTCGTTTGGGGTCAACCGAGTTTAGGGGTCAATGAAAAAAAGGGGGTTGGGGGACTCACCCGCCTGGCCCTGCAAGTCCATTGGGTCTTCTGGGAGGTCCTGTGGGCGGGGGACAGCGGGGCTGTCAGGGGCCTCCACACAGAGAGGGATGGCAGTGTCCAGGAGAAGCTCTGGAATGTGGCCGGGCTCTGGAGGGAGACACGCACAAAGAGATCTTTTATGCTCCACCATAATGCAAAAGGGCCAGAGGACCGGCACAGAATACATAATCAGATGCCCTTCATCTTCACCATTGTGCGAGGCAACTGAAAAGGCACTTTGGAGGCCAAGTCGCACACTCATTAAAAGCAGCCATTCCCAAATCCTAAACCGCCACAGCGGATGTCCTCCATTTTGTTACTGGGATTTCATTCATATAATCGATAATGGTATTCAAGAAAAATAAATGAATAATGATGTATGGCTGTTCCACCCGGGAAACAGTGAAACCTTTGGGCACAACAGAAAATCCCTGCGGTCTTCCAGACAGTAAAACCACATGAAACTGTAGGAAGTGTAGTACGGCAAATTTAACATTCCAGATGGAATCAAATAATTACACTCAAACGCAATTAGGCAAATAAGCAGTTTCCAGTATAAATCTCCCTACCATGTTGCATATGCAGATAGACAACATTATGCAGTTGCAACAATAATGAAAGGAATAAATAAATACTAGTTTAGAGTACCTGACATAACTGCTGTGAGATCATCGAGGCTTATCTTCTCAGGCTGTGGGGAAGAGTCTGAGCTGGAGAACACAGGCTGCAACTTTGGCGGACTGACAGCAACAGGGGTCAAAATGATGGGATTAGTATTCACTGTCTGCACGTGAACAAGTGGTTTCATGTTGCTGGCCAAAGTGAGGCCAGATGGTACCTGGATTGGTCCCGCGTCGTGCTCTTGAGCTGAGGACTGCAAGGTGGACTGAGCTCCGGGGAAAAGTCACCTCGGGGGGCCAAATCGTTGTGGGGGGGGACCCGCCTGTCAAACGACAACTCTGGAAGCGCCATCGGCGACCCGACTGCTTCTGTCCAATTTAAAAGACAGTGTGTCAGGCAAAACCCTTTATTATCAAGATATGCAGTGTATGGACGCTGACGATATGAAACTATTTCACTCTTCATTGCTTGACAGTTAAAAGCGGCTGATGCGTCTTCATCTAAGGGATAAAGCGTCTTCTTTTTAAGGTACCTTCTGCGTTCTCTCTTTGGAGCGTATTGCCGGAGGACGAGTGCGTTGTGGAGGACAGGCGTCTGGGGGGATGGCTGTTTGCGGCCTGGGCTCGTCCGTCTCTTAGATTTTCAGTCAATGAATGGAGACTGTGGTCAGACAACTCTGCAGACCGGGGTTGGTCGGTGTCTCTCAGGAAGGTCACTCTCGGTTGGACGCGTGGCGTGCTTCTTGTGTCGTAAGGAGCAGGGGAGAGTGTTCTGGTAGCACGCGGAGACAGCGGCCTCTGTGAGACCTTGGGTCCGTTCGGCGAGCGGAGGTGCGAACGGCGAGCGGCTTGCTTTCTCAGAGGGGACCCGGGACGGCGGGGAGGACGTGCTCGCTGCGGGGAACGAGGTCCCGGGGGAAGCGTGGGTGAGATGGTGGAGCGCACTGCCCTCTGATGGTAGTTCCTGTAGGCTTCCTCCAGAGTCTCCGCCTCCTCCTGCAGCTCCTGGATCCGAGCTTTTGCTTCTGCCACCAGATCCAGGTCGGAGTCTGGAGAGTCACTCCGAGGCGACTTGCGCCCTCGCAAGGCCCCCCCTGCGTGGCGAAACTCGTCGTAGCCCCCCGTGGCCCTCAGCAGAGCTCTGTCCACATAGATGTCAGGGGGCAGCAGCTGGTCAGCGCTGAGCTCCAGTATGGAGCGATCGACCAGGGACGGCTTGGGGTTGCGCAGCACCTCGTTTTCAAGAGCTGCCATCGTTACATGGATTACACAAAATAAAGGGAAGAAAGGAAGAGGAGAGTTAAACACTGATACAGAAGACCACCCACCATAAAAGAGTACAAATCTAAAAAAAGGGTTGGTAGTTTTACATGAATTTGCAACTTTTTTTAGAGATAATGTTTGAGGTATATGTAATGTAAGTATTACCAAGAAAGAAATGAAGTCAGCTTGATTAATTGTAACATTAATGACTGTCCAGTAAAATGTACCTTGTTGAGTTTGGCGAAGCTGCATCTTTATTTCCTCAATGTGGTTATTCATCCACCGTGACCTCTCCTCGCACTCTATCAACTGAGCCTTCAGCTGAGCCCCCCGCTCCACCTGCAGAACAGTACGTTGGGCGGGGAGTTATTCTTTGCACACACCGTATACGGTCTGTGCATCTCCGGGGGGAAAAAAAAAAACAAATTACACGAGAAGTTCCCCGAGGTGAGCCTAAACCGCGTGTGAAAAATAAGTTAAAAAAAGAAGCTTTGCACATATTTTCCCACACTCGGAGGCTGCTATGTGACTGACCTCGCTCTGGAGCTGTGCCTGAAGCACCTGTTTCTGGTTGTCAAACTCTTCCTCGTCCAGGCTGCGAGCGCTCTGCAGCCTGCGCAGCTCCATCTGCAAGGCCAACTGCTGCTTGGACGGCTTGCCGGAATCTGAGAGAGGGGTTATTATTAAAGTTAAAAAATAAAAAAAAAAGATTGGAAAAATGCCAGTCATCAAAGTTTTTGGATCTGACCAAATGAGAGGACAGGACATGTCCCTGCCTCGTGTTAGTGAGACAAGAGGTGCACTGCTCCCGGCCCCCGGCGCTCAAAACGGGAGGAAAGCCGCGTCCCCTCAGAGAGAGGTAGGCGTTTGGTTCTCAGCCATTCTGTCCTTGCTCCCCTTCACATCCCCACTGTTTTTATGTTTTTTTCAGAGGCCCCACCAGCAGGACTATATTAAAGAAAGACTGAGCCGAGCCAGAAGCCGTGTAAAAGGCTTGAATGCACGAACATGGCAAGAGGACGCCTAACTCTCGGCACATTGGATGTACGAGTCTCACGGGAATCAGTTGTGTATTACTGCAAAAAAAGAAGAACCTTTAATCCAACCCAAGCAAATCCTCACCTGCATGGAGAAGCCGGTTCTCCTCTTGGGCCTCCTCCAGCTGTTTCTTCAGCAGCCGCTGCTGCCCCTGCAGCTCGGCTTTCTCCCCTTTCAAGCTGGCGTAGTCACTCATGGTGTCCAGTCTTTCCCTCAAAAGCTCCTTCTGTTGCGTCAGCAGAGAAATCTGCTGCTGTGCCGTGTCCAGTTCGACCTGGATGAGACGACAAGGAGGAGACACAGGAAGAGCATGCAACATTAAGCCGGAGATCTGGTTCATCTTTTACATTGTGTCCCATCTAATTACTAGTAGGTGATGGTCACTTCCCACGGAATGATTGAAAGTTTGGTCTAAATACAAGCTTTCTGTTATGCAGCATTTAGTGGTTCACGCGACTGTGTCCTGTTACCTGCAGCCGTCTCAGCTCTGAAGACGCTCTGCAGTGCTCCTCTAATTTGCCATCAATTATAGCCGACTCCTTCTGGATACGAACAGTTTCCACTGAGAAAACAAATGAATGGAGGGAATCAAACTGGAACGAGGCCAATGATAATCTTGCAATGATCGAAAATCTCACCTTTGATTCTGTTCTCATTCTCCGTTAGTTTTTCTGTTCTCTTGAGAAATTTATCCTTCAACTCCAGCTGATACCTAATTGTATGCATACATTTGATAATATGAATAATAATGTGCTTTGTAAAACCATGGAAAACCATGCAGCCTTTTCCTATTACAGAAGGATACCGATGAATAAACCAAAGCAGCGGCCATGCAGACAGGTCCTCTATTGCAAGTCACTCCGTAGTCGTAGCAGCTGATAGACGGCCAACCGGTGGTTTAATAACAATTGATGAGGAAACTAACACGGCAACTGACTTTTTAAGACTTTGGGATCTAAATCTAAAAAAAAAATCTGTGCAATTTTGATCGATTAAAAAAAAAAAAGCAATGGCCTGTGAGACTGACAGGTACCATTCAAACAGTTGGTCCAAAACTATTTTTACTGTGGATTTAAAAAAAACAATGACCGTTCTAGGATACCGTTGTTCCTTTAAACCTTCAAAACAGTGACATCCTCTGGTCACAAAATGGCAATAACCCGAACACCTCGACAGATAAAGTGAACTTAGAGAAGAGAGACTCCACGTGTGCTACCAGCTGAATGGGTCTAATTGGTGGTGACGATGTGAGCGAACCTGCTATGACTAATACCTGGAAAGTTCATTCCTCAGCCTTTGGTCGTGTGTTTCCTCCATGGTCTTCACTGCTAGTTCTCTGCTCCTCAGCAGCTCCTCAGCGGTCTTGACCTTGTCCTCGTGGATTTGACATGTCCTATCAACATACAAATACATTTCCATTCTCTGTGCACGAGTATAGTCACAACAAAGTGGCATCGCCTTACTCACATGAATGGTATAAAAGGACTTACTTTTCAAACGCCTCCACTCTCATCCTAAGCTCATTCTCTCTGTTTCGCACAGTTTCAATTTCTTTCAGGACTGATTGTCTCTGCATATACACGTTTTTTTCTTCAATCTAAAAAGAAGAGGAAAATCAAAAGCATTAAATGAGCACTTTAAAATGATACAACATATATTGTGATGTGGAGAGTCTTTTATAAATTAACTTTATAGAAATCCAGATTCGCTCTGGTTTATCTTGAGAGAAAAAAACAAAATACAGCATGGAATTATCAGGAATCTACCTCTTGTTGTTTTTGTAATCGATCAATGGCATTTTTCTCGCGCTCCATCAACGCCTTTGCCTTCATCTCGTAAGTCCTTTCCAAGTCTTGCTTCAGCTTATCAAATTCTTTATGAAACTGTTTTTTTTCTTCCATCCTCACTGTTGCAATTTCAACATCTTTAAAATGTTGCATCTGGAGAAACAAAACACACTATTGAGGCCAGCGGGAATATACAACATGATCACATATCAGAGACTCATAAAACATAAAGCACTTCGTATCATACATTAACATCGTAAAACATTTACAACCGTTTACAACAGTCTTTGTTGCAGATATGAGTATAATGCTATTGTAGAAAAATGAATACTTTCATGGTAAGCAACCTAAGATGCATTTGTGTCTAAGGCTGAGTGAATGTAGCTGTGCAGATGTGCTTCATACAGTTTTGGATTCATTAACGTTGGAGTAAAATGCACAAACCTTTGTGTTCATTTCTTCTTGCATCTGCGCATCAATTTCTCTTCTATATGCATCCAGTTTAGATTGAAAGGAAAACCATTTGTCCCCACTGTAATTGAAGCGCTCGTATTCCTGATCAATTACTTTCATCTTCTCAACTGTGCGTGGAAGGCAAAAGAAAAGAAAACCATTAAGACATTTCCGTTGAAAGGAATGTTTGGTGCTTGGCGCCATCATACCAAGAGATTCTCCATGACTCGCTCCGCTGGTGGTCTGAGTATCAGCATCATGGCGCAGGCTGTGAGAATAAAAGTGCGTTAGCTGTGTTAGGAGGCTGATCAGGAACCCTGAGAGAAAAAGAGGAAAAACACCCATCAAGGACAGCTCCACGGGTGCAGGAGTACTGTCCTCCAAAAGGAACACTATGCTGCACAGACCTTTATCACTGGTGCCTTTGTTCGAAGACTGAAACAATAAGAAATCATAAAAATATTATTATTATTATTATTATTACGAACAACATGCTATCACTATTTTTATTTTTGATATTCTACATGCTTAATATATGAATCGTTACCAGGGATCTGTAAAGTGCTGATTCGGGATTAATGCGAAGGAGCTGAAGAAGGTCCTCAGTCATGACAACCTGGACAACATGGATTAGAGACCAAAATAGTCACTGGATAGTAACCCGCTATGCGGGTTCTTCACACGTTCACCTCCGGTAGATGATCAGACCGAGGCTGGTGCTTACCTGGTCTTTGGGGAGGCCACATTCAGGGTAGAACACAGAGAGGGTGTACTCGTACCCCGAGCTGCGGAGATGATCAGCCACGATGCTGTTACAGGCTGAGACCAGGCGGGGCTCACATTTCACATGTACCGGTCTGGGAACTGGTTCTCCTCCAGTCAAAGGCGGGTGTTTCAACTCCTGGATGAGCTGATTCCTTAGCTGAGTCTGAACGAGAGCAGAAGAGCAAAAAGGAATGAAGACTTAACCTCATAGACTACAAGAGACGTCAGACTGCATCAGCACGACGTACCTTCAGTGTATCAAGCACTCCTTTACTTTTAAAAGTCTGATAGAGTCTTTTCCTCAGCTCATCTGGGGATAACGTGTCTTCTTTGGCCGAAGTCATACCGATGGAGGGTTGTTTTGCGGGTCCTGAGAGAAGAATAAAAACAAAGGGACGCTAACGTTAGACAGCAGAAGGGCAAAGCTGCCACCGCGCGCTCTTTAACAACAAGCTTAGTTCTGAACACTTTTACAAAGTATTTTAATACCTACTGTCTGACTGACTGTTATCACTCTGTATTCTTAACAGCTTGTGCAACCGCAGGTCTGGTAAAGAGAATAATTCAGTAATAATAGTAACGTTAGTTACCTGCCTGACAACCAGAGAGCGTTCGGGCGTCCCTTTAGAGACGCTGTGCCTCTAGCATTTAAATCCGTCAACGGAAATTTCGTCTCCGGGCGCATAGTTATGACGTGAAGAGAAAAATCAGCAATGTATATATTATTATTATTTAATAATGTTTTATACATTTAGTTCAATATTACACGCTATCTGTGTAAAACTAAGCTTAAAGCAGATATTGCCTAACCGTTTTACATCAGATAACTGGTAAATATATCGTGCTGTTTGACCATGTCGTCATCTTTATGCGTCGGTGATCGCTTCTCTCCAGGAAGCAAATAAACAGGTAAACAAAAGTCGATCGTACCAAAGACATCATCTTTCTTTTATGTGTGTAAGTGGTGTTCTTATCCACTTTCAAGACGCGTTTTATTTTAGTCTAACAAGAATCCCTTGAAGACTTTAACGCTGTCATGCGTCTGTGGAGCACATCAGCTTACGTTAGCTTGCTAGCTGAAAGGATCATAGTCAGTTGAATGATGTTGGTGCTGATAGTTGGAAAGTTTACATTGTTTAACACGTTTCGTTTGGTTTGATTTGTTTTTAGGGCAGATTGACTTTGCTCAGACGAAGGAAAAAAGATGTCTGGAAGTTTTTATTTTGTCATGGTTGGTCATCAGGACAATCCTGTGTTTGAGATGGAGTTCTTGCCAGCAGGGAAGCCTGAATCAAAGGTAACACTTTATTAATAACACAAGTATCCATTTCGTTACCAGTGCTGAACAGTAGTAAGCAAATGTTATTTATTAGCCAAGCCATATACTACTGATTACTGTCAGGATACAATATGTTGCTGTGCTAGTTGGTAGGAGGCCTTTACAGTTATTTGAATGAAACCAGAGTGTCTGTTATTGTGTTATTCTGTTTGATAAGTTTTGTGTTATTGACCACAGGATGACCACCGTCACTTGAACCAGTTCATTGCACACGCTGCCCTGGATTTGGTGGATGAAAACATGTGGCTGTCCAACAACATGTACTTGAAAACCGTGGACAAGTTCAACGAGTGGTTTGTTTCTGCATTCGTCACTGCAGGACATATCCTTTGTACAGCATTAGATTCTTCCCTTTGTATTCCCACATAGAACACTATACAAAATGATTCATAAATGGCAGGAATCACGATCCAAAACTGATCACACATTGCTGTGTAGTAGTTTACTGACTGAAAAGACAAAACCCAGACCAATCGACATCAAAGCATGCCAACGATTCTTGAAATCCATCCCAATGACCAGATTTAATTAACGATTCCATTATTGCAATCAATGTAACAGCCCAGTAATTAAATTATTGTAAATGGGATATCTTTGAGTTTTGGAATGAACTAAAGTAAAAACGTCTCTTAGGTTGTAGGAAGTTGTGATGACCGTTTTTCTTTGTTCTTCTGCATTTTCATAGATCACACAATTTAATAATCATACTGATTGACATTAAAAATAATTGTTGGCTAAAACCCCACTGTCATTATCTAACATATTAGTTTGCAGTATATAGTCAGTCATATTGTTGAGAGGCATCGTCATTTCACTGGCACTGCTTTATTTTCTTTAATTATTTGCCCTACATATAAGATTCATCATGCTGCATGATGTGCGACAAGAAGATGGAATCAAAAACTTTTTTAATGACGTCTATGATCTATACATCAAGGTGAGTTGTTTTCCATATAATTACAAACATTTTGCATTAGGTAACCTTTGGTCTGTTTTATGCCTTCTTTGTTAAAAATAATCTTTTATTTTGTCTTCCAGTTTGCAATGAATCCATTCTATGAAATCAATGCCCCAATCCGCTCGACAGCTTTTGAGAGGAAGGTACAGTTTCTTGGAAAGAAACATCTCCTGAGTTAATCTGGTCACATGCAAAGGATTTAGTGCGTGTGCTTGTCTGTTTGTGGTGTACATACCTAACATATGTGTTATGTTGTATCTGTCTTTTCCCCTTTCACACATGTAAAGTATTCAACAGTTTTCTAAAAAAAATTCTTGTCTGGTGTTGTTCTTAAGGTAATGGTATTGTTTCTTTCTCTATGGACTCAAAGTATGAATGATGTATTGTTTATCATTTAGATTAAACTTGACCAACAAAGACTAAATGTTAACTTTGATAAATCGACACAAACCTGAAGCGTGACGTCAGTTAGAAGGGTACAAAACATGCTAAAAGAGACATTTTTCTTGGAGTTTATTTGTCATTTGGCATACCAGTAGTACAACTTTCAATGTAAATCAGATATAAATGACAAATAGTTGAGGTAAATGAATTGTTCATTTTTAAATATTAAGCTGCGGAAAAGCCCTCAAACTGTTAAAAAAATGTTATGAGTGCTTTCAAGAGAAAATCATTTAAAACAATAAACCCAACAGCTTACTCCATCAGGACACCTCTTTCATTACACTTTCCTCAAGGCATTATTGATCAAGGTATAAATGGTTTACAAAAATTCAACTGTTTCCAGAAACGTAATCACACCCTAGGCCATGCATGTTAACTTTGCAGCAATATTTATCTTAATGTAGGGGATCTTGTCCCACAGCCATAATCTAGTCACTAAGCAGAAGGTGCATTCATCACAATAAACTTCAATTTGTTAGTTATACATAGTAGTGACTTCACAATTCCCAGAAATTCCCACGGTAGTAAGGTAGTATAGCATTTATGTCACATCATTTGCCTTCAATAACGGAATGGAGAGGGAAGTTAAACTTTTCAAAGCGGTTTCCACTGGTCTATCAGGATGTACTTTTAGTTCCCCAGAGGTAAACTTGACAACACAGAATGTAGTTCATTTTTCTGTGACTTCCTGTGACAAATCCTGCCCTTTGAATTTGGCAGAGCTATGTGAATGCTTCAGTGATTTCAAAATTATTTTTAATTGGAGATGCATTTGATGTTTCCCCTCCTCTCTTCGAACAGAAGTGCAACTATTAGCACAATCAAACTTCACCAGTACAACAAATCATAAAGCTAGTGGTATAATTGGTTTAAATAAGTTGTCACTACAGCATTGTTAACCTACAGCCTCATCGACATAACTGGCAGAACAGCAATGTAATGTTAATGATAGCTCCTGGATGCTATGAACAACAAGTGGCAGCGGAGCGAGGCTTTCTCTGGAGCTTCACTGTGTCTGTGGGGATGAGATGGTCCGTTCTTTCATCCAATGCCAACACTCTACGCACTGCCTCCTCAAACGCCACCGCCACGTTGGTGGCATCCTTGGCACTGGTCTCATAATAGGGGAAATCCCCATTCTCCTGGCACCACTGCTTAGCCTCCTCAGATGACACCTGCCTCTCCGTCACATCCAGTTTGTTGCCCAAGACCACGAATGGAAACTTCTCTGGCTCCTTGACGTCGGCGTAGTAGATGAACTCCTTCCTCCAGTTGCCTAGATTGAGAAAACTCTGGCTGTCATCCACGCTGAAGGTGAGCAGGCAGCAGTCAGAGCCCCGATAGAAAGGAGTCCTCAAGCTGCGGAAGCGCTCTTGGCCGGCCGTGTCCCAGATCTGTAGGGTCACCTGGTGGCCGTCGACCTCCAGTTCCTTGTTGAGGAACTCCACGCCAATAGTGTGGAAAAGGTGTGCATCAAACTTGTTGGTGACGTAACGATTCATGATGGAGCTCTTTCCCACGCCGCCGTCTCCCAGCAGGATGATCTTCAGTAGGGACGTCTTTGTCGTCATGGCTACTCAATCCCGATCGACCGCTTTAAGATATTTACCTGATGGGGAGATGCAATGTGTAAGGGACATTTTTATTACCTGTATGACACTATAATCTCCTTCTGAATAAAACAATCCAGACACACTAGAAATGTTGCGCCTTTTTTATCTCACCCCTGATAAGATTTTGTCCTCTTTCACTCGTCCAGATCATGTGCTGTAGACCCTGGTCCTTGGTCACATGCTCTTATGTTTCGTGTCGCTATGCACAGCCGCGTGACGTAGGGTGACGTTGACGTTTAACCAGCTGTAAAACAGTAGTTTCCTGATTAACAGTCGGGCCCAACAAAACGTGTGTGAGCAATCGTACCATGTATAACTATTTAGCTGGTTATGTAAACGCTCACACCAATATACCAAATGATGAAGCATGTTAGCACGAAAGTAGAGCAAAATCTGAATTTTGGGTGCATCAGCTGGTTAGTGTTAGGTGTTAGCTAAGCTAAGCTAATGTGAAAAGGGGAAAACAAGGGAGCCCAGCTGGGGTTAGCTTCTCGAAATATGCAGCACTAATTACAGCCGCTAGCTTAGCTGCACGCGAGATGGATAGGAACGTACCTTACAGTTATGGCCAGACAGCTACGGAGAACACGTAACACCAATATTAAAGCCCGTGTTTGACAGATAACGTCAGGTCACACCGTTTTCTGGTGACCCCCCTCCCAGAAAAAGGCTCGATGCTAACGCAGCTAGCTGCTAACAAACTAGCGATACATGGGCGCCTCGGGTCATGTGATCGAGTCAGGCGGAAGTAAACCAGGGGAGGAAACGTCAGAAGCCCTCGCGACCGTGCGTGGCGTTCATACGTACGATAGTGTCCGCAGGGTTGCAAATTCTATGATTCAACTCTAAAAAGACAATCAACACGTGTGTTGTAGTGCAAATTCATTTTAAGCCGTCACTGTGATGCTCGTCTTTCATCTGTATTAGCCAGGATCAACCGTGAGAGAGCGATATTTGACATGGTACGATCTGCAGTTTCACTCGACCTCATGAAAAAAGCAATAGATTTAAAGCGAGTAGCCCTGAGGTAGCATGCAGTTTTCTTTATTTCACACTGTAGCACTAGTTCATTCACTTCCATTATCAGAATCGTCTTCAAAAGTCTTGCATTGTTCTGCATACAATCAAGGAAAAGAAATGGAAGACAGAATTAGAAAAAACAGATTTATTGTAATAGTACAATATAATAAAGCAAAATTTACAGCAGTTACATACTGATACTTTTATCGTTTAACCAGACTTCATAAAGTTATTCATTTATCATTGAATTTTAGATTTGATTTACATCACATGTCATAGATTACTTCCTGTTAACTTCTGAAAACACATACACAGCAAAGGACTAGGCACAATACTGTTATTGTGCCTCACGTACCATCTACGTTAAGTAAGAGACAAAGTGAGCATTTCCACCTATTCCTGAGATCTGGGTCATGCCGCTTTGAAAATCACAAAAATCGAAAGGGAAGCCGAAAACACCGATGTGGCCGCATGGCAATTAAGTAAACATACGTGCACTGATAGTACATATGTGAATGTCTCGCAAGACAGTTTGTAACTGCAAACCAACATACCGACGAACACGTGTCTTAATTTCTCAAACTGTAAATCCGGGGATGGACTTTGTTAAACGAATGGGCTGACATCATCTTGACAGGGCCCTGAGGTCAGCACAACATTGTCCAGTCCAATCTCTCCTCCGACCTCTTTCCCGCGCTGAGCTTCAAAGACGACCTGAAAGACGTTCAAAGGCACCATGATGTTTTCAGTTTACAGTTACAAAAAAGCTGCATAGACTTCTGACGCAATATTCAATCAGTTGAAAAAACAACAAAAGTAAGTGTTGTAAAGCTACAAAGTGACTCACAGACTGCGGCGCTTCCTCCTTCCAGGCCACAGTGAGCAGCTCCGTCTGCCAGCCTTGGTCTCTGCTTTGGCTCTGCTCCCATACGGGGTAAGCGCTGTTACCCAGCAGCACCCTGAGGGTCCCCACGTTACGGCCCACCACGCGATAGTCAAAGGTGAGGCAGAAGCTGCCCTGCTGCGCCTTGTCACTGAGAAGCAACTTCAGCTTGGCCGTATCCTCCGACTCCCCTAGGAGCCCGCTCATGGCCATGTAGTATTCTGCACCTGGACGAGTTCGTAGCATAAGTAAATGCATCTACATTCTAATGTTCTGAAAAGTGCTATATATATATGTAATAATGAGTTTGTTACTGTTATGGTAGGCGACGCTCCAATCCATGTCATCAGCCTTGTCTTGGACCCACTCACATGCTCCCTGATCAAAGTTGCAATCGATGATGAACTCTAGAGAGTAAAACCGAAGGATCCGATCAGGGAAAAAGTCTCATAAAGAGTCGTTAAGTAAGATGGAACAACCGATATTAGATTACCTTCCTGAACGGGTGTTATGTGGAATTCTTTGACTTCTGTGGCAGGGCCAAACACGGATTCAAACTCCTCTGATACTGTTAATTGTTAAAAGAGAAACATTTTTTTTGTCATATACATTATCAGTTGGATATATGACCACTTTCCAGTTTATTAGGTGCACGTAAAATAGTACCTTGAACTATACAATTCAAACAGTCCTGCAATAAACTCGACTTTTATTAAGGTCACAAAACAAACGCAAGCTAGGAATTTGCACCTAATCTGTAAGTAAAAGCAGACACACCTGTATTGTAATTATAAAAAATATGCCCCTTCCATATTTGCCGCACAGAAAGAACGTTTGTCTTCAAATTCCTAAAATATGTGATACAAAAACATTCCACAATGATGCTGCAAAGAGAATTTCCACAGTAAAACAAAGGAAAGAAAGTGCCTTCCAGCCAACAGGTGAGGACCTGCCCGTCTGTCGGTCGTGTCTTGAAGGTGAATCTTCAAGTATTTGAAAGCGCTTGCAGCCAACCTCCCCCATGGCGAGCCAGACGAGTGACAGCTGGGGTCATTGGACCTGCTCGGCTAGAGTGGGCTCGCGTTAAGAGGTCCAGAGTGCTGATGACAGACTTTCCAACACGGAGTCAAGTCTGTTTGCACAACAGCTGTTTTGGGGAAAACATAATAAAAGGCTTGGAGGCTAAGTAACCTCCCTCCCTTCCTCACCCGCCTACCAGAGAGGTGGGAAGTGTGGATGAGTTCAACCCCTGGGGTCCCTCGTGCCGACAGAGTCAAATTCCTCCCTGGAGGTGATGGATGTCTCGGGGCCTGTCTCCTCTTGCTTCCGGAGCTCTTGCACAGGCCATGGGGGGGTTTTCCATGCAGCTCAAGCTGCACGTTGTGAAAGGTAACCTCATGCACGGGCTTTCTCACTGCCCACTCGCCTCCTTTTAACTGATAAAAGTGTAAAAATATACACTTAAAATCGGGCGTGAATGACGTGCTAGATGTCTGATTGCGTTGGTCATCTGGTTTCTTACTATGCCGAAGGAACATGACAGCATGACAGTGACGATACTCGTGGTTCTTGGAGCAGGAGGCTGTGGGCCCCCAGGAGCATGAAGCAACAGGCCCCTTGTTCTCTGGTCAATGTCTGAGGCCTGACCTGCAATTTAATACTTATAGCAGCTGCTTACTGAAAAATCAATAATTGTATTCCGATGCAGTGTGCACATGAGAGCAAAGTCTGTGTGGAGTTTGTTTAGTCGGTGTTAGCTTAATACCTTGTGGACCACCCAGAATCACTGCCTAACAAAAGGGCACTTACTGAAAACGTCTCCTCTGGAATTAAGCTGGTTGTTTTCCTCTTCTTCCTTCTCCTCCTCCTCTTCTTCTTCCTCAGGAATTTCATCCACCTGTCCTTGGTCGGTCCCGGGGCCAATGTAGACCTCTCCATCATAGTCAAAAGGCTGCTGATGGATGTTGGGAGCCGGCGTTGCAACCGGTTCAGTGATTATGTTTTTGATGTCATCGTTGTCCAGAGTGCCTCCCAGAATCCCGGGCTTCACTTGGGAGTCCTGGATGACTGCAGGAAGGAAGAGGAGTTCAAATTAGACATTTGGAACTGCAATCATGAGTTTTGCTGGCGGGCTTCAGATGCGTTTGTTGTCATGTATTCTGCAGCTGCTGCTCCCGTCCTACTCCATGCAGATGGAGCATTACAGCAAAACATCCATTGCACATAACCTTTAATTAGTTTACGCAAGCATTTTGTCACACACTTCTGTATTTTAGAAGCCATGCTGAGGATTCCAGGTCTCGTATCAAGCCGTGTGTCAAGACGTGCAGCATTTTCAGGCACGAGCATGGTGGAGGGTTTGCCCGGAGGAGGGAATGGATGGGGTTGCAGGGCGGGGGAGTGGACAGTGAAAGCAGTCTTGGATTTCACACAATCTCACCATTGAGGAACTCATCTGCGCTGCCTTTGTCTCCATCCCACGACCTCTGATAAAACGGCTTAGCTATGGAAGATAAAGGAAGCTCTCATTTATGCTAAAACCGCTGCCTCTGTAATTTGGCATCGCGAGGCTCCACCTGTTATTATCCGGGCCTGGTTTAAAGAGCACAACACTACCCGTCTTTCCACTTCTTTTTCAGCTGGCTTGGCTGCCGTACAATATTTAGACAGGTGTGTATTCGATCTGTGGCTCTCCCTGGCTAACATCTGCAAAGAGGTATGGAGTAAAAACAGGAAACTGGCCTTGGCCTGTTTTCTGAGTCAATAAAATATGGGAGCTGTAAAACTTCTGACTGACTACTGCCACCTGGTAAAAGGCTTGAGACGCGAGATGCTGAAATTTTTATTACATATCAAAAGCCATCCCTGAAACGAGTGTATTCACTATGTTGCCGTTCCTGCGTCTCACCAGAGCATTCAAAGCCGTTGCCCCTGAAGCCAGACTTGCAGCTGCACTTGTAGGATCCTCGAGTGTTGGCACAGACAGCGTGGTGGCTGCACTTGTGGGTGCTGGATGCACACTCATCAAGGTCTGGAATTTGGAGGAAGGCTGTTAGTATCGATCTAGTAGCAGGATTTATCTTGTGAACCCGTGTACCTTACCCACGCAGTCGTATTTGCCCTCAACGTATTTCAAGTCGTAGCCACTCCGGCATTTGCAGAAGTAGCTTCCAAAGGTGTTCACACATTGCCGGTTGTACGGGCAGAGGTTATTCCCCGTTACACATTCATCAATATCTGAGGGGAAACAGAAGACGGGAGAAATGAAAGAGCGTTTCATTTTATGTACATCACATTAAGTAATATTGCGAACCCCCCCGGCCCACTATTTTTGTTATTGGGCCATTTATTTGGGAAACGACTTATTTCCACTGCTCCGTGACTCTTGACTCTTACTGCTGACTATTGTTTCGTAGATCGACTGTGATTCCTATGGTTCACATCAATTACTTTGTCCATTACAACATCACAGGGGTTGGAAGCAGTGCGGTAAAGAAGCCATAGATTTAGTTGTGGATGCAATGATGGCAACCTCACCTCAATAAAGCTTTTCAACAACATTGCCAAATAGTTGGATTGGTCAGCCTAAGCGGCACAGAGAAAATCCTGTAATTAAAGAATTTACCTACATTCTTTTATTGAGTCACGTCAGTAATTTAACTAAAATAAAAGTGTTTTGTAAGTTTTGTTGATGCTTGAGAACTATTAAATAACCGTGTGCTGCGTATGCCAGACTGTCGCTTTCACAGATCAAGCATATTTGTGGGTGGAAATATAAGTTTTGGTATTTAGCCAAGCATGCAAAAACCATGTAATAGAATCTGAACACAATTGCTCCCCAAAACTCACAATCCTTTCAAGTCTAGGAAGTCTGCGGATTCTGAGTTTCTGGGAACAATTCTGTTCAAATACAAATACCTAAACCTAAATGTCCACCCATAAATATGCTGTATTCTTTTTTTAGATAACGGCTCCATCAAGCTACTTAATTCTTCTTACATTTTTCTTGTCTCTAATTGTTTATCACGTTTAATGTTTTACTTGTTTGACACCATATGCATAGAAACATCCATTTAATGTAATATAATGTGTGTCTGTGTGTGTGTGTGTCACCTATACATGTCCTCCGATCCTGTCCCAGCTGCAGCCCTGCAGACGGGCAGAGGCAGCGAATCTCCTCCTGAACTTCCTCACAGCCGTACTGACAGTGAGCCGCAGAGCAGGTCCTGGAATCTTCATGTCGGCATACAAAAAGCACACGTTTTCTAAGTATTCAGACTAGGAATCCTTTGTGTGCGCGGATAGTGGCACAATAGGACTCACTTGCGCACGATCCATCAGGCATTACGGTGTAACCGTTGAGGCAGTAGCATTTGTAACTGCCGTAGGTGTTCATGCAGCGATGCTCACATGGACGAGGTTTCAGGCCGCACTCGTTCAGATCTGGAAATAAGAGTTGCCCTCATTTTTATACCCGCAACACCTTCTAAAATGTAGAACATGGACTTTTTTATTGAAACACAAAAGAACACAAGTGTCCAGAACTAGCTAGTAAAGCTTATCAATTTAAAATGTCATTATCCTGCAACCATGTTGTCCAGACCCCAAACTACGAACCTTGATTGCACGTCTTCCCGCTGTGCCCTGGGAAACACTTGCATTTGTTGGGGCCAACGCACTCTCCGTGCTTGCAGCCGTGGTCACACTGAGCTGGTAAAACATTTAACATGAGGAGAAAAAACACCAGAAATATCAGTGGTTTGAGCATGACAGATTCAAGTAAAACCACACATTTCTGGGGTTTTTGTAATCTAGACTGCCCTGCACATGTTTTGGGTTTGGAAAATAGCTTGTTCGCGAGAAAAAGAAACAATTGTTAGTTCGCTGTGCACTGCGGCAGTAAATTAGATTATATATGAATAAGCTCTTACCTTCACACTGTCCTTTACTGTTTTTCTTCCAGCCGTAGCAACACTCCAGCCTCCTGCCATAGCGACAAACACCTGGTTGGTTTCCAGTGAGGACTTGTCGGGAGGGTCTTCATAGAGGAAGAGAGCCACAGAAGGTAAGATATGTCATTTCACTGTCTCACATCAATTTATAGCCCCACATAGTTCATACGTGGAACATCAGAAGGCAAATCGTTACCTCCAAGCGAACAACAATGAAAAATTGAGGACATATTATTACAAAAACCGCCAGTTGTGTGACAACCCCCCCCGACCTAAATATTTCCCCTCAAGGGCTTTTTTTAGTGATAAAAGAGAGCTCCCTGTGGAGTAATAGGCAGCTGACAGGATGTTGGCTGCAGATGGAGAAAATAAACACACTAATCAGACACTTCCTGCGCTGCACAATGATACTTTATGTGCATGTGTCTTCTTTTTTTCCACTGTACCTTGATCTTCACCTCACTCAAATTCCTGGAGTCAGATGAGACGCATGGTTAATTTATTCTCAGTCGCATTGCATTCAAAATAACCTGCAGTACATATAGATTACATTGCACGTCTATTTTTAACCCGTTAATTAAATTAAGATGCCGTTTGACTTTGACTTTGTATATAACTAAGTTTATGTCAAAATTACACATCCAAACATTTTATTCTACTTTCAAGCGCAGGGCCACGGTCTAATGTCCCAGATGTTGAGGTGTCCCACAGATAGCATCCTATAAACAGCCTCTGCTCCAGTTGGACTGAGAGAATCTGAGACTTTATAGAAATCAACCAGAATAGCCCGTAGAGCGGCTCCTTAGAGCGACAGGTGCTCTTCACTTATCAACAGCTGCTGTGCCACATTTAGCCGACACACTGTCATACTGGCCATACCATCGATGCTACAGCTTTCCCAGTTAAGATTTAAAGGGAATAATTCTGTCAAAGAGGGGTGTTTGTTTTAAACATAAAGGTGCACTTTAAAAATCCTGTGGAGGTTAAAATGGGAGTAGTTCCCCTTTTGGCAACAGTAGGTGGGCTAAATGAGTCGGTGGCACTTTTGGTTTGTTATTGGTGCCGGTGCAATAAGATTCTCTACTATATCTGACATTATCTTGGAAGGTCTTTATAATTCTTGATGATTCTAGTAAATATAAGTTCACACCTGTTGCAGGTCTCCCAGATGAAAACATAGCATGCATGAAATCCCCCCTTATGTTCTTGATCATTGACTTACCTATGGGCTCCCCCGCTTGCAGAGGAGATGTGGACAATGAAATAAAGAGCGGCGAGGTGCAAGGTGAGCAGCTGCATGCCGGAGAGCTCTGCTTCCCACAGGGCTGACTGGTGAGTTCCGACTATTCCTCCTGGGGGCTGACGCTCATTTAAAGGCTTCAGGCAGGAACGGGGTCTTTGGTCCGAGGCTTGCCAGTTTTCATGTATTTCCAGAGCACAAAGCTGTGTTCTCCTTCGAAGAGGTGATGGGGGCGGGGGGGAAGCCTCTCTTTTGAATTCTTTTCAGTGGTGCAGCTACACTCTATGTCCCAATGTTCCTTCCTCTTTGAAATTCCAGAGGTGGGTTAACGCAGCACTGTGAGGGTTAGGTTGGGACTTTGAGGGGGTAGGGGTGGGTTTGCAAGGGGGCGGGTGGGGATCATGTTTAGGGGTGCTCCTCTCTTCACTGAAACCCTATACTAGACCAAATGTTCCTGAAGAAATCCTACTGATCGATGAATGTCAAAAGCAGGGCAACCAATTGATCCCATTGGGAGAAGGGTGTGGGGGGGGGTTCTCAGATAAAAATGAGCTTTAGATGCATTTTTCTGCTTGACGGTCTGTACTTTTTGGGGGATAATTAGCTGTGCTGGCTAATTTAGGAACTGAGGCATGCACGGGCCTGTCATTAGCAGCTGCAGTGCTCTTTGATGTCTCACTCACAGGTAGCAGCGTTGCTCTCACGTGCTCTTGCACAATATTCCAAGTTCAGCTAAAAAAAAGGCTTAATGAGTTCTCACTCTTTCAAAGTCTGCTCCCACATCTGGTCCTGATCCTCACGGCCTTTAAAAATGGAAAGGAGAAGTTTCATTTTGGTCTGTTATGGCTCCGATTACGTGTTTCTCTAGAACAAACCGCAGTCACGTACTACTTTGCAAAAAATCTTTTCTAAATTTCCTAAATGCAAATCCAGAAGGAAGTGTGGTTGCTGGTAAGCGGCCAGTGGTTGCCGCAAATATGCAGCACTCAATTGTGGCATTGGCAGAACTTGTGATATTTGTTAATAGTGGAGCAAATCTTAAATAAAAAAAAAACCCACGGGTAGTTTTACATTCCTCGGAGTAACTCTATTACCCCTAAGAGGCTTTGTTGGTCACAAAGTTGGTTTCACCAGACATAGCAAGCGTTTCTTTCTTTTTTATACTTAATTTCTGAAACCTTGCAGCTAAAATGATGGAATTAGACGACAAAACTGTGGCTGGTGTAGAGTTGTGTTTGTCTTCGCTACACAACTGTGTTCCGGCATCAGACGTAGTCCGTACAATCATCAGCCGCTGTTAAATTTCTGTTTTTAATCTGCAGCCTGACGCTCCACTCAAAACTCACAAACGGGTCTCATTATGGCGGCTGAGTGAGCGTGAAGCTCGCGACAAACAGCCCCCTCTTCTGTCCAGGAGGAAACTCTGGCTCCAACTTAAATTGTAATTGAAGTAAGGATGTAGCTTTTATGTTTTTCCTGGCTGAAGGATGCGAATATATCTTGAGTGACTGAAAAATAACATTGTGCTGTTGGTTGTTTAAACAAAAGCCTACGTATACTGACACGTTAGATGCATTTTTGGCGCTGCTATTAATAAATATGTATTTAAACATGCAGATATGTGCAGTTTACCATTAACCTTTTTTGTAGAATAAAATCAGTCTGCTTTGCTCCCAATGTAAATACAATTTCCACAGAGATGAGTTTAATCCCTTTTTATCGTTTCCCTTTTCATCCTGCAGGGGGAGACACAGTCCAGCACCTGCTGACACAGGAACAAGCAACAGACGAAAGGTTAAGTGTTGCACCCAAATTATACAGTTTAATTGTGTTAAATCAAACTATCCTCTCACTAGAATAGCAGATTTCACAGTGACCGGAGTTTACTGAGCATGTAGACCAACTCACTGTTTGTTTAATGTGTTTTTTCCCACATGCCTAAACAGTGTTGGTGATGTATTGTGTGTTTCTATCTTCTCCCTGTCTATCATATTTGTTTGTTGACTGCAGTAAGCTTTATCAACCTGAGAACAAGAAGATGCCCGTTCAAGAGGGTTGCTTGTTGAAGGGTCAGCGGTCTACTTTGCCTTTTTCTTGTGGCTCATAACATAGTGATCTGATCATTACAGGTTTAGCTGCGTCTTTTTAAGGCACGTGTAATATCTAAACTTGATCTTGTCGTCTCCTTGTGATTTTACAACTGGCTACGAGAGGCGCAGCACTTTGTTGAGCCATAGCTAACTTTCAGGAAGTGAGCCTCTCCCCTTCCTGCCATTCGATCAGCCCAATGCTCTCCACACACTTAACTCGGCTCCAAGCCTGCAGAGTCGAAAGACTTCTAATTTGATAATGCAGCTGTAACTGGTATTAGCAGACCCCAGTAAGCTTTGCAATTTAAAGGAAATGAGTTGCCCACACGTACGAATCCACTGAGCATCCTTTGCATTGGCCTCTAGAACAATGAGCAAGGCTTTTACTATAAAAGGAGAGACAAGGCTGTTGACGTTTTTTTTGAAAATGGTGTGCGTATACAACCACATCCTGCCCTGAGTGGGAGATGGCATGAGCAATGAATGCCACAAAAGACTGACTGCTGTGAAAATGGCCTACCTCAGATTGAGGTACACTTTTTCTAGTTAGTTCTTGTTACTATCAGATCCCCAAATGTCCAATTTAGGTGCGATCTTTCTAAAAACCTGGTCAATAGTGTATAACTGCAGGAAGATCTCTGCAACAGTGCAGGGAGGGATGTGTAACTTCCCCCTTCGAACACCGATCATTTTTTCGACTGGGCGTGCACAACTCTCGTGCACGCCCATCTCTCTATCGTTGCATTTGAAAGGAATCACAACAATCCATGTGTTTGAGGGCCACAGTGTTGCTGCAGAAACACTTTTTATACGGGAAAAGTGTCCAAATCACTTCAAATCTCTTTGTGTGCATCTCATTGCACTTTTGCTGTGTCTTCTGCGTGACCCAAAGAAACCGTAGGTCCCAGAAAGAAGTATCCTCATAAATCAGGTGGTCTTTCTAGAACATCTGCTGTCCACAGATTGCACAATGACAGACTGCTGCTAAGTGAGGTGGAACCCAGTACAAGCAGGGAGACATACCTTAGGGGATTCAGGCTGTCTGCCAGATCACACAAAGACTTTAGTCCCTCAACATGACGGGTGTAACGGGTTCGGGTGTGTCCAACGCAGGCTCAGGCCCCAGCTGGACACCTCCCGCTCTCGTCTCATTAATAATGCAGCAGCTGTACCCCGCTGGGAGGGCGGCAATGATGGGGAAGAACCAGACATCTCAAGAGGCTTGATGGGTAGCTCGTCATTATTTATTAATGGGCTTGCCTGGTCAGAGACATTACAGTGGCCCCTTTAATCTGTCATGGTCTCAGACAAAGGCCTTACTGTATGCAGTGACCACTCTGCTGCAGCGCTGATGACGATGCCTCAAAGAAGTGACGTTGCATCGGCCGCTTTGCTGTGAGCTGGACCCCGGTGCAGCGTCAAAGGACAAGACTACCCTCTGTGTGTTCTTTTACTTCCATTTCTTCAAATCTGTGGTTAGCTTAGGGTGGACTTCCCCTGTGCACTTCCCGTATCAAAATCCACATCCCCTTTACACAGTCTCTTTTTATTGAGTTCCTTTTAAGACGATGCTGTTAAAGATTTTAAACAAAATGATCCATCTTTACAAGGCTGTTACCTTTCTCTTCTGTCAGTTGCTCCACTTTGCTAATCATGTTTGCTTCTTTCTAGTTTTGTAGTCAAAGCCACAAATTACTCAAGCAGCTCCGGCATTCCGGGAGCCCGTGTGTGCTTTTCTCAGTATAATTTCAAACATACTTATCGTACTCTGTGTACTTCAGCTGCACGTTGCATTGTTCTTTGATGTCCACAGTGCCTCAATCTGACATTTGACCTTTCAAAGTGGCAGAAACCCCGGGTCAGCAGACGTGCCCTTTATTCTTTTTTTTTTAACAGGGGAGGTTTTATGCTTGGTATAATTATGCAACTATGTGCCCCAAGAGGAGAACTTATCTCACCTTAGTGCAGCAATCACATAAAGTGCATGTCTAACAGATAAGACATGGTGCGCCATCACTTTAACTCAGACCATGTGTGCTCATGGGTGTTTTAATGTGCCTGCACTAATGTGGAGATTACAGGCTCCTGATGGTACATGTCGAAATGACTGTGCTGTTATTACATACTTGTGCGGTGCTTCAGCAAGACGAGAACAAGCAGTTTTCATTTCCTGTTTCTAGCAGGAATGAGCTTTGTGTTTAGTGCTGCAGGGAAACAACATGCAGGGGTAAGAGACTCTAAAGGGATGCCCTTTTCAACTGCAGTAATTAACTGTATTAAATATACATTATTTTACTTTAAGATGAGAGTGCACTGTAGGTTTCTTGGTGTAAAGGTTTACTATATTCAGGTACATTATGACATATTCCCCGATAACGATGTTGATAAAAAGGCAGACCTCTGCAGACATGTAAAAGGCTTGTATGTTAAATCTAGGTTCCTCTGTAGCGGTGTATAACAGGAAGTAGAAACAAGTCTGCCACAAAAGGAAGAGAGAAAATGTCACAGAGAAGTCGGAAGTTACAGTTCAACCAAGCACTCACGCACACACACACACACACACACACACACGCACACACACACACACACACACACACACACACACACACACACACACACACATCTTAAAGTGCTTATCCATAGTAGGTCTAATCACACCCAATCTGAATGCCATATCGTTAGATGTCTGGTTTCACAACATGTTTTGCAGAATAATGCTACATGGTTTGTGGGCTTTCATGGAATTAGCACAACTGTAAACACAGGGGCGACACAAAAGATTAACCTGTAAGATCCCTGAGTTGGGCCAATATTCTGCAACATCCAGTCGGGACATGCTGATCAGGGGAATTGATGGACTGATATCTGAGCACATTCCTCAGACAATTCTCAACAAGCTGCCCTAGTGGACGTGGTAGCAAAACATTACAAACACTGAAACATTCAGGGCAAGTTAAATGCATTTGCATTAGTAGTTCTGAACAGATCCAAACATGAATCCTGTTGTTCTAAGCAATGTGCACAAGCGGTTCCTCGGGAGCAGTGTGAAGTCTTGGGACACACACAACGTGGTCCTGATGACCATTTTCTTCATTTAAAAAGTTTTTTTTGTATATTGTTGTTTTATATATATATAAATCATCTGTTAACTTGTGCTTGAAATGATGAACATGTTACTCGCCCAGTTCATTTGATTAAAAGTTTGCTTCGACAGTACAGCGCTGCGGCTCTCTAACCACATCCTGTTACACACCTTTGGGACCCGCTTCAGACAAATTCACAAAGAAGCTTCTGACACTTACAGCGACAAAGTAGTTTGAGGTGAGAGGTGAAGAATTTGATGTACTAATGAAAATTATCATTTATTTTCCTGTCTAAAGTCGTATTGCATGACTGATATAAAATGGGCGCTTTGGTTCTCTGTGTCCAATGACAATGCAATGATGTGTCAATCATGTAATATTAACCATGTGACAAAACTGGAGTGATGTTTTATTTAGTTGTGGTCTTTCTTTTGTTCCTTCTTGTCTTTCTTTTTGTTACTTGTTTCAGATAGTGACATAGTATGAACTGCAGTGGTAAACAAAGGCTCGGTCGAAAAGGACACAACAGAATAAACACCTCCAGTATAATGGAGAAGGCCCTGGTTTGTTCTGCGAAGTCACCATCACCATGTTGTCATGAAACTGTGTATCTGTAGCGGTTGTGTTCATTCATTTATACCAAGCTGTTCGGGTCAAATGCCAATGAAAGAACTACTGAGAGATTCTTTACAGCCCAATACAAAAAAATGGATGGATATCAATTTGTGGATGAATATATCCCTTGATGGCTCATCGCCAGCATTAGATGTCAGATATTTCACTCAACTTACCCATCAAATATGTTGTTTTACATTTAGACAAACATTTAGAGCTCACAGCTGGTGCTCTTGCAGCTGAAAGGTGAAAGGTTGCATGCACGTGTCACGTTGAGTCACTCTCCGTCAGCGCACTCTGCACACGTCTGCCTCAAAATTCAGATTGCACTAAATGTAGTCCAGTAAGCCAATGAGCTCTTTCTTCGTGGACTTATGGGTTGCCTGTGTGTAAACAACCCCATAACCTTCCTCACGGGCGCATAACCTCAGTATTGCTATGATCCAGGCTTGATGCTGGCCGGTTCCTGTATTTCAGTGCAGTTGTTGTTTGTTGTTCTGTGTTTTGCATATGTCGTCATGTTTTCATGACTTTCAAGTCAAGACTAAAAGAAGACATACTCATCGTGCAGAAGCTGAATGTTGATTGTTTTTTGGTTTTGTTATTAATGTCTCTGATTTGGATACATAGGTGTTTGTGTTTACTTTGTTTGCTATCTGATACTTTTTTCCCACTTTTCTTTAGGAATCTGCGTCATGCAGTCGGATTCAGTTATTATTATTAGTTTTCACATAATAATCCTTTAGGCTGCCTCCTTATATTCCTTAAGACTGACTGTAAGGTGCATTCCAGGTGCATTCTCTGCTAAGTCAGGAAGTGGTGGTCACTATAATAACTAAAGGTCAACAGCCCCTCACATATTAAAAAAGGTTCAGGCAAAAGGACCTGGCCTTTTTCTAGAGATTCCAATCAAAACCTGCGCTCGGATTCATATTTGTGTGTCCAGTGTGTTAGCAAGATGCATGAAGCATCTCCCGTCGGCCACAGATCTCAAGCACGTTTCTGGGAGTTTTTTTGTCACACATAGTGAAACCGATGGTGTGTCACAGGATTGGCCAGCTCACACCCTCAGCTTTTGTGTCTACCTATCACACAATAGCAGCGCTGCTTTTTCCCACCGTGGGTTTGATAATGAAGACAAAGATGAATTGTCCTTTTCTTGGTTCACCCTGAATCAAGGACATAAAGACGCTGAACTTCCCCTTACAGATGAATGAACACTTTAGTCCAAGCTTCTAGTCTAGTATATCTAGTATAATCTACTATAACTGATAGTATTTTTATTTCTCATGATAGCGTTCCATAATGTTCCTCTTCCTGATCCACCTATACTTATTTGTGATTATTCTGTTATGTTATTGACAAAACAGAACTAGACACATTGGCACCAATAGGATTCATTGTAAATAGACTCTTAAATAAACATTTGGATCACTTTATCTGCCGCCTTGGCTCCTATGTACTGATATAAGGCAAACAAATGCCAAAGTCTTCATTACCGTAACAAAAAATGAATGAATACTCTAATAATTCAGAAAGTGCTTTGGGCTTTCAAACCGGTGCAACGGTTCCCTTCCGGCAGGCTGACCAGGAGAAACCTGTCTGGGTGTATTAAAAGAAGTTAAACATTTCACCAACCTGGTTTCAAGAAAAGCACATTGCGAACCAAACCAGCAGGAAATAGTTTACTGGTTGGTTAAGTTTCGCTTGTTCTACTTTGCCCAGCAGCTATTTTTTATGGGTTATCTCGCAATCCTTCAGCCCCACAGCGGAAGAACAACATCTCATTATAAATGATGGCACACCCACATAAAACCATCAGCGCTGTTGGATTCCGTTTTACTCATATAGAGTATGTGAAGAACAGAACAATTATGGAAAAGGTATCAAAGGGGGGGGACGTCAATGGCTACTTATAGTGAGCCACAATGTTTCATTACCAGTTATCCGAGTCATAAAATCGCCTTCTCAATTGAATCGATCGAGCGCTCTGAACAACACTGCAGTCTTACTGATGACGGGGAGACGTTGGGGGGGGGGCTAAAATCTCCAGCCTGCTACCATGGAAACACCACACGAGAAATGTGGACGAGGCGTTCAGGTTCTAGTCTGAACATGAGGAAGCAGCAGAGATGAGTTTCACCGTATTGCTGCCACAGCAGCTGTGAGATCCTGTCGCGTCTTCCTGCATGCGAGAACAACATGTGGAAACAGCCATTGTTTTTGCCCCCCCAGAATTTCCTGCTAAAGAAAGAAAATAGGAAATTACTTGATTTGCTGCCATTAGGAAGAGAAGTTTATCATTTTGTGGTTGATGTTTATTGTATTGGTTTTAAAACATAAGACACTGACACACTTGGAAGTCAGTTTATTGGCATCAGCAGAATCTCATGTTATACATTTAGAATAAAAAAATTGAAGTGTGAGAAAAGAGGTCTTGATCATTCCTTCTTCTCACATCGTGACTCATTGCTGCACCGCAACTCATCACGGACGGCAAGATTATTCACATCCTGTACAAACCGTCTCAACTCAAACATGGCCACAATCAGCCCGTTGCCATTAAGCCTTCCTCATGCTACGTTTCATAGCCAATAAGATCGCAGCATCCCGACTAATTACTGTAATTCATAGTACGGCATTGTTTGCTGTTTTGTATTCTTCACCACATTTCCATTTCACTGTTGTTTATGCTGTGCCATCCTCCGTTATGCGGCAAAGACCCGGTGAGTTGACCAGGGGAGACAAGTCAGATAGATGAAAGGATGGTTTAATATTGACGGCTGGTCTGTAATGATAAAGCTTTCACAGAGTATTTTCTTTGATTGATCCGTACCCGAGGAGTTTCTGCCCTCGGAATAAACTGGACTCCAGCCGCGGTGGCTGATGAGACGGATAGAACGATGAAACGATGAATCTGCAAGAGACTTGATGGGAATAGGGAAGCGGAAGGGACATGACTCAAGGTACCAGACCATTCTTTTTAAAAGCAGACGTTAGTGTGAAGATAGGCTAACCGCGGAATCGTGTCACTGTGCTATCAGATTAAAGCCGACCAGCTGATAAGACCAGCTGATGTCATGACTGTCATGTCAAAAGATGACAGCGAGTGAGTCATGAGTGAGCATGCGCGAGAAGAGTAATGAGGAATGATCATCATCATCATCATCAATAATCATCTCTTTACAGTTACTGACCGATTTTACACTCAAGCTTTTATTCCGAGCCAGTCAGGGCGGTTTCATTCTAAAAGCACATTATGTATATGTATGGTTATACGCTGTCTAGGCGTCTGTGTGGTGTTTGGTAGGTTGCGGTCAGTCTCCACCACAGCCGGTTCAGAGGCGCCCGTCACAACACCGGCAAGTGGCCTCTTGGTGCATCGAGCAAAGTTCATCCCCAATCGGCCCTTGGTGTCATTTGCGTCCCTTTCCACAGGCCGTTATCAGGTCTTGGGGCAGTTCCACATAAGAGCGTCCATGTGCATGATGCAGCATAAATGGCGGTTGCCAGGAGAAAATTGGCTGCGGCGGCACACACACACACATCACTTAGTTTAAAGTGAGGGGAGAGTAACAGGAGAAGGCAGTGTCGTAATGTGTAATAGTGTTTTTCCGAAGGAACACATTGTTATAGGACACTGAGGAGCTGTTGTGTGGCAAGATTGCAAATGAGAGGGAGGGGGGCAGCTGGCAACACAGATGTGATGGATTGTTTTGGTGCTCCTTAAGGACTACGGAAAAACAGACATGTCACTTTTCCCACACTAAAAATGCAGCCTCTCGAGGATGAAATTGAACTTGTTCCAATCCCTCTGCAGACCTTATTACAGCGGAGAGGTTATAGTCAGTTCTTTAATTTCCCTCCCCACAGGAAATGGTCTGTGCCACACAAGCTAGAACAGGTTCTCTGTTAACAGATTTGGCGATCGCCTCTACAGAGCTGTGGTTTCCAGTCAATGAGGTCAGAGGCGTCTGTTTACTCAAAGAACGCCATTACTGATGCAGCACAAGTGGACAGATTTGTTCTTATCAAATAAGTTGTGCAGGCGGTCAAATCGTCCAGTCAGTGTGCAAAGAAGGTTCTCTTCAGCCAGAGACAAAGATGTCTGCACAGCACAGCCAGCATTTGGTTAGTTTCAGAACACAAGAAAGCTCACATGAGCATTTCCTTCTGGAGTAGCTACAGAATTGCAACCTTTTCAAAATAAAACTTTTCCCTTCACCCTTTACTTTTGAAGGATGTGCCTAAGTGCACAATCAGCAGCTGCTGTGATGGAAACTAAAAGAGAGCAAAGCATGCTTGAGAGGGGTTAAAAAAATAAAAGTAAAAAACTAGCCAAATGTGTCGGAGAGCCCAGGGTGGATTTATGACAATCCGTGTAAAACCACAAGGACACAAAGTCAGTATACATTTTTATTCTGCGTATTTAACAAGCTTGTGCATTCCAGATTCTTACAAAAAGACACTGCTCGCCATGAGAGCATGCACACAGTGGCCAGACGGTTTACAAATGATTGGGCAAGTCGTCCCCCCACCACCACAGGTGTTCCATGACACGTCCCCCAAACACCACACGTGAAGATGCATCCACAGCAACAGATTAGCAGGAACCCATGCCGACAAGCCACACTCCCTCACTGTGCAGAGGGTCATCGGCCGAGCGGCTTGGCAGACATGTTTTTAAGTACCGCAGTTGGAATACACAGAGTGACAGAAGAGTAGTAAGGCTTGTGGAATGTACAATGCACAGCGCTTCATTATGAAGTCTTCTCCTGGTCGATGGCTGGAAGAGAAGAAGACGTTAGTGTCACTGGAAGGTTGGCAGACACGGCAGAATCAAAAGGGGGTTACAGCAGGTACATCACATACTTTCTTTGGTAGGCAGGGTGTTTTTCTCCTGGGTTTCGGTCTTCTTCAGCTTGGTCTTGTCGAAGTTGGCGACTTCCGAGACGTCAGGTTTGTCAGCCATTTCTGCAGAAGGTTCTAAAAACGAGACATGGGAACCCGAATGAGTGGCCCTTCAATTTAAAAAAAAAAAAAAAAAAAAAATACTGGCAGCTGTTCACCGATCAGAATAAAGAGCTCGAAAATAAAAACCGTCCCATCTACCTGCAAATATACCAAAAATGTACCTTTAATGTGAAAAAACACGCCTCGTGTGCGAGTGTTGAAGATGCTTTAGCCAGACAGTGAACGCGTGAGGCTGAGGAGGACACCGCCCTTCAATGCGATCCAGACGTGCGCTGCTTTCACTAGACGACCCCCCCCACACACACACACGCACGCACATCCCCCCACCTCCTGAACAAAAACCCGGCTAAGAAAAAGAGTCGCATGGGTAGTCCAAACGAACGAGTCGGGAGACAAACACCCAAGCGCGAGACGGTTTTGTTTGAGACACCCTTTCACCCCAAATACGCGCAGTTACCTCTGCAGCGCCGCTTTGAGGAGCTCGCGCCATCGGGAGATTTTTCCAATTAACTCCGGCGGCTTTTAGAAGACACCTCGAGCAGCTCGCGGGGAGCCTAGACCGCGCGAGCGAAAGGCTCCCCCTCAAACAATCATCGGTAAAAGGTTGAATAAAAAACAAATCATGACGCCGGAAGCGCACTCACCTGGTTTTGCGCTGTAGTGACGAAGCGATGCGCGTCTCGTGGGCACAGGAGCGGAGTGATGAGAGCAGCGTGCATCGCTGTATAAATACTGCGCCGTATGCAAATAGCCGTCTGACGTCACGCCCTTTGTCGCTAAACGCCTGCTTTTGTGTACTGAATTGATACTGATTTGATTGAACGTTTATGTAATTATCCAACGCCGATTATACAGTAGTCGTCTTTTAAAATTAGGCATGCTTTTTGAATTCATGTGAGGGAAAAGAACTGCAACCACGGGAATTCGCATTTAAGTGAGTGGCATCACCATCCCTTTTACATTTCCCCCTTTTTTGTGCCACAAAGCCGGTAGAAATGTAGCCCGCAGTGTGGCCAGAGCGGTATAATAAATTGTATTGTTTAGTTTTAATCTGCACAAAGCGTCCTATTAGACGTGTATCTGAGGGCGCCTCCCTGCGGTGAGGCAGAGGTATAACCAGGAAGTGGAGATAAGTGGGGATTTTCTTGTGGCTCTCATAATGACTTGACAGTGACGCTTGACACACTAGAATTAGGCCTGTGACTTCAAATGAAGGGTAACGCGGGCACACGTTAGTCTTTTACAAAAATTGTGTTGATTGAACCTTTTATGGGCTGGAATGCAAAAAGAGCCCCGATTTTAACGCTTGTATGGTGTTCGGGTCTGTGGTTCCCGTTTTCCTTTTTTATCAAAACTATATTAATATGATTCATTATTCTTTCAAACAGACTTATCTTGGCTTTTATACGATGAATATATATTTTAAACCACATTTACACGACCGCACACCGTAACACAACATCACATGCATCAATTTTGGGGAACAAAATGAGCTGCTTAAGAAGAAGCTGACTATGGTGGGAACGATGAGAAAAAACATATGTAAAAACAAAAAAACGAACCCCATACAAGCTTTAAATGAAATCAATTTATTTCACATAATCTATTCCACACAATATATTTATTACTACTAACAACTATTAACAAAAGTATTATCAATGTCTTTGTTTGTCTTCAGCTAAGCCCACGACAAAGTGATACAAGTTGTAAAAGGACCACATCAGAGTGAACATAGAACAAGCGTTTTAGACAGGGTCAAAATCTTAGTCAGAACTGAACCCATCGAGGGTCATTGGTTCACTTGACGGTGAAGTACTTTTTATAAGTCTTGTTGCATATCGCCTGGTTGTCCACTTTGACCACGTTCCTCAAAGTGGTCCAAAACCAGGGCTCTGCGGCAGGTGTTTTCGGCCACTCCAAGACACTTTTCCTGCACATCCTCTTCCTCAGGCGCAGGAAGTGAGAGTTCTGCAGGACGGGTTCCAGCATCAGCAGGACGATGACGTCCTTGTTTTCATCAAGCAGTCGTTGGTGGGCCAGACACATCGCCAGCTTGAACACCCCGGTCTTAACATAGGCCTCGGTTAAGACGAACAGGGTCTTGCTACTGTACCGGATGCTCTGGGAGAGGTTTTCCACCAGTGGGGCTCCAAGAGCCCAATCCCTCTCCTCCAGACACAGAGGAAGATACATATCTCCTTCCTCCTCCAGTTTTACTCGCAGATTCGTCATCACCCACTCAGAGACATGTGGATCTCTGGTATCGTACATCACGAAGACACCGTAGACACTGTCTGGTGAGTTCAAGGATTTGTATCCTTTCAGCTTGGCTTTCATATAGTGAAGCACGTAGGAAGCATCCCAGTAAAATAAGTGAGCAAGTGTTGCCACAAACATGAAAACAATAATAAAGGAATTTGTGAGGATGTAGATCATGAACGCCTCACTGTCATTTACACACTGATCAATGCCAAAGTAGATCAGAGCATTACCCTTCATGTTGGCTGGTGTGTCGCACGTTACCTTGGAGGTCAGTCTGGGGATCTTTACATCACTGTTTTCAATCCACAGAATGAAATCTAATGAATCACAGGTACACTGGAATGGGTTTCCCTGCAAGAACAAGGTCTGAATCTGTGATTCAGGTCTGGATTGGAAGGTGGATTCATTGATTGTAGTTAGTTTGTTGTTGCTAAGGATCAGAGTCGAGAGGCTCCTGGCGCCCTTCAGAAACCCGTTCTCCAAGTGGAAAATGTGATTATGACTCAGGTCAAGGTAAGTCAAAGAGATGTTTAGGTTTATACCTGTCACATTATATATGTTATTGAAGCTCAGGTCTAAAATTTGTAGCTGATGGAAACGCATCAGTTTGTCCCATCTAAAATCAGTCAGAAAATTGTGATGTACGTGTAACATGGTGAGGTTAGGTGGCAAATATTCATAAACATTTTCTGGAATCTTTTTTATGCAGTTGTGTGATATATCTAAAATTGTCAAATTAGTAAGATTAGTAAAAAGCATTTTGTAGCTGCCAAATTCTTCTTTCCAAAGAGTCCCGAGTAAATTATGTGAAAACTGAAGTTCTGTTAGTGATTTGCTGTACATCCTTTTTGTTGTCAACCTGGAAATGGAATTGTGACTCATATTCAGCACCCTGAGAACCGGCAGATTTTTAATGAAATTTAAATTAAGCGTTATCCCAAATTTCTTAAAGTAGTGGTCATTGTTACTGAGGTCCAGCACTTGTAGTTGCTTTAGTTCTTTGAAGGCGTTGTTATAGGCCAGATCAATCTTATTGAATGAAAGGTCTAGGTATGTCAGATTTGGCAGCAAGGAGAACTCTGTTCCATTGAGTGCGGCTGAGAATCCGTTACTGGAGAGGTTGAGGCATGCGATATCCCCATAGCCCTGAAATTGCTCGCGAGAAATGAAGAACAGATTATTTGAGCTGAGGACTAGCACTCGTCCAGAGTTAAAGCACTCTTGTTTGATAAGGAGGTGTGACAGTTCAAAATCTCTATTTTCGGGATACGTGAGCGGTGGAATAAAGAGGTCTGACCCCTGATTGTATCCGTAAGTTAGGTGTGAGCTATTTTTCCCTGGGATTGGATACAGCCTGTTTTCTGCGAGGTATAACATTTTCAGGTGGCGAAATTGTTTGAATATATTGGAATCAGATTGGATAATGAAGTTAGTCCCCAGGTTCAGGGCAGACAGGTTGTAGAGACCGTACAGGGATTTGAGCGTGTGCGATCCAATATTCTGAAAGACCAAACCCTCCAAATGCAAAGTTCTGAGATTTGAGAGTTTTGAAAACTCTTTTGAGAGATGTATTGTCACAGGGTAAAGCATTAATGCAAAGTTGAAAGAAATATCAACTAGTTCTAATTTTGGAAGATGTCTTAGAAACGTTGCCTCGCCAGTTATTGTTTTTAATAAGAAGTTGAAGGACAGGAACAACTCTTTAAGCTCGCTTAGACTCTCAAACCAGGAGGGATTCAGGTGGTCCAGTGAGTTTCCACCCAAGTTCAGAGTTTTAAGCTTTGTGAGATTCTGAAAAGCATTAAGATGGATACTGAGAGAACCATTTTGGCAAGGAACACATGGAAATGGAGCATTTTGACATCTTGGACAGTTCCCTTCTATTTTCAGAACTTCTAAATTTGGTAGCCCCAGGAAAGCGTCTCCAGATATGGCCTGGATTTGGTTTTTACCCAGCTTCAACATGATTAATGAATTGGGTAATCCAACGGGAACTTCTGTTAAGTTGTTGGAAGACAAGTCCAGATGCTGCAGTTTGTGCATGACTGCAAAACTGTCTTCCCTAATCCTGACAGATTTCCCACAAGGGTTCCCGCTGTAGCAGTTTCTGGATAACATCAAATGAGTCACATTTCTTAAGCCATTAAAGCTCCAATTTTCCGGCAAAGTAATCTTGTTAACACTCAGGTCTAGGGTTCCCAGGCTGAGAGGGAGATTCTTAGGAATCTCTGTCAGACCGATGCACATCAGCATCAGGTGTTGAAGTTTCGTCAGATTTTTGAAAGCATTCGCAGCAATCGTCACAGTTTTGTTTTCTTTCTTGTTTGCCCAGCCGAGATTGAGTCGAGTCAGATTCGACAGGTTGGAAAATGAATCAGCCCAAATATTCCCTATGTTGTTGTTTGACAAGTTAAGTTCAGTTGCGTTAGCGGTTATCCCATGAGGTACCATATACAGACGACGGTCATGACAGTCAAATAGGACCTCTGAGTTATTGTAGGCTCTGACGTCACAAGGGAACTGTGCTCTCATCCATGTAGGTTTACATGCAGCAGGTTGGATCTCATGATGGGTACACAGGGAGAACAGCAGCAAGTGCATCCATCGTATGACGGCCTGTAGGTGAACAATAAAAACAGTGAAATCCGGTATTACATGTATATCATACACAACATCAGGCATTTAGTGTTATTGTAATAGTTAGAAGGTATCATTACAGCAAAAGCAAAACCTGCTTCAATGTTCATATGGGCACCCGACTAATGTTTTTGGACAGACTTAACAAATTGTCAATCGACCCATGAGCGCAGTGAAAATGACTTTTTCCAAATGGTACCATGTGTAACCAGCAGGTGGCAGCTCTCTGCAGGTCGAATATCCTCCCAGCCATCTCTCAATTGAAATAACTTCCCTTTGCAGATGGAAGTCTGTCAACCCGCTTAAAACCAGACAATGTAACTAAGTACGTCATTCCGTCTCCAAAAAGCCACAAATTCTCACTTTTTCCTTTTATTCCCCATCAGCTGCTGTAGATCGATAAGAATGTTTCACAGTGGGAGACACTATCAGATATATATATATATATATATATATATATATATATATATATATATATATTATCTGTGCCTGTGACTATTTGCGCTCTTTACTGAGGCTGTGATCTTTTCCGTCAAGGATATATAGATAACATGGAAATAATCTACACTTAGCCTCTTAATAAGATACCAACCTGACACCTCATCTTTGGAAATTACAGTTTAAAATGTGGTCTGTGGGTTTGAAGGATGGTTGGCTCTGCAGCATGAGTTTATAATCACAAGTCCACTCTTTCACTGTTACTGTCTTAGCAATAGGGATACGGATAAGAACAGAGAAGATTGGATATAGTTTGTTTTCCACAAAGTTGTGAGTAAATTTTAATGTAACACACCAGTAGAAAAAATGCCATTGAACAGTTTTTAATGTGTCAAAGCATACACAGCTGCTTAAAGTATGATCTAGTGCCATAAAGTAATGACAAAAACACAAAATCACTACGAATTACATTACACATTCAATGAAAACGCACATCAGGGTAACCAGAAAATCTATAACGCACCGTGATGACGTCTGAGCAGAACATTTGGTATACTTTTAGTAGATACATGCTATAAAATGGGCCAATATTACAAATGAAGTCCAGAGAAACGTACAAATAAAACTCACCATTGTGCCTGTACTGTTCAGATTTCTTATGAAAAACTTGAAAAACCCTTAAAAAAAGCGACGTGGCACTGTGCAATCTTTCTTGTAAAATTGCAAATGAACTGTAAAAAAATGTCCGTCTTGTGTGTCGTGAAGTTACCGCAGGTAAAGATATCCTCCTCAGACTAGGTTCTAGGAATTGTAAAGCCTTTAAAATACAAGTAAACCTTGTTGCTGAAGTCAAGGGGAACAAACTGGCTGGCCCTCACAATGTGCTTCTCTGCAAAATGATGAAATGTGAATTGAAGAAGTGAATCTCCTCCAGTTCCCCTTTTCATGTGTTAGCGCTGTTGTTGTCGTCTCAAATTGAAAGCTATTGTTTTCTGTGTAGATGGCCTAGAGTCTCTATGATGGGACATACATTGCAGTACACTTGTATTTTGAATTATTATTTCAAAAGCACGCATAATAATAAAAAGCAATGACGTGAAGTCATTAGAAAACAAATCGATTAAAAAAATTGCACTCAGAAAAAAGCACTTTTGAGATATGACTCAGAGGGGACTCCTGGTGGGATGGGGGACAAAGATTAGGTTGTTCATTTACAGAAGTATATTCAGAACAATCCTAAATTAAAGGAGGAACCAAGTATTTCAGTGTATTGCTTTTTTCCTTCACAGCGTCTCTTTAAATAGATTGTTGTACTGCTTGTGACTTTCAGTTGCTAAAACACTTCTCAAGCTAAACCAGAAGTACAGCTGGGCCTGAGGGTTTGTTGGCCACTCCAGCACCGACCGCTTAAACAGTCTCTTCCTCAATCTCAGGTACTTTGAATTGCAGGCCACTTTCTCCAAGAAGATCAGCACAATAACGTCATTTTTTTCGTCCATCAGCCTTTGGTTGGCCATGTAAAAAGCTGTCTTGAAGTTGCCGCTTTTGAGGTAGCTGCTGGTGAGAATGAACACGGTCCTCTTGCTGTTGTGGATGCTCTGGGAGAGGTTGTCGATCAGGGGGCAGCCCGGGATCCAGTCCCGTTCCTCCAGACACAGCGTCAGGCGGCGGTCCCCGCGCTCCTCCAGATGAGCGCACATTTCCTTCATCACCCACTCTGTCACCGCCGAGTCCTCTTTGTCGTACATCACAAAGGCATCATAAGCGGAGCTTTGGGAGCGCAGGCGTCTGTAACCTTTGAACTTTGCCCTGCAGAAGTGGTAGATGTACCAGACGTCCCACAGGAAGAGGTGGCTGGAGATTGACAGTGTGAGGAAGCTGAGGACCAGGGAAGTCATCAGGGTGTAGAGGGTGATTGACAGGTAGCTGTGCTGGCAGGCCAGCAGGTCAACTGAGATCACAGATTGACCCCTCTGAGCCCCCGGGCTAGCGCATGTAACATCCGTGGCCAGTCTGGGGATGGTCACTGTGGTCCTGTTGAGCCACGTGATGAACCAAGTGGCGTTGCAAGTGCACAGGAATCTGTTGTTGTGCAGAAGCAGCTTTTGCATCTTGTCAACGACGTCATCTGGAAAGCTGGATTTCTCAATGTGCTGGATGTGGTTGTAACTAAGATCCAGGTATTCTAACTTGTGGGCATCCTTGAGGAAATCTGGCGTGAGTTTTAGAATTTGGTTTTTATGTAAAAGGAGCTTCTTTAGGGATTTGGAACAGATTGACAGCATGGGGGGGACAGAAGTCAAACTGTTTCCACTGAGATCTAAGACTTGCAAAGACTGCAGAAGCTGCAGTTTCTCCCAATTAAAGGATTCATCTTTTAATTGGTTGTTTTTGAGGTAGAGCTCAGATAGCTTGTCTGGCAAACCGCTGAACACCTCGGGTGGAATGAAATTGAGGTTGTTTTGAGAGATGTCGAGGACAGTAAGATTGAGTAAGTTTTTGAAGTAATTGACATATCTGGTGTCCCCGTCCCTCCACAACATATCTAACCGGTTATTTCTGAACTCTAACCTCTCCAGAGATTGACTTTCCAGCTCCGTGTTGGTGGAAGTGGAGATCTTGTTGTTGTTCATTAGCAATACCTTGAGTTTTTTCAAATTCCTAGTAAAATTGAGCATATGTGTCAAGCCCTCTGACTCAAAGTAATGGTTATTGTAACTTATATCCAAGATGACCAGATTTTTCAGCTCTTGAAAGGCAGTGGAGTACAGCAGATCCAAGCGATTGTAGGAGAAATCTAGGTATTGTAAATTAGTCAGATATGTAAACTCAGAGCCGTTCAGACTTTGGCTCATTGCATTACCAGACAGATTGAGGCATCGCAGCTCTCCGAAATTTAAAAATCTGGAATGCAAGAAGAATATGTTGTTTCTGCTCACATCCAGGGTTTTGCCGAACTGACTGCAATTCTTGTTGACAAAGAATGTGATTTTTCCGAGTTCTTTATCTTTGTATTTGCAGCTGCGGGCGTATTCATCGTATCTGAAGTAGTGCATCTCTCTCACTTCCTTACTTTGGTACTGAGCTGAGGCCGACATGGGCGACCAGTACAAGGGCTCTCCACCCGAAAAACCCACACCATCCAGGCCGTCGGAGGGGGATGAAATCTTGTTGTCGGACAGACTGATTATTTTAAAGCTTTTTAGTTCCATCAGAATACTTAAATTTGTCATTTTAATAAAATTTGTTCCAAGGTCTACGACCTCTAAGTTCGGGAGATGTTTCAACGGGGCGATGCTCTCCGACTGCAGCTGCTGAAACACGAAGCCCTTCAGCCTGAGAATCCGCAGGGATTCCAGGTAGGAGAAACTGCAGCTCAGCCTCAGTGTTTCAGGGTACCTCTGAAGCTCGTAATTAAACGAAAGGTCCAATTCCTCCAGTTTCCCAAGATATCGTGGGAAGTCTGTGAATCCTATCGCTCTCGCTAAAAAATTCGAAGAGAGATCCAGCTCTCGCAGCTCTGGTGTGCTGGCGAACCACTCGGACTGCACACATGTCAGCGAGTTGCTGTGCAGGCGCAGCGTCGTTAGCTTCGTCAACATTTTAAAAGCCGCCTTGCTGATATTTAGCGGGGAATTATTTGGGCACGGGATACATGGGAAAGGAGCGTTGTAACATCGTGGACAGTTTCCGCTTATGTCCAGAATCTGAAGCTCAGTGAGGTTTTTGAAATCGTCACCCGTGACGACTTGGATGTTGTTGTTGTAGAGGTACAACTCCTTCAGACTTGGTGGTAGTTGATGTGGAATGAAGGATAAGTTATTTGACTTAAGACACAGCAATGTTAAATTGTTTAGCTGTAAAAATGCACCATCCTCTATAGCATATGAGGCATTGCATGGGTTACGGTAATAACAGTTTTGACTCAGGTACAGCATCTGAATATTTCTAATCTCGGAGAGGTTGACTTTAGAAATATTATAAATGTGATTCACTTCCAAACTGAGCAGGATCAGGCTTTGGGGGAGGCCCTTAGGTATGGTGTAGAGCTGATTGCCATCTAGGTAAAGCGCTCGCAGCTCCTTCAAACTGGCAAAGGTGTTTTCCTCTATAATCACACTCTGAGTGCACATGCGATCCTTGGGCCCGATTTTAATGGGCACACAGTTGCACCTCATGTCGATTTCTTTCAGGTTCTCCAGAGCACTAAAGGAGGTGGAGTTTAACTTAGGAATGTGATTGATGGTGAGCGTCAGATTGGTCGTGTCTCTCGGGATGCCTCGGGGGATTCCTCTGAGGCTCCGCTCGGTGCAGTCGACCGTCACCGTGCTGCCATTGTGGCCCTCGACAACGTCACATGGCAGAGTTTTGGGGTAAGACACAATGGCCGTTGTTATTGAGAGGCAACACCACGTTGCCAGCAGTGCCACACACATCTGTATGGAAACACAGGTGGTTCACTGATGATACAGTTACCATAACTAAGGAAACACACACACGCAGTGCACATATAACGCACGCTAGAAACAACAGATATGGCAACAGGTACATGCTTGCTTCTTACGTTAATTTTACCGCCCTTCTGATGTCAAAGACAACCAGCCAGCTCCCGACTTATGACTGTAAATTATAAGGCAAGGCAGTATATGAACAACGATAGATAATATTCACCAGTTGGAAGAACATCGTCCCTGAGAGTGTCGAGCGAGGTCCTCCTACGAGTGTTTGATGGCGTAGTAAAAGAAGCTCAACGTTGGTGCTCAGCTCTAAGGTGATGGGATGAAAGTAACAGGTGGCCGGTTAAGCCCACGTGTGTATAGTTAGGCAGCATCACTTCCTCTTTTTTAACTAATCACACGCATCTGAATGTTCCATCTTTTATAATGTGTGTTTGATAACGGTTGACTGATCTTGTGTGATTACATAATAGAGTAAACAAGCTTCACGGAAAGGTTCCTCTAAAGAGCTTCCCTTTATAGGGGATTATAGTCCCTCGCTCTTTGTTCAGCGAGGTGGATGGGTTGTGGGTTATTCAGCGGTCCAAGAGCTGTTTCATTTCGGGTTCGCCTGCATGAGAAAGTGAAACCCAAGTTCTGGTTTAGGCTGAGCAGCTTACATGTGAACATGTCCTTTGCCAAGGACTTTGTGGCTATGCTAAGCTGCTATAGGATGGACTGCGGCGCACATAGCCTACAGACATTTGTGGATGCACCATATTCATTTGATGATCATGTAGCTTTTCATTTAGTAGCATCTGTTTACATTTGGATTTGAACAATGCTTTGGATCATTTTTAAATAACTGCTAATAAAATTTTCAGCATCGTCATCTGTGCTAATGAAGTTTTGTGGTCACTAGCAAATGCTAGCATGCTAACTAGCTGGACTAAGATGGTGAACACGCTACAAAAACATCATCATCATTAATGCAAAAAGCATTACCACCACTCAGGCGTGATTATATGGTAAAATCATTCATAGTTGTAAAATTGGTATACATTGGGGAATTTCCACATACCAGTGCAGAGATACAAAATACGTAACTGTATGGGAGGTAAACACAACAGACACAAATAATTTGAGAGGACATTTAAAGAGTTTTAATGATGTTGACAAAAACCCAGGAAGGACTCAGTGCTTGTGTGTAAAGTAATGATTAAATTGAGGTGAATCTAGCAAAAAAAAGGTCTTGCTTGATTGAACACGTCTTGTCCTGTGCAATAATTTGTCAAGAGCTGTATAGTGTATGCATTTCTCTAACATATATATTCTTAGAATGTATAAACAAAGTAGCAATAAGGTTGTATTAATCTACATATTAAACCCCTAATTTAACATATAAATCATAAAACATCTTCCCTTTTATATGATATAAGATAACATACTAGAGAGCCGGGTCATATGCTTCTTCCTGGAGGCCTTATTATAATCTATTTAAAACTATTGACTCTTTTGATTTAGATTTTTTACTTTCCATAACAAAATATTATATTTACAAGGCAATTTTTTTTCTCACAGCAGTTCACATTGGTTGTTAAACCCATGTCCCTTATGTATGGCTTTAAAATCAATAATTAGGACAAAAGTTCATTTGTAGAGCAGTGTTTTCAGTGAGTGAGTCAGTGCGTCTATAACAGCGGACATGGTGGAAGAGTCACGTGTCAGTGCATTCACACTTTGGTCACAGGGGGAACTTCCTGAAGCCGCCTCGGCCGCTTTCAGCAGACGCACGTAGTTCACGGCGACCTCCTCCACTTTGGCCACCACCTCACGCCGCTTGCTCTCGGGGCTCAGGCCTTCCGCGAGTGACATGCAGGCTTGCGCTAGGCAGCACAGTGTGTGGAAGCTGTGCGTCAGAGTGAGCAGTAACTCCTCCGGGCTGCTGTACTCCACGGCCATCTGACCGCACGCCCGGCTCAGCGCCTCGGCCTGCGCCGACAGCAGCTGGGAGAACGTCTCCACCCCGTCCCCGTTGACCTCGCTTTTCTCACCGCGGGACGGGCGCCCGGGACCGGATCGCAACACGCCGACCATCTCCATGGCATCCTTTCGCGCCAGTGCGAACCCCGCCTGCAGGCTGTAGGTTTTCCCCTTCATAGAATTCACGCGAGCTAGCCTCGCTTCGAGGCTGGTGTCGCGCGCAGCTGAAAGCGCGTTGCTCTGCTGCGACTTCATGGCTGCGCTTCGCTTGCGATTGACAGGAGCCGAGTTGACAGAGAACGGAGCATGTGAGGGCATCTTTCCGTCTTCATCATCACAATCAGTGGGGTTTTTTTTGCGCAGGAAGCAGTGGCCGAAGGGCACGCGGCGCCTCCACATTGGCCTGTGTGCATCCAGCCTGGCAGCTGTTGACTCTGGCAGCAGGGAGGACTTGAGCGGCCTTTTGCTAGACAAATTGGAGGCGACTGAACCTTGGGAGAAGCTCTTGGGCAAGGTTTTGGCCGAGAATATCCCCTGTGCGTTTGGGGGAGCTTGTGACTGGAAACTCCGACCACCACTTTTTCTTGAGAGTGTGGCCGTGGTCTTTTCTAACAGCGCTTCTAAGCTCCTGGAGACCGGCATTATGGTGCTCCAACTGGTCCTGGGCATCGCGTCCCCGCGTGGCTTCCCGAGGCTGCTTGTTTTAGGGTCACACGGAGATCCGCTTGAGGGGAAAGCCTGGGCGTGTGGGACGGGCTCTGGGCTGGCCAGTGTTAGCCCACTGGGCTCTGTGCTACTTCTTAATGATGACAGTGAAGTGGTTGTGGTGGTGATACTGGTCTCCTTACAGAGAGCTAAAGATGACTCTTTCCCAACCTTCACCAGCTGTGTGCAAGCTACACTAGGGGTAGATGGAGAACAGAGAGAACTGTTAAGCATTTCACATGTAACATTAATAGTGACAAATATACTTTGTATGTACTATATACACAAACATGATGATTTGCATATTACCTTGAATATGCTAAATGGAATTCCTAAAGGGGCAATAGATGAAAATCCTTTCTTTTAAAGTAGTGGTGACCAAGTTAGGTTTTTGGCTTAAAACCCCATAAACATCATTGTCTACTTGGAACCTCCTTGTCAGCTTTCGTTTTTCTCCTTTTTGATTTTTTCAAAATTAAATAAATAATAAATTATAAATAAATAATGATTGATGGTAAATAAATTAAATAAAAATTTTGAAACAGAAATATAATCCTAAATGGTGACCTTGGTAAAAAATACTCTTTTTCTAAAAACTAGACTTATCTTCTTCGAATTGATTTGTTGAAAATCCTGACAGCAAATAAAGACTTTAAAAGCTCTGACAAAAGGAGGAAGATAAAGTCTGCCCCATGACTGTATAAACCCTTTCGATCATTTCCGTCTTCAAGCACACTGCTGCACTTCATGACAGTCGTATACATTCATTACGTTAATAATGCTAATTTCGGGTGAGTGGGTTTGGAGGGAGGCGGGAAAGGACCGGCTGTCAGAGTGTTGCCGTGGCAACTTTCTCACTAGATTTAGTGGTTTTCAGTAGGTCTCGTACATGCTTGCTAGTTTTCGCTTTAACATTGTCAGCATGTTACCACTTTCTATGTCAGTATGTTAGCATGCCAACTTCGGCAAGACAGGCTGGTTGACCCTTCTTTTTCAGTCAAACCTATTAAAGGTTAGATATGACGAGGTAGATGTAGGAAAGGTTTTAGTTATTCATGCAAACTGACCATTCAAAATGTACCCTGTGTTTTGCCTGACTGCAAAGACTTAAGTAAATGTCCCTTTTTGTGTCACAGAGAAAAAGGGACAAGAAGGAGCAATCTCCTGTTTAGCTTTACCTGTGGTTTCTTTAATCTTGGGCTTCCGATGACCGCCATCCCGTGTGGTCCCGAACCCGGGCTCGCCACTGGTTGCTGCATGGGTCTTCCTCGGCAGGGTGGGGTCCACGGAGTGGCCGGCCCTCCCCTCGCCGGGGGGCCCAAAGGCCTTATCCTGGGCCGTTGCATAACTCAGCCCCTTGAGTGAGGACTCCGAAAGCACATGCATATTGTCTGTGGCACAAAGAGGAGAATCCATGGGAGTCGCACAGCTGCTGCTGCCTGTGCTACAACCAGCGTCTATGGAGGAACACTGTGAGCCGTGCAGAGGATGAGCGCCTTCGCTCTGTATCGACGACATGCGCTTGCTCACTTTGTACTCGCGCGACTGGGTGACGTCGCGCTCCGACGGCGGGATCTTAATTTGCTGCTGCTCGTTGTCCTGGGAAGCGGCCTCTCCCTCTGCGAGCGCAGCCGCTTTGCACGGAGAGCGGAGACGGTCGCTCGACTGTTGGCTTCCTTCGCTCGAGTCACGTTTCTCTCCCTTCACTGTTAGCTTGTCCGCGTGGGAAGCCTGTGGGTCGAGATGGTCGGGCATCTTGTTTCCGGGCGCTCTCTGCTGCCATTTTTGATGTCCGTCTTTAAAGTGAGTCCGCCCGAGATCGAGTTGATTCATGTAGTAGGAATCTCTCACGGTGAAAGCGTTGTACTTCCCGACAAGATGAGGGGACTCGTCTCTTGGCGAGTCGCGAGGAGCCACGTCGGATCTGTTAGAAGATTCACAGGTATCTGCCTCCCTCTGTTTCCCTCCCTGTCTGCTCATTACCGAGTCAAGGTGCATCTTAGTGAAGTATTCGCTGACCGACTTCATTTCCATCGTCTCTGGCTCCATTTCACCGCCATCCGAGTGCAGGATATGCGAGGAGGCGACGGCAGAAGATTTCGCCTCGCCATCTTGCTGCTCCTGGGGGTTGCGCCGCCCGGCTCCCGGTGCACCGTCGCCAGGTGCTGCTGCGGCCCGTGTCTTTTCCTCGTTCGCGGCGTGGTATCCTTCTGCCACAGCTGCGTGCATCCTCAGGTGGTTTTCTGAGTGTCTTTGAGCGGTGGCCAGCTCGGAGCTCTCTGTCATCTCAGAGGAGTTTGTCTCATTGCCAGAATCGGAGGAATCGGGACTAAATGCACGAGATATTTCTACGCCTGTGTACCAAAGACAGACAAAATACTTTGTTAAAGAATTCAAATGACACGGGGGAACCATCGCAGATTGAGGGATGAGTGAACTGGAGCTGTAGTGAAAAAAATGTAATTCAACATGAAGGGGTGGAATAGGTGAATGGGAAAATAATATGATTAACATAAATCATAATCACATAATTAACAATCAAATCACGGAATCTTAAAATATTGCTACGTCACAGTCAAGACTTCAAAATGGGTATTCCATGGATTGCTTTTTAGTTTTTTTCTATATTAGACACAAATATTTGACATATTTGGCAGTGTGCAAATCAAAACAACATGTAATGATCAATAAAAAAAACACAAGTCTTGCCAAAATGAATGATACTGTGGTGAACACAACCGTCTGTATGATGAAATGAATGAAGAAACACTCAAACACACAAATGAAAACATAGAACAAAATGGGCTTTATTGAAAAAAGGACAACAACAAATTAAAAGCGAATGGCTGCAACATGTTTGGTGTTAATGAATGAATGTTACAATCGTGTAAGGAGAACCTGTGCTACTCTCTGACGGTGCCGCACTCTGTTCCTCGGATGCAGCGAGGGCCTCGAGCGCCTGTAAGGTCGACACCACTGCGTCGTTCAGAGGCTCCTCGTGGTCCTCAGCCCCGAGGTTGGGTACCGAATCTATGAGAGACACCGGGATGTCGTTGCAGGCCCCCTGTGCCCGATTCCCGGCCCCCTGCTGCTGCTGCTGCTCCTCCTCGTCAGAGCTGTCCCTGAAGCCTGGAGGAGGCGCAGCGATGGCCAAGTTAAGAGAGTGCAGCAGCACGTCGTTGTCCTCCTCGTCGTTCCCCTCCGGCGGGGGAGGGAGGGAAGTCAAGTCGATGATGTCATCGCTGGACCCCGAGAGCGAGAGCAACGTAGGCTTGTCAATGTCACTCATCACCATGTCCTCCTCGCAGCTGATGTCATCCTCGTCCTCGGCCTCGTCTGTCGTCTCCGCGTAACAGATGTCGTGCAGCAGCGGCTCCTCGATGCATTCAGTAGGCCCAAAGATTTTGGTGGAGTACTGGTAACCGTCCCCGTCTTCTATGGCGTCCATCATCTTATAGTCCTCTTCGAGACGCCTATACATGTGGCCGTGACTGTCTAAAATCTCTGGGGTCTCATCCATCAGTCTCTGGTAGCCCAGATTTTGGGGGTTTACACTGTCAAAGGTTGGATCTCCAAATATGAAGGAGACCTTTGCGCCCCTGGAAGAGTCTTGGGGTTTGGGCCTCGGGACGTTGAGGTAAGTTTGGGTGCAAGGGATCCTGCAGCACTCCGCCCTCTCTGCCATGTGAATTGAGTGCTGGGCCTGGTGGATCTCTGTGATGTAAACTTGTTGACCTTCAAATTTCCCGTGCTCAAGGTACTCCTGGTCAGAATAATCTTGGCTGCATCTCTGGTTGTTTCTGTCCTGGAGTCCTTTGTGGGGTGTGCTGTATGTACACTCAATGGCCTGGTAGGGCTGCTTTACTCTAGACGCGTGGCCTGCAAAGAGGAACCAAAAACAGTTAGCAGGTTTATTTAAAACACACAAAATCTCATGAGTCATCTCGTGATCATTTCCGGCCTACTCGTGTTTGTGTTTTTGGCCACATTGAAGATGGAGCGCCTCGAGTCCACCAGGAGTTTGTAGTAGCCGGCGGTCAAACAGGCGAGATTCATTGCATCAGCAGACTCCATTAAGAGAGTGATGGGCTGTGAACGAGGCAGATAAGCAGAAGGCAATGAGGGCAAAGTAAATGGGATCGTGGGGAGAATAACGTTGTAGTGGCTGCTAAACAGATTTGGTGCTGTTGAAAGAAGAGGGTCCGCTAACCTTTACGTCCAGAACATGAAGCTCCACTCGAACCCTGTTGTCATCTTCTGTATACATCTCAATGCGGTTGACGTGACTGAAATCGGCCAGGAGAGCCACCAGGTTTGTTTTGGTGTTAATCACATGACTAATGCCATACTTGGGTCCCACCAGCAACGTCACTTCTGTGTGCTTCTCGCCTTGCTGCGAAGTAAAGGGAGCGTTGGCACACGTGTCACTTTCTGCATGCACTTGAGCAGCGTGTGACACGGTGTTGTGTTGTCTGTCGCGCGCTGGCAGCAGCACATGATGTGAGAAGACGGTTTCACTCACAATTAGCGTGGATTTAAAAACCCGTCCTCCGTACAGCCGCAGATCGCTGAGATACTTCAGATAATGGACCTTTGCCTGCAAGGCTGTCAGCTGGAATGGGGGAGGAAACATGACACATAGGATGAAATACACGCTGAGCTTATTTAAATGAGGTGTTGACAGCAGAATGTAACATAAAAAAAAAACACCATTATTTTGAACACTCCACTAGATGGCAGTAAACAGTATTTTCAGACGTAGTGGAAGAGAAAGATGAAGAGAATTACATACAGAGAGAGAAAGACATATGGTGGGAAGGGGTAATACACTGCACCTTTTTACCAGGCGGCACCAGGTTCTGGTTGGTTTTGAGGATGTGAGTGAGGGCTTTTTTGATGTTCTTCTCCTTCATGCTAGACAGCACGGCTGGAGGCAGGAACAACGCCAGACCCCACTCCTTCCTGCGGACCCACGACCCGTTAGGATTATAGGAGGTCACCCAGTCGCTACAATAAACAGTCAAGTCATTACTCGTGACCACTGATGGAGTGACTTCACTCTGAGGTGGTACATTGATTAACTGTAAAGGACGCAATCAGAATCATTTACTGAGCAAGGGTGCGTCTTCTGCCAGTGCTGTTGCATAACACCGGGGAGATCATTGTTGCTTTACTGTGTGAGAACATTATAGACTGAGTAACAAACCAGGAAAAATGACTCTGTAGTTATATATGCATGTGCGCAGTGGGAAATCTACTCACTCAATATACTTTAAGGAAACCTTCTGGGACTGCTTGGTGTTGATGGTTAGAATGTACATTTGCAAGGCAGCCAGATGAAGGGCCGTGTCGTATTTCAGCTCCGACCCAAATCTCTCCAATACCACATCATTGCAGCTCTGGAGGAGCGGGAGAGGACAGTGGCAGGTTACAATTCCGTCAACCTGAGGCGACGACACTCAAACAGGAATAGTGTGTTTTCTAAGAAAGGTTATTACAGACTAAAATGAAAGGTGCTGAAGTGGCTTTAGATTTGCATACTGTGATTCTTTTAAAACTTTCAACATAACATAAGCCGCACTGCGTGTTTGACTGTCATCAACTGGTGACATTCACCTGAACATAGAGGTACTCAAATGCTACAGCGTCTCTCCTCAGGAGGTCCAAGGGATCCTTCGGGACAAAAGTGAGGCGAAAAAAGCACTTCATCTTTTGCGATCCTGGCCTCTGCGTCACCTAGAGCACAAGATACAAAGGGACCTGTTAGCTAAGTTTACAGTATGTATCTGCAAACAGGGAGGAATACATGCAGAAATGTGATATCAGGCCTATCTAAAACCATGGGGCCTGTCAGGATTACTAAATCAAAGTGATTCAACAAATAGATGACTCTCATTTTGGGAAATGAGCTCATCGCTTTCTTGCAGAGAATTATATGAGAAGACCTACGCCGCTCCCAAATCTGTCCAATAAATGAAGCTGGCGAGCTTGCTCTGTGCAAAAGGGGAAGAAATCCACCCAATAGCACATCCCAAGTAAAATGTTTTATCCCTTTAATAAAGTGTTTTTATGTAAAAACAGTGATGTGTCAATGCAATAAACTGATTAAGCCAATTTCCCACAATGTTGTAACATGTAACATTTTCCTGTAAAAGCTGTCAAGCTGACAAAGACCCTGCAGTTCCCCTTTGGTCCTACAGCATGAGCACAAAAAACATTCATCTGAGTACAAGGTTGGTATCCTCCCTCTGTTTTGTTGAGTCTATAATTGAACTGCATCGCTCTTGTTTAGTAAGAGAGGAAAGCTGACTCACCTGAGTAAGCATCTCCTGCTCATGCAGGAGCATAGGTTTGCTGGCAGACCCCTCAGCTCTTTGTTCCAGCATCAGAGAGAAGTGCTCGATACTCTTAATGGATAGCTTTTCTTGCAGGGTCAAGATGACATCCTTTCGGCAAGGCAAAATTGTAGTTAATATAATATGAGAACCCTGCAAAGGCTGCAGCCTGCTTGCGCTCAGCTTAATGTCAAAACCATCAATCATTTTCCCGGCTGAACACGTGCAGAAACATCGAGCGTAACATACCATCAGAGTTTCAACTGCAGTGTAAAAGAAATACAGGAAATGTAAATGTGAATTGTTGACCAGGTTTTCTGTGCACTCAGCTGTCGGTTCAGTTCAAAATGTGTTTTAGTCATGTTTCTGTGCAGGTTCTGAAGGTCAAGGTTTGCACTTTATAACGTGAAACATTCAACATTTAAACCGAATATCACTTTAGATTACGCAACTTCATTTCACAGTGAAGCGAGGTTCTCCTCAACACTTACCTTAATGGATGTGCTGCTGTCAAATTTAAATGATTTAGTCTGCCCGTTCTCCAGGTACACCTTCAGAACATTTGGCATGAAGAGAAGGGAGTTGTCCTTCATCGTTTCCTGAGGATAACAATCATTTGATATTTATATACTGTGGTTAAAGCTGGGGTTTGCACAAAAATACAGAAGAACCTTTTATCATTTTGTGGTTAGTATTAAAGAAGGGCTCAAATGTGCAGCCCTCATCCTTCCCTCTTAGTCCTAAGCGAGTACTAGTCGCTCATATCAAACACATTGGTTGTAATTGCCCGAATAAAGACAAATTCTATGAGAATAACCATTCCTGTTCCATTTGCAAGCTTGTGCGCCTGTAAAACCTTGCTGTGATTCTCAGCTGGCTACAATAGAAGAGAACATGGTGCCAGTTGAGAGATGGAGAGAAATTGTTAATAGTTTGCTTTCTGCTAAACATAGTCGTGAGCTGCATGAGCCGCATCCGAAAGTATTGGAAAAATCCTCCCTCCATCTCTGAAACGCCTTGCCAATATTGATCCATCTTCCATCTTTGAATTGCTTTGCAGTGTAGAAAATTGTTGCCGATGCAGAAACAGTAACTTTTCTGCAGGATTTCTTGCTGTTGAATCATTTTCTTATAAGACCCTTTATAACTATCCCAGAATTTCTTCAGCCTGAAAACATACGCAAGCTGAAGTTCTCTCAGACCCCTTAAATGATCACATGTAGTAACAGTTGGACTTTTTGCCCAATTTCAACAAAATTAAACCGCCTATCACCACTTTAAAATGCACGAGAGAGAAAACAACAGCATATTCAAGAGCTGCATATTAAGTCAAATGAAAGCAGCGATTCCACATTTTGCATTCTCGTTTAAATAAGAGGGTAAATATAATCTCATATCTCGTAATTATGAAGCTAAAACCAGGAGATGGTTAGCTTTGGTTAGCATACAAACCTTTAGAAGGGGGAGACGGCTAGAGAGTGGCTACAAAATCAAATCAGCCCTTCGTATTCGACAAAAGGCTTCAACTTCGCCCAGTCGAGAAATACCACGTAAAAACACTACTTTTCCTCTTTTACAAGTTCCTCCACAGATTAAACAAATAATAACTTTCTTGGTATTATGTACGAGGCTGCCTGATAGTCTTCTCACTAAGTGGCTGCTCATTAAAGATCCTCCTCCCAGTGTGACAAATCCAATAAATCAGGGAAGCTGTGAGTGTGCCCCCCCTTTCTCTGTCAATCAGACCCACTTGCTCTCTATTTCATTCCAGCAATGAAGAAATTATTTCTTGCTTACCCATATCTTCATTTTACCATCAGTGGTATCTGATATTATTACTCTGCCCCACACACACTTTCAGAGTTAAAGTAATGCTGCCGTTCGTTCTCGCGATGTACAATGCACACTGTGACTTACGGGGACCTGGCCGTTGATGATGACCTCCTCGGCGAAGCGTACTTTAACAGGATTAGTCTTTAACTTGGCCTTTTTGGCTGCGCTGATGAATGCCGATTTGGGTGACTTTTGTAGGGGAAAAAAAAAGAAAAAACAGCTTTAATTGACAACAATGTCTTTTATAGATGAGTCATGTATTTTTTTTTAGCTCCACACAATTCAAGGACATGTTCCCTTCTTGAAATATCACCACTTCCCATTTCTCCACTCAGTGCTGATGCACTGAGGGAGGCTCTGAGTGAGGGCGAAAGAGGGGGATGCCCTCTCTGCCGCTGTGTCATTGAGGCTGCAAAGAAACGCCTCGTCAACGGAAGCAATTACAGGCTGGATTATAAGAGCCGCTTGGGGATTCTACACCACATATTTTTTTCCTGCAAATTAAATCCTTTTTAAAATTGAACCATATGGCTCATCATGATGCGCCTCTGAACACTATGAAACTAAAAAAGTGATTCATTTAAATGCACAATGAATGGATGTATTTAAAAATACAAAATATGTTCTGATAGTGGGCAGAGAATCATCATTTTTGAAGGAACTACAAGCATCATTTGCATTTCTACTGACTTATTTTGTCAACCGTAAAAATAAAAAGGCAGAATATATGCTGCCGGCGTTGTTCAAAACCATCTGGTGCTGCGTGACTCCAGTAAATGTTGATGCGGCCGGCTCATCTGAGGTCTTGCGAGGATCTGACGCTACAACATGGGAAGCCTTGAAATGACTGCAGCAATGGGACCCGTTGACTTAGCGGGGCTGTAACACTCGGCTCAGGCATTACTGAGACGGTGCCAACCAAAGCATATGGCACGATTAACGACTGGCTTTCACCGAGTCAACAAAATAATCAGTTACAAAGACACAAATGGCCGGTCGGGAATGTACTCCGTGTCACTCATGGGTAATTGAGAACTCACTGGGTACGGCTGAACAACGCTCAACAATATGGACTCCTTGCAGCTCCTGCCAAGAAAAAAACGGGAAAAAAACAAACATGGGGTTAAGGGAAATCGGCAAATCTCTCAGTTTTCGTCTTGTAATTGTTGCGCTTAAGACGTCGTGGTGGACGGTAGCAGCAGGAACATTGTGTCCATGTGATGCTCCTTTGTAGCAGCACCGCATCGCCTCCCAAGTGCAGTTTTACTGCAGAGGTCAGCCGCATTCAAGACCAAAGGAGCGGTGGAGGAGTGGCCACACGCATGGCGAACAGGTCATACCAAATCCTCCGCTGTATTAGTGTTATTCATGTTATTACAGTCCTACAAGAAAGACATCAACACCAGCATACAACAGGTTGCTACGACAACGTACTCGATCTTATAAGCTTATTCTGGATAGGAAGATTTTTTTTTTTTGATGGATCAGTGATTTTACAATAAGTTATGAAAACAACCTGTTTTTAAACAGCACTGCACAATTATCAACCACAGGTTCGACAGCTGGCGAATGACATCTCACCTGAGTGTGTTGTCATACCTGACAAGGTCAATGACCCTCTCCCTGGGCGCTGAACTGACCGGCTCATCATTAATCATCATGATCTCGTCTCCTGGGATCAGCCTGCCTTCTGAAGGACCCCCTGTCAACACAAATCAAACAGGAGTTGAGTGGAGCAAGCTGTGCACCACAGTCATGCCGTCTTTCTTCATTTGCTTGGTTTCCTGGCTCAGGTCTCTAATGAACGCTTACTCGTTGATCCCCGATAAAGTCAATGGAGCGCCTAAATTATGGGCCGAAATGGTCGTCGTCTGGCCTTTTTTTTTGTCAATTCTGAGGGGGATTTCATCTGCTCCGGGGGAACGTGTTATAAAACAGCCATGGGTGGGATGGGTCAATGTGTTAATGGAGCTCACTGGTTCGCTGGGGCACTGTACCTGGTGTGACTGAGCGGACCACCACAGGTTTCTCACTGCCGGCCACAAATCCAAAGCCAAGCACTGGGTCTCGTCTCATCTCCACCTTCCTGGGCGCTGGTGGCACAAACCTGTCCCCGTCCAGACGGACCTCATCCAGAGAGCTGCTCTGCGAGACGCTGCTGTGAGACGGATAGAATACATATTTTACCTTCGTCCCTGCCGGTTGTGGTGGGTATTTAAGGCAATTGTTTGACATTGTGAAGTACAAATGATTCATGAAGTAAGTGAGAAAACCATATTGGAATACAACCAATAAAATAATGTGTCTTCAAGAGACAATGACAACTGCAGCTATGTACGTCGGTTTCTGTTGAAGGATGTAACCACTCACTGTACACGAAAAGGTTTGTTTACCTCAATCTCCAAAATGTTTAAAGACAAGACGCAAGATGTTGTTTTGAAATAAGAAACTAGTGCAATGCTGCAAAAATAGAACATGTGGGCGATGGCAATCAGGACCCAATGCGTTCTCACATTGCAGAGACTGTGTGCTTTACAAAAGACCAGTTGCAATTTTCTTCGGTATTCATGCAGTCATGTGTCATAGAATCGGTTTCCTGATTTGCCACGACAGGTACAATGTGCAGTTTTGTGATTTGCTCCCTCGATTACTAAGATCAATTCATTTTTCTCTGTCCTTCCAACACAGTTATGATTCTGCGCTTGACCTAAAAAGTCGAAGCAGGCACTATGTGCTTTCACATATTCCGTGATCACAGTTTTACAGCGTTACTCCACTTTCTCTGGCTTGCAAAGGCAGAAGCAGCTCCGTTTGGTGCCAACAATGTTGGTTAATTAAAGCTGTGGGCAGACAGTGTGTAATTCACAGTTATTCATGACACGTGTACTATTCACCCCTAAATACCAACAATTAAGCTTCTACTGCACAAAGACACAGAGAGATCTTTCAATCGCAATCCTGCAACTACAAAAAAAAAAAAATGTTCCACAAGATGGTCAAAGCTAAGTGATTGTCAACTGAGATTTTGGAGGATGACTCAACAATTCCCTCCCAGAGAAAACCCAGAAAAAAAGAACAGAACAGTGGTGAGCTTTTTTTGTGGTCATATGAAGTGAACCGATCTGTGATATTTTCACATTCACCCTTTACAGCGACTTCTATATGTATGTTGAAATATATAGAAATGTTACCACGAGACTTTACTAGGTAGTTCTAGCAAAACTGGGCCTTTATTGTTTGGAGGGTGGTAAAGAGGTCTAGAGGTTTCAAACTGTACAAACGCGCTCTAAATGAAACAAATCAATTGTTCCAGTAAAAACACAACGCGCTTTCTGTTCAAGCCAAATAACAACCTATTCTGTTATGAATGATGTTGCAATAAGCTATAGAAGGTAATACAACGTCTCTGAAGATACATGTTGACGGTTTTACATTTCTCTCATTTGAAGAGCTCTTACTGTTGCACTTGTTGACGGTTTTTATGAAGAAAACTATTTACTCTAATTAATCTGCCCGCTTCATGTGACAAGCACAAGGTTTCTCTCGCTTACCACTCCTTTGTTTTGCTATGTAGGATTTTGTCATGTGAAAAGATGGGAGAATGAGTGGGAGAAAATTATAACTTGTAACAAGACTAAAGTTGTATATTAATTAAAAAGTAGAAAATTAAAATCCTCATAGAAAAGCTTATTTGTGACACACGGATGCTGATAATCTTGCCTGTACATTAATTAAACCAACAACTCAAAAGGAATGTGGTTCTGATACAACGTATATGACAATACACACAAGTTGTTATAATTTGTATTTTGCAGGGCGTATTATACAGGTGTTGTATTTAAAATTAAGATATTATCCTCTTTGAAATTAAAAAGGAAACCGCAACAAGTCATGTTTAGTTTAGAAACAAATCTGGATTAGGGCATAATTAAATGATAAAAAACATCTTTTGTTTTTGTCTGCATAACAATATTAGAAAGCTTGCGGTTTATATGCTGTTTTTTTTTCTTCACAGACTTTTCTTCAAAGCCTTTGGTTAAAATAAATGTAAAAAATAATAAACTACAAAGCTATATGCTAGTATAAGTATTTATTGTGTGACATATATTTATATATTTAGAATTCAGTAATTCTGCAAACACATTGTGATTACTTCCATCATAAAGCTCCTGAAGGAAAGCTTTGAAAATAGCGACCAAAAAGCCAAAGGCAAAACTAATACATTTTAGACTGTGTAGAGGTGTTTTTGTCATTAAATCTTTAATGTCATTAAATTATTATATTTACCACAATAACTTACTGCATTCATAAATCACAAACCTTAACTCATTCTCACAACAACACATGCATTTTGAGAGTAAGAACCACGCTTTGAAAGAAAGGCATGAAATGAAGTCATTTAGCAACAATTTGGGTCACCCATTTAAAAATGCATCGAACAAATGGTCAAAACCACACAAAAGCCTCTAATTTCACGGCGGCGTGGCACAGTAGTGTGGGCAGGCACAGAGACTGAAAGCAGCATGTGCAGAGCCTGCAGTAAAGAGACTAAAAAGGTGCAGCTAATTGAAAATAATGAGCTGAGTCGGTTGTCCCTGAGGTCATCACGGAGGAAACACAGGCTGTCTTCCAAATTGCATATTCTTCTTTTCACGATACTTACTGTAGCTGCCCTTGCAAAGTATGCACCTTTGCATGCAGTATACATACAATTGGGAAGTGCTACTTTGTTGTAATACTGCGCCATAAAATGTAGCCCTCTTTGGCATTTATCATCAATGTACTGTAATTAGTTATACGGGTGTATTTATGTGTGGCTCGCTGGCTGAATTCTCGTTTGTTAATAGCCTGGTTCCTGAAGGACAAGAAATACACCAAATACGTTCATGTTCTTTTTGGTGTTTTGTGATATATAAACAATAAAATAAAATCATTCATCAAAGTAAGAGCTCTGTTCTTTTCTAGAAGGATCTAACTGCAGTCTGACAGGTCACACAACACTTCACGACAAGACAGCCCCTTCGAACCACATGGGACCAATGTAATCTACTTATTTTAATGTAGAACCAGAACCAGAACTTAAACGTGACCAAATAGCAGTGTTACCTAAACCGTACTAAACTGGCGTGTCATGTATTAGGCATGTCCTTTGTGGATGGCTCAGTCGATGTATCATATGTCTGCACAGGATTGAGGAGATAAGTCAGAAAAGCATGTTGTCCTGCATAGTGCACAATATGTAATTGAGATAAACTAGACAATTATGGATTACTGAACTAAATAGTATGGGAGTGTTGGCATTGGCAGGCGTTCCATCATCCTAATGTGTTTGTGTCAAAAAAGTTAAAACAGGCTTCCTTTGGCGGCTCAAAATTAGAAAAGTCGAATTTGTGTCTTGAAATTACATTTGAGATAAAACTGTATGCGTGTGTTTAAAGAAATGTGGGTGGGAAATGCTAAAAAGCTCAGCACAAGTGTATCAACTTTGTATACAGGAATGCTTTTGTATACTTGTTTACAGGGTATATGTGGGATTTTTTTATATCGTCTGCATATATTATTATAATTATTATATCCAGAGGCATTAATGCTGGAGAGTCGCCAAATCTTCAGTAAACACCCAGTTCAGTCTGTCCACGGTCTGTTTGGCAACATGGCATAAACAGAACAACACACCAGTGTGTCATAGGCCATTACTCATATGATGAATATAATATATTATGTTTTTTTAGTTGGTGCGTTTATTAGGCATTTCCACAAATGGCTTTTTACTTCTTTCATTAAATGCATCAGATCCATCAGACATTTGACTGTACCAAAGTTTTTTAAAGGTATCCGTCAGCTATATAATTAAAGATATATATAATTATATATGTACATATATTTCAAAAGTATACTTAATTCCAACACTACAATAGTTTTGTCCTCAATCTTGTCACCCCAACATTAAAACAAGATATAGATTTCAGTATCAAAAGTATTCGCTCCCAATGTCACTTTACCTTTCTGGAGTTCCTTCTAAGACGCAGTTTGGATTCAAGTTTCAGTTTCATCTCTCGAATGAGAAACCCAACATATTGTGCACATATCCGATCCACATGGTCCTGTGCATTCAGGAAGAGTTCTGTCTCCTCCCGTACACGGCCACCTGCTAAACATGGCACAAGTCCCATCCTGCAGACAGCCATGCATTAAATGTTCCCTAATCATGCTCATTAGCTGCATGCGTGTCTGCACAACACTCTGCACGGCAATCACAAGCCACACTGTGAGCTACACGGTTAACACAACGCTCTCTGAAAGCATGTTTTGGAAAAAGTGGAGTGAGCCCGTTGCTAAAAGCAATATTCCGTTTCTCTCGTTCTGAAAGAACTCCGACACAGCTCAAAACTTGCTGGTTATTTGTCTTCCTTTTTCTTTCTTTTTTTAACAATGTAATGACAGCTAGTTTGTCAGCTAGTTTGTGTTGGCATATTTCTTTTGCTGGGTCACTCCTACTTCTAGGGGACCGTCTGCTGTGAATTGTCTAAACCTATAAAATATAGATGTTCTTTCCTAGTAAATTTGGCTTAGTGGAATCAATTCAAGAACCGATGGAACCACCGATCATTTCCTCTGAAAATCGAAAAGAAAGAGTCATGTGGCCATCGCATTGTCTGTCGTGACAAAGAATTCCCTTTTAAATCTGTCAATTTTCCAATACTTATCTCCTCTGCTGAACAATATCTGAAAGTCTCTAAACTCAAACACATCTTTGTTAAAAGCCTTGTGTCCCGCTGTAAATATTGAACAGCTTCTGCTTTATTCATGTGCTCCTGTCACGCCGACTAGACATGTGTTCTGAGAAGCACAACAATTTAGTATCAGCACACTGGAGCCTTGACAAACTCAGATTGCCGTGGACAGTCACAGAAACACTTGATTATTCATGAGTCTTCCTTAAATTTAGAAAGCTATGAAGCCAAAAACAGCCTCCATGATCTGTCTCATCCAGACACACTCTCTGCATGCAGCCCGTTCACCGCTCCCTGCTTCTTATATAACTCCTCTGACATCACGCTTCTCGTGCTCTAACCCATGTGTGACATGCACTCACCTCCAAGTCCGTATTCCCTGCTAGCACATCGATTTTGTTTGTATTAGCGAGATGCATCTATTTATAAAAGTGCCGTGCACGTTGTTTTGTTATAATGAATGAATAATGAAGAAGAAGTGACGTGTCTTGTTTGCAAATAAAAGGAGAAAAACCTTTAACATAACAGTTAGAGACTGGTATTCACAGGGGTTCATGAATGCAGCAATATGTGTTCTTCTGCTATGAATGCATAATACACATTTTAAATGACAAAATACAGGAAAGCCCAGCTGATTCAACAGATCAATACAATTAGCAAAAATGGTACCCTAACCCCTAACCCCTAACCCTCAACCCCCATTTTTATTATCTCCTTACACTCACATTCGAATCCACACAACACACAACTAGCGCAGTTTCTTTTTACCTGCCTGTACAGATATCCAGAAGTGCCAATCACAAAGGATCAATTACGCTGATGCCACACTATAACCCAGCATCCTCTGGAGGACGTGCAGACTTCTCAGTTCAAAACAGGTCCCTGCACGGGTGAATTCGCTCCTAGGCGGCGGCGTGCACACACTCTCCAAAAGCCCTCTTCTGCATTGGGGAGACTGCACGAGGAGCGTTGTGGGTGTGTGAGAGCGAGCGAGAGTAGGCAGGAGCAGAGTGTGCGCAGCAGTGCAGGGAACAGAGACTCGGTATTCTGAGCGCACAGATGGAGACAGTGTGGAGGCAGTGACGTGGCTGGAATAATCACAGGTTGGCAAAGCGTCTGAAACATCTGGGGAGAGGAGAAAGCTCCCCCTCCGTTCCTTTAAACACAGGGCACTCACTTGATGTAGCAGTCACGCCCCTCTCTGTTGGTGCCCATGTCCCATCCATTGGGGGGTCCCTGCGATGCACTCCAGGTCCCTGAAGGGGGCGGCCAGCCAGAGGATTTGGTCCTGTGGCTGTAGAGGAAAAAACGGGTGAGAAATTCATCATTAATCAACTCAAAATGAGTGTGTGCGGTTTCATTAAAAACCATGCGTAACACCTGGAGCATCGAGCTCAGACCTTATGTGATGAATCAGGTCATTTCACTCTGAAGTAATTAGTTAGTTATTTAAATCCTAATAGAGATAATTGAGTCGTGGGCAGATATGAAGCGAATCAACCCAAATGACAAGAGAAACGTCTGATTCCAGCGCGATAAACAATGTTCCATGACTCCGGTTCGCCCAGTGAATACAAGTCCAATTAATTACGTGAGCTCGACACACAGGCAGAGTTGTCATGCCTCAATCTTGTGCTTCGAGGGGCATGAAAATGGTTTTATTTCTAGATGTGTTATTTATAAAAGACGCCCCGAGGAATTTTCTCATGAAGTAGTCATTTAAATGTCTCAACGCCAAGACGACTTGACGGAACCAGATACATCAATGCTTAACAAAACAGTTCATTTGTGAGCACTATTTCTTTAAACAATTCTTCCTGTCTCCTTCCTTGTGCTACCAGTAGGCAAGTTGAAGGTATTTAGAAGAACTGTGTTTTCTGTCTCTTTTTGCCCCCCCCCCCCCCCCCCCCCTCTTGTCGTCCCTTCGTCTGCGTCTCTGCCTGCACGCCGGCGATGCTATGGAAGCGGTGGCAGTAAGTTATGTCGCTTCAAAGGCCTGTCTGCCGTGTAACAGGGCTCTTCGCATTCATTATTCAAAGCTCCTCTTTCTCTCCCTCTAAACATTTCCCCAGTTACTGTACCGATGAGAATAAATTCTGTGCAGGGTGCCGGTCCCTGCATGAGACTGTGTGTTGGCGTGGACGGGCACACAAAACCCGGCTCTCCGCACGGGCTCACGGTCCCATCCTGCGAGGTATTAATAAAATATTGCCAACTCATCAACACAATGTGTGAGCTGAGAGAAAGGTTACAAACTATTCTAAAGCTCTTCAGTGCAAAGAGGGAGGGATTTGGTTACAGAATAATGCAACCTAAGCTGAATTGTGTTCTGGGTTCAACAAAGCCCACCTATACTGGGCGCATTCAATCGTAATAAATTCATAAAAGAGCGCGTGCTGCTCCTGAGAACGGTGTCTTTCTTCCCTCAACTGGGCTCTGAACACAGCAGGTCATCGTTCTTTCTCCCCCAACGCGGTGGTGTGTTTGGTGGATATTAGTGTTTCCGCATGGATATGGATTTATTTGACCTACAGTACATTAGCTGGGAGCAGGCCGCGCGTGTGTATATTTAGAACACATTTCATGCAGCTCCAGAGATGTGTGTGGACACAGCTGGATACCGGCTGACATTTTTGTTCACCTCATTGACGAGTCCTGTTGGACCCTCTATTTCAGCCTCTGAGATAACCAGTGTTAGATGTCGCTGTTTTACACATTTCAGTTAAGAGCTTCATGCATGAAAGGTCAAAGAACTGTAGCATATGAATATGATTCTATAATGAGGTTATTTGTGGAGAGTTACTCCTTTGGCCATTTATTCCTCCACAGGTCTGCAGGGTAATTATGCATATTGTACTCACAGTTCCAGATGCAGTGCCTTCAAAATATCTTTTCTGAACTCAAGATTTCCACAAAATCCATTTTCTGTCTCTCAGCAACAGCGCGCCTGTATTAACGGCACAGCCATAGATTCGTTGATCTTTGATTTCCTTTGTCTGCAGGCGGGAGGTGCATTATGCTATTGAGTCGCAGCACTCCGACTAACAGAGAAGCTGAAAAGGTTTCGCACTGGTGGACAGTGAAACTGATCCTCGGCTTGCATTAATAAATGATGCCTGCACAGACGTATCGCACTAAGTAATCGAGCGCCAAGTGGGCAAGCCGTGCTGCACAATTCATGAACAGTTACCCAAGAGTCAGAGGGACGACGATAACACCCGGGAGTTAGAATCCAATTGAATTTCTGTCAGCTGTGATTGCACTGAAACTACACAAAACCTTAATCTAAATCAGTCGTTTAAAAAAAAGAAAGGTCAATAAGTCATGTGCAACCACAGGAAAGTAGAAGCCACATTTGCCACGGCAACTAACATCAAGGTTGCTGGGAGACTACACACAATTCTATTCAAAGTCTTTTTCTGCGTCACACTGGGAGTTTCTTTCATCAAACCTGATCAGTAATGAGGAATATATAAGTTGCTGTCTAGTGATATGGGGAAAATATTCCTTTTCAGTCCTTCACAACGATTGCATGAACAATGTGAACCTTGCTTTATCACAGTAGTTCACTTTCATTCCTTTGAATTCACGGTACTTATTTCGAAGCCTTCTTGTGTGTCGTGAAGGCTGAAATCTTGTCAAAGTGGGGAGTAACTCTGCATTATGGACAAGCCGCAGCTAAGAAGAGCACATTGCAGCGCAGACACAAGGCTAAATTATTTAAATCAGGGCCGGCTGCATAACGGAGCTCTGGTGCCACAGGCCTGATGTTCTTTACGGCATATTGAGAATTAAACAAGAGTCATTTTTCAAGATATATTCAGATTAGTTGTTCTTTGTGAAGGGGTCGCTTCAATAACTCTTATTTGTAGGTGGCAGCAATATTTCTACCCAAATTCACCTGCTCATTGCCAAAGTGCTCAGCACTTCCTTCCCATAATGCACTTGGCGAGGGGCGGAGAAACGTCTCGGACAGGTTCAGAGAGCCATATTAGTTAAAATTGTTCTTTAAATGCCCTCATTAATCAAACATGACATTTTATTGTCAGGTTTGGCATGAGTGAGATTGAATATCGGGCTGCAGTCTGTATGTCATGTGAAATCAGTAATAATACTTATTCCTAGTTTTTACATTACCGTATTACTACTTCATTACCAATCGGTTCTGAGTGAATAAACGCTCGTCAGTGCTCTTGAATTAAACAGCGACACTTATGCAGAGACATTCCGCTAATGTGATTGTGTTTGGATATGAGACCGGTGGAGCCTCAACACCAGATGAGATGCCCATCTCCTGAGAAGAAGCCGCGAGTGAGCAGAGAAGTGCTCAGACACAGAGGAACCGCTCTGATTAAAGGCCTTACTCCTCAACCTCCTCCTTTTTTTATTGATGGGCAGGGGGGGCACGGCCTTTCGCTTCAGAAAGCATCTGCCCTCTGCTTGACTTCTTTAGCGAATACCGTGGCTCTGCTGCTTGGGTCATCAGGCCTAGCAATTACTTTCATACTACTGTTCTTGCCCATTGTGTGACCGTTTTTTGAGAAGAGAAACACTCTGTTTTACTTATATTTTATTGGTACATTTTTGATATGCAGGAAAGCCCTTTCACTTGAGAACAATAGCGTCTATTATCCCCGTTTTGACTGAATATTGAATATCCACATTTGTCTTGCCCGGATATTGTTGCCATGGGCAACTGCACTGTAACTCTGGTGCTTCGATATAGAAAGGGTTTTAGTTAGTTAAATCTCCTCAGGGTGGGAATAAAACAGCAAATGGGAAGCTGGCGACCCGCTATGATCCTCCCGATACTTTACTGCGTGTAAGTCAACCTCCCTTTCAACCTGGTTTACCTGTAAACCACCGTGAAGCCTGCTGCAGCAGCCATTGCAGAAATGACTGTGTGTGAGCGCATGTACCTACGCACAATGCATTTCTTATTAGACCACATGTATCAACTCAAAAGACATCAGTGTTTTCGTTAGTATTTCATCACTCTGCCTTTTTCCCCAGGCCTCCTCTGCTCCTCCGTACTCTGTGTAAAACATCAACAGAATAGAGTGAGGAATTTACCCTGTGGGCACTGAACTAGACCCGGATTCTCCCTTCACGTCATTGTGTTACTCGCTGCTTTTATGCTAAAAGCTCTAAAGGACGGGACAAAGCAGACCTCGTGCACAGGGCAGCTGACTCGCATTTCTGACCCTGAGCCATTTCTGATTTGTTCTTCGCTGAGAGTTTACGATTTGAGCAGCTGAGAACGTCCGATCTTTCGGTCTTTGTGTACTCTGAATGAACATTTAGGCTAATCAATCTGTGTCCAGACCAGTGATTTCCTGTGCAAAAAGTTTGCAGTGAAAACATGTCGAACAAAGGCGGGCATAATAGATTTTTAAAGAAAAACACAGCCAGGAAGGAAGTCACGCAGTTCAACTAAATTGGCGTTAATGGCTCTACCGTGCTCACGTTCAAATCTCGCCAAAGACGTCGACGTGCTAAGTAATAAGATACATGTACACATACACAAAGTATAGCAGCCCCGTTGAGTCAGGTAATCACTATGCTCGGGTAGTAATTGACACTTTTACACCATAGTGACTAATCTTCTTGCTCATAATCTCCACACATGTTTTTGCTTACAAACCAGCAGCAGGAAGTATTTAAAGTGTAACAGCACTTCCAGCTAAGTTAAGCCCACGTTTTACCCAAAGGAGATCAAAATAGAGTTAATGACTTATGACTTAAATGACTCAAAACTTGCTGTCATACACAGGGGGGGGTATCGTTATCTTTCAACAAAAGAAAAGTCAAACGTGACATTTTTTTTTTTGCTAGGTTTGAACAATGAGGAAAATGAAAGCGCGAGTGCTTTTGTTTGTCACGGCTCACGCGTCTGGGGGCGTTGCGAGGCGAGAGGAAGAAGCAATGAGGGTAAACGTTCCCTCTCTTGCACATCCCTCCGTACATAGCGGCTCTCTCCGTAGCTTTAGCCGAACAGCATTCGGCTGACTTGAATTCTTGTTGGCAGCTCCGAGGGAGGAAGCAACATAGAAACACACCAGTGTAGCAGTGGTAGCTCATAGCCAGGGACAGCGTTTGGGGCGTTATTAACAGTGACAGGAGTCAGTGACGGTGGTCCACCGGGAGCTGCGTCATAAACGCTGCCGTGGACGGATGATAATAGGGAAACAACAGTCCTATTATCTGGTGAAAACAATTTGTCCACGCCGCATTTATTGCAGGGAGGATTAAAAAAAAAGGATGCAATGCATTAACATTTTATTAATTTCATACAAGCTACAATTATACTGACATGGAATATTATGCTTTAATTCTCCTATAAATTGCAACAACTGTTTTTCGTTCTTTCTATCTAATCAAGAAAACTAATGAAATAAATGCCAATGCCGTCTGTTGGTGACTCATAATTGGAATGAACTGAAGTGTGTTCTTGTGACACACAGTATCTGCTGTAATTATTCCTGTTTATGATCAGCTGTTCCCACCACCAGTCGTCTGTACGCTTTCTGATGGAGCCAAATCCCCGCGGAGGATTACTGTGCACTGGGGCGCATCAAGTCCATCTAGCAGACCCGTGGGTGCATAAGGTGAGGTGTCTGCCCTGCCAGTGATTTCATTCCTCAATGTTAATTTAACATACACGTTGCACACCTAAAACTTGCATTTGCTTTTTGTAAAGAGAAAAAAAAGAAACACAAACCTAAATTACAGTTCTTTCTTACACTCAAAGCAGTTATAAGGATAAGAATGGAAATGTCAATGTAGTTTTAGATTTTTTTTTCTTTTCTATTGTCAAACTATGAAAAATTGTTCATCCTGTTCTGGCCATAGAAACGTGAACTTGACCGTCCATTTTAATTAACCATGAATAATGAACCATTCGAATGACCAAGGACAGATCAGGCTTGATTATGAAGAATATTTGTTGTCATCACGCCAACAAAATAGGATGTTTCCAAATGACTCACACCTACTGTGAATTGGTAATCATCACCCGAGGCCCTTCGCCTGAAGTGATTTAAAATCTGAAAACAACTGCAGTTCATCTTCGTATCGTTTCATAACATGTGAGGTTTCATGACACCACATGATGCAAGAAAACCATAACTACTGTCTGCAGTAGGATTCATTTATGAACTTGTATATACAGACAGTTTGGATGCATAAACCGCATCTGCTTCTGCATCCACCTCCACTCCCATCCACCTCACTTGCTCATTCATTACACATCATGCATAACTGCACAACTGTCTCTCTTAAGCAATCAATAACTCATCCTTTCTAATCACCCCGCTCCACACGTGACGCAAAACGCCACCAACCAGAGAACCAACCGGCACATGTATACACAGACGGGCAAATACATCGGGGCGTCCATCAGACTCACCCTGACAGCTTTGGCATCTTCACAAAGCTGAACACATCCATGCGTGCTGCAGACTGCAATCAAAGCTACCACATGTACCATCTACTTCACTCCGGCTCCATCGTACCACACCGTCTTTGGCGGCGAAGGAATAAATAATTCAGCAGAAAAAAAAAAAGTGGAGCTCCCACAAGTCAGGTGGAGAGATTAGTCCTGTTGTCTGGGCTTCTGCATGGCTGAGTGATTGCTGTGTCCTCGCCTCAGCAGCGCAAATCCACAGCCCGTGGAAAAGGATCTGGCAGAGCTGCTTCCCCCGGTTGCATCCTTCAAAGCATGCCTCTGTTAGCTGCGTTAAGCCACCTTCATTTAATTTCCATCGCGGTGGAATGATGTGCGGGAGCCGCGCAGTAACAACAGCTTTGGAGAGAGGCAGAAAGAGCCAGGAGCAGAGGGAGGGAGGGAGCTGGGGGGAGGACAGGGGTGGCGATGGTTGCAAGAGATGAGAGAGGAAAGAGGAATGCGAGAGGGTTTCGAGCATGTGTGTGTGTGTGTGTGTGTGTGTGTGTGTGGTAGCAAGGGGCCACAAGAATTACTACCAAAGGACGCAGCTAGAAGCTTCCAAGAATTCCCCAAAGGCGAGACTCATCAATCCCCGAGACCGTGGTGTGTTTGCAGAAAGCAGCGGAGAGACACCATGCCCGGTGTGCGCCGTGACGAGAGGGGCAGCCGGAGCAGCTGGAGAGTCGTGAGGACCCTAATGTGTCCCCCCCCCACCCCCCACCCACCCCCACCTCCCCCAGCTGAGGTCTCTGCCTCATAGCTGCACATTAGGATGTCCGTACTGTACAGTGCGTTGGTTTTGACCTTTTTCAGAACCAGTTCAGCTGCTAAATGCTTTCCCTCAATGAGGGCATCCATTAGAGCCCCCCGACCCTCCCAAAAAACATTTCAGCAATCCGCCCGACACAAACAAACACAGAGAAGTAGACCGGGATCGTTAGATGGCTACGGGCCGATTGCAGTTCCATACCAAAAAACAGGGCGGTTCAGGGGAGACGGTGGGGGGGCTTCAAGTAGTCAGCTGCAAGTTAATGGATGCTTCAAGTATGTGATCTCATCTGGGATATTCTTATATTTTATTTTTTATATTTTTTAAAGATTGAAATGCATTCCCATGAACGTTCTTGTCTTTCTCTGATTAGTTTAAGATGGTGGGGCAATTTCAATGCATTTCAGAGTTCCTGTTTCACGTGTGGGATGATGGCACGCGAATAAACGAGCGTGAGGATCCTGCGACTATGTTAAAAAAACGGACATAATTGCGCAACGGGTGACTTTCGATTCCAAAGCCATCTCCAGATGAAGAATCTCCGTGCGTATATTATCTCTAAGGAGGAAGAATCCCCCCTTCATAAATCAAACACCCCACGCGAGGCACCTCCAAGAGACAATTAGCCCCGTCTCTGATCCAAGGAGGCTGCATACTTCTTCAGGTGGATTAGACAGCTTTGATAGCAAGAACTTCATACAGAGCAGCCATTCTGTAATCCTGCTGTGTGATGTGGCAACATGAAACGCACAGCTGGTTGAATAAAGCTGTGTACTGTCATCCATAATATAGCTGGAAACAAACAGTACTTGTTCAGTCAAAGTAATACAACTTACACCAGGTAAAAGGTGATATCCCTCCACCTATTTATATTCAGTGTGCTAGTGCCTTGACAGAATGATAAACACTCTAATCAATAGAAATGTCAGGCGTTAATGGATAAATAAACACGAACACACGTGGAATACAAATACTAGTTGAGGAATTTTAAGCTACGATTTGTTGCTGCTTCCACAGTCGAATTGCAACAATCCCATATTAAAATGCCACAACTTGTGAGGCTCTGCAGGGTGAGTCAATGTGCCTTTGCTGAGAGTGATGCATGCAATAAAGAATGTTGTCACTTCCTCTCAGGCTCAGATTTGTTTTCTGCAACAGAAAAGATGCCACTGGATGGGGGGAAAAAATGCGAAGCTCACGATTGTCTGCAACGGGATTCAAGTTTTTACTTGTATAAAACACAAAGGACATAGAGAGAATCATTATGTTAATCCCATTCTGAAGCGTTTTGGCTGATGATACATCGCTTGAAGGGAACAGGCCCACGGGAAGAACAAGTCCGACAACTTGCTCCCAAAGCAGCCGTGGCGTCCCATGACGGAGCGTGGAGGGACTCAGCGTCAGTTGTATTCGTCCATTTGGGCTTGTGGCCCAACACCCACAGGCCGACGTGACTGGCAGGGGATTTCAGGGTCAGAGAGAAGCGCCATCTAAGGAGACTATGGCTCAAGCTTTGACCGATAAAACCCAGCTGCCATGCTTCTCTCTCTCAATCTCGCTCTCTCTCTCTCTCTCTCTCTCTCTCTCTCCAGCAGATTTCAGTCATTCTGGCATATTCGGCCATTTAAAGCCCAGCGCTGCTGAAATTTGCCTTGAAAAGCAGATATGAGCGGAGCATAACCACTTTGCGTGAATTGCCAACTTTCCCAGAGAGCGAGGGCACAAATGCAGCCGTTGCTCAAAAACAAAGCGCGAAGACGGTTAATGGGAAACGGCCACGGTCATCTTTCATGTAAAGTAGCACCGCACGTCAGTGCAGTCAAGAGATTATGTGTCTTTGTGGCTTTTACTGCTCTCTGATCCCAACTTAGCATTAGTGGCCCCTGGACCTCCGTCAGAGTTGCGTCGGCGGCCGCAGCGGCAGACCGCCGTCAGAATCCACACTCAACTGTGCCGTCCTCATTTCATGTGATTGTGTGCGTTTGTCAACAACGATGCGACGCCTCAGCGGCTGAACTTTGCCGATCTGTTCGGCAAATTGATTGGTTGATTTATTCTGCGAATTAAACAGCCTTTAGTGGGGAGTTTAAAGCCAAGTGTTACCTGGCTGAGTAACGCTGTGCTTTTGAAGGGATTAGGGATTTCATTCGGCAGATTCACTGCACCTGCTGATGAAGTTTTTTTTAAACTGTAATAGATGGCAATAACTGTCAGTGAATAGAAGTAAATATTGGGGATACTGCCATGATATCCGACCCCTATGGATATCAAAGAATGTTATGTGTGTCACGATTGATAAATTCGTCCTGTATTCATTTTATACATCCGCTTATCCTGTTAAGGATTGCGTCGTGCTCAAGCTTCTCCCAGCATGCACTGGGCAGAAGGCCAGGTACACCGTGGACTAAATATTATTTTCATTATATAGCTATCTGCCGATTAATCAATAAATCGTTCACACAAAAACAGCAACCATTAGGAAAAATGTCATCCAGTTTTTCCTAAAGGATACAATATTCGATTCATAATGACATTAAAACCAAGAATAACTGGGTTTTTCCAGTTTTCTAAACTACTAATGTTTCTATTTCCGCTTGAATACACAAATAGCATAAACATTTACACTTCTAATTGATTAACTTAACTAATTGTTGCAGCTCAAGAACACTCTCCTTCTTCCCACTTCCAACTTGCTAATCATTTAATTAGTTTATGGTAATGGCAACGTGGATTTGGCGCACCATGCGAGTGCAGACGTACTGCACGGCAGACACTTTTAACTTGCTTCAGCAGCATGATAACGGGTGCCGATAGAGCTACCAGCTCCATTTAAGAGAGCCGAGCCAGTTTGTGAGCACAGACAATAAGAGGATCTGAGGTGTATACAAATAGACTGCAGTTCTCAACAGTTATTAGTCACAGCTGCGCCTTTCCTCCCATGACGTATTAAGATGGAGCCGTGAAAACGCCATACGTTGGTTTCAGCACGCTACTCTCACTCGGAAGTCTGAAGAAGTAGAACAAAGAGTTCTGGTGAAAGTTGTGCCACGGGAACACAGAGTACATCACTGCTGCGGTGCGGTGGTAAAGAATAGGTTGAGTTACCCGAGTACCCGAGCACTCACAACAACAACAAGTTTTTCAAAAGCCTTAATTGAGCCAATTATCAACTCTTTAAAATGGCAAATGAGTCGAAAATCTGCTTTCAAACACATACGACGCCGCGGACCATCCGATCGTTTTTGTGCAATAACTTCCACCCTGAGAGACACCATGAGCGCTGACTGAATTTGCGAAGTAAGCACACCACTCACTGAATGACGGTGAAGATGCCAAGTTCATTGTCGTCCGGCTCCATTGCTGCCGACAGGTCTCAAACGCAGTACACTCGTTTGTGTTCTCCCCGTCCGGGCCCTTCAAGCCTCGTCTCCACCGATGAGCGTTCCCGTGCCTCCGTTTCACTCGCGAGTTTCTCCCCGCTTGATTGGGACTTTCCATAGGCAACTGAGCCTGTGCGACTGAGTCATTCGGTTATGATCACACACAGTGGCCCTGTCCAAGCGAGTGGCCGATGCCCCCGGGGGGAGGAGACCGAGGTTGTCGCCTCTGCCTCAGTAATGAAACTACATCACATTCCGGGCCAGTGCACCAGAAAACACAGAAGGATCAATGTCGAACAGCTGGACCCGAATGGGCTGCTGTGCTGGTCGAGGCTGCCGCAGTGAGCAAAGCTCTCACGGAAAAACATTGGAAAAAGCAACGTCCGGTTCGGGAGAAATCCACTTGTGGTGTTTTCATATTTCCTGGTTATGGCGGAGGAGTCAAAAATATATATAAAATATATATTTGAGTGTTTCCAACAGAAACAAAACAGTTTTATCTTGATGGTATTTACAGGATTTGAGAACACAACCCAATTGCAGTATCTGAAATATTAATCCGATCCCTTGGAAGTGCCATGTGTTTTTATCATCCACCAAGAGCTTGAAAAATGAAGCTTAAACCGTAATCCAAACGCTATCAGTTATCTGCCAACTGTCACCCTTAACCGAGCCAAACCTAAATCCTATACAAACCACCAAATTACACCGTAACCTGAATGTTACACAGCAGCATCAGGTATTATTTTATTATTCATAATTGCAACCCATCAGTCAATATGTGATGCAGCTTGTCGTTGTGTATTTGTAATATAATGAATACATTTCCTATTTTTATAGTCTTCTCTGGTTGTTTTTCAAAGGCATTCTCCCACGAAGCCATGGCATTCTAACATTACGATAGTTCACGGTGGATCGTATGCACCATGCAGGCTCTCTGATGCATGAATGGCATTCACAGTCTTCCATTAGTTATGAACCGAGGCACGTGTCTTTGCCTCTGCGAGCAAACAGAACTGCTTGCGTAACACATCCCATGCCTCCGACGACTGAAAGTTCCGCTTCGCTCAACACGCAAAAGACACCACGACATCCCCTTGCTATGCAAAGTAACGCGCTGTTCGCAAGTCGCGTGCGCATGCAGCACGGTGGCCTCTGCGAGGACCACGTGGGCCCCCGACGGAGCGCTGCGTGAGGTCAGACAAGAAGCAGACCATTCCAAAAGATAAATACTGCACGTGCGTCCATCTAATCATGTGGTCTTAACACTGGCCCCCGGGACACAGCGCGCTGCATCAGTGGCCTGTTTTTCCGTGACACACAGGTCGCACCACTTAGAGATGGGGGGGGGTGTTCGCAGTGGAATAAACCGGCCCGGTGTCCCTCGGCCTGGGAGACACATTTAGCATGTTGTACCGGGGTGAAGACAGTGGTGACTTAAGATGGTGGTGATAGGCGGCGTGTGTGCTCATCTGATTAAATGTGCTGCTCGCTGTTTCCTGGAAACAATGTGACGCTGCGTATTTCTTGGCGGGTTACTCCCGGCAGCTTGTAAGACGGCAACATTGCAATTTCTAATGAATTAGTCAAATATGTCTCAAAAACATTCCAAGAGCTCCAAAAAAAAAAAAAAGCGAATGAATAATGGCTGAAACAAATATTCAAAAGCTAAAGGTGCTGGTACTTTCACGTAGATACAAGTTCATTTTCAGTCCATTGAAGCAAATATGTGCCTCACATAATAATAGGCTTGAAGTGACATTTTCATTACTTTATGGAGCATAACAAACAGAAGATGCCACCATTTGCATAAAATGATGAGATTTTCCCGATGCAGAACAGCAAATCTCATATTAATAAGAGCTGCTTCTTGGCCCTCACTAAAGGGTACAGATGTATTTTTAAAAGCCGCCCCGAATGCCGCACAAAATGTCTTTGCCATCACAAAGAATCCTAATAGGTCATTCAGCATAATAAATAAAGTTGGAATGCCATTAACAGAGTTAAACAGAAATTATTAATTCAATGTGTGAAATGTGTTCTTGCCGTTTACTCAAACATTAACACAAAACTGCAAAAAAAGAAACTTTTTTTCAGAACAGCGCTCATCAAATATGTGCGTGTATACAACACGTACATTAATATTCTTAATCACAATCAACCGTCAGGAAAATAGAACACCGAAAAACCCCAACAGGCACAAAAACAACTCTAAAACACTCCCGCCGTAGACAGGAAGTACGCAGAAGTCATTCCCAGTCAATGAGACTGCAGGATATCACATTGCTCAAATCAGATAGCTGCTCTTGTGTCAACACACTGCAGAAGCTCCTCCCTGCTGGCCTGGGAGGGTAGATTTCACAGCATCCAGCAATTATCTGTAACGTGGGAGAAAAATCAATGTGCCCATGGAAAGCTGCTAAGGTCACCGAGCCGACGTGGCCATCTGAATCAGAAGCTGCAGGCTCATCAGCCGACATCTGTGAGAACACGCATCACTTGTAATGCCACGGATTGCAATAATTAGTAGTCTGACGATATGCATGATAATTGATTTTTTTTTCATAAGATCACGGTAGAATGGAAAATTATTTCAGATTTCAGTCAACTATTAATACAGCTCATTTGAAAATAGGATTTTTTTCACAGAATGTTAGTTAACTGTGTTCATTGTCACATTGCCCCAGCTGGTGCCGTTAGACATTGGATTTATATTATATTTATATATATATATATATATATATATATATATAGATGAAGATGGCAAAGAGTATTGAAAAAACCAAAGCAGCAAAAACAAAGTGTATTGTTTGAAAATGTATCTGCATCAATATATATATATAAACAAAATGCTCATCATAGAATAAAGAAGTGAAATAGCTTTAGACTCACCTCTGCTGTTTGGTTTTTCGGTCCAAACTGCTGATCAAGCTAATTTGATGTTTTCCTAAATTGTCAATATCCATGTCTTCTCTCTCTCAGGTAGATGCTCCCAAGTGGAGCTAATGGAAGGAAAGCATAATGTGCCCTCCTTGTGGGTTGGATGATCCCAGCAGTCCTGTAAGGGGGGGGGGGGGGGGCTCCTTGACACATTGATAGTCTGGTGTAAATGCTATTAACGGCAAGGGGATATTGAGAGGAATGAAAAATCAATACCTTGTGGCCGGTAATGTTTGAAGGATCAGTTTGCTTGTGCTTGTCTGACATCCAGATTGCATTTTCCTCTCACCATTACTCCCATTTACCCCCCGTCAGTATAGAGAAGATGTGCATCAAATGTAAGACGCTAATCAAATTAATAATAGCAATCGCCCATTTGATGTAGTTGCACTCTACTGAAGGAATTGTAAATCTCGTTTGGCCAGATTTGAAAAGACAAATGCGTTGTTTTTCACTTCTGCGTGGCACGCGTCTGCAGCAGGGAGGCAGACACGTGAGCCTTTCTCAGAGGCATCCTCAGACCGTACAGTCCCCTAAAAGTGATAGAGTGTCTGCGATGACTCACCGAGTAATTATGTTGCATCTCTGCTGTGTTTAACTGAACCCTAACAAGTGTTGAGACCTTAAATAAAGAAAGGAAGACACGCAGCACAAAGAGGCGATTGATACGCCGACTCCACAATGGCCATCTTTACGACTCACAGCAATAATTTAAGTCAGAACCCGGACGATTTTTCTTCGAGGTGTCATAAACAGAATGGCAAACGCAACATCTCCAAAGGCACGGTTTAGCTCTCTTTAGGTCTCACACCAGGACAGATGTTAAAGGTGCATCATTAAAGGTTCAGAACACGATGACGCCCCGGCTGCTATCACTACATCCGAGTGTCACAGCACACCAGCACAGACAAGTGAAAGAAAGGAGCCACTGCATTTGATTAAGGATAAACTAAGTTAGTCTAACAATGCAGCGTTCCTCCATGTTACCTTTCTGTTTGCAAAGCATCAGTTTTATGCAGAGATGTCATTATAAAAGCACTTTTTAGGGCTGCAGACTGTTTAGATGGCATTTGGGCATTTTTAACACTTATCTTTAACTTGAAGGGCAGTGACAAATTCTCTCTCTATAAACAAGGTAGTGACGCAGGCTGATTTATTTCTATATTTTGCACCATTGGATACGTATATATATGTCCCAGTGAATTAAATTGAGATAATATAAGACTCTCAGAGGGGGAGTTTGTTGCTTTAGTTTAGGATGACATTGTATTACCAAGGGCACCCCAAAAAGCACGTAGCAATATGATCTATGTTAATCACACACCGCTCAACTACATTACTCAGTTGCATGAGAGCGACCTTGAGCTAGGTCCTGCCCTCTGGCCTAACTGTGTCAAAGTCTCACATTTTATCATTCCTCGTTTAATCAAATGACCTGACAGCAAACCAGCGGCTGTACTGTGCATTGCTTTCATATAAATACTGTTACAGGAAGAGGAGAGTTAATGTGCTTTCAGCATATACATCCTTGCTCAAGAGAAACCGAGCAGCTAAATGTGCTCATGGCAGCAAACCAAGTACATTTTTCAGATCAGTCTTATTTAGTGTAAAATCGGACTCAGCTGATACATGAAGGCAATGGGTGTGTGCCACCGCCACCTAGTGGCACGTCGTTCCGTGGTGGGCTCGTCAACACAATGGGAAACAGTTTTTTATTGGCTTATTGACGTTAACAGCATGTCAACGACACACAGTCAGTGCTTCCCTTTTAATGCCCTTCACAAATAACCACTACATCCTGAAGTGAAACGTCTGTTGCAGCCAGCAGCCGGTGTGTTAGCTTTTAAATATGCAATGATTGGTCTCTACTTGATCACCTGCAGTGCAGACCAACACTGTGGTCATCTTAGCCTCACATGGAGGAATCTGCACGGTAATCTAAATACCCCCAAAAGAAGAAGCTTTGTTTCCATCCGTTCCCCTTAGAATCTAATCCTACCAGAGTACTGACCTAATAAATTAAGAGCAAAAGTGAGCACCCACATACGTCCGCTGAAACTGGAGGAATTTGAACTGTAGTACCAGTAAATAAGTAGAAAAAATATGAATGCAGTGACTCTGAAAATAAATACTATTATGCAAGTTATTCTAAATAGAACACAATAATGTTTTTCTCTGACATCCTTCAATTGGGAAGTGGATGTGAGCTCCCGAAGCTCAACTTATGCCCCCCTCGAGAAATGACATAACGGGAAGTGCGATGAGAATCTCTCCAAACCTCGCCACCACCAAATATGTGCATCAAACGCTAAGGCCGCCCTGTTATCACCGCTTCCCCCCGTCTGTTTGGTGGACCCCTCATCTGATGAATCCTTATCGTGTCCACACAGGGCTGGTTTACATGTCATCTTATCACCGGGTCCCTTCCCAAGGGCTCCCACAGGAAGGCCGTGTTCCCAGGGCACTACATGCCACGTATATCTCCACCGCCTGACGCCGAGGGAAGCGCACGGCGTGCTCAGGAGTCCACCGTGGGGGAAGGCCTCGCTCAACGGCTTCCATGCGTTAGCACGGCCCCGTCCAACTCCACGCGAGAGAGAGGGGCAGATGAGGTTGTTTTGGAGTTTGTTGTGACGGGTTGTTTGAGAAAGAGCCCCACTGAAAGAGATGTTGTGGATCCACGCAGACCACAAACTGCCACAGTGAATTATATCACTATCAAAATAATACCAACCCATACCTAAAACTTGTTTTGTCACACAAGCAGCATTTCCGAGGACAATATGCTTATTTGCTAATATAAACTCTTCAGTTTGTGTGCCTTTTAAATTTTGTGAATTAAAACATTGACACTGACTATATGCAGATTTAACATCTAATTTGTGATGTCTTGTCTAACGAGGCAACTGACTTGTTTCCACTGATAAATAAACTGTGAATAAGGGACTTGTGGGTGATTTTACTTGAGTTTTGGAACCCTTTTTTTCATCAAGTAGTACTACTATTTCACAACTCACACAAACACGCGCACACGGTGACACCCCGACGCACGCAAGTCCGCCTCGTTGTTTGTTAAGAGTCGATTCGGGGAACTTTAGCATCAGTTGTTCGTTATTAAAAACCCTGAAAGGAGGAAGTACTGAGTCAGAGTGCGTGGGAGGAGGAGGAGGAGGAGGAGGAGGAGGAGGAGATGAAGGTGGGCCTCCAGGGACTCCTCACCAGGAGAGGATCTCATAGTGCGCGACGCTGCGGCGCAGCTGGGAACCCGGTGACGCTCCTTGGGACCCGTTGGGACTCGCACGGCTCTGTCTGCAGGACTCGCGCTTCGCTCTCGGCACAAGTGGAGCAGCGCTCGGGGAGACGTCATGTCCTCGCAGGGCTTGCTGAGCAGCGTGTTCTCGTGCTCGCTGAGCCCCAAAACTCTCTCCAAACGGAGCCTCCGACAGACCAGGAGTTTGGACTCGACGCTGACGAGGCACTGCGGGACCGACGCGGAGGAGACGTCGCTGAAGGTCGGCGTCCCGGGAGGCTCGCGGCGGCCCGGCGGCTCGGCGGCGCAGGTGATTCCAGCTGCTGGATGTGGTGGTGGAGCGGAGGCGTGACGTCAGTGGCGATTCGGGGTTCGCGTGTGCGCGCGTTGTTGTTGGCGTTAAAACACAAAATGTGCAGGACTTTTGATGATGCGGATAATGCATTAATGACTGAGTCGCGAGTGTCTTTGACCTTTTAAAACGCTATTTTGTTTCCAAAATTTGGGAGGTTGCAAAACTTACAAGGAGGTCGAACTTGAGCTCAGCGTAAAGCCCGCGTCCAGAATCCGGAAGTGACTGGAATTCCCTGAGGATGATGAAGCTAAAGACTTTGCAAGTCCCATTTAATGTCAAACCATAGGAGCCCCCCCACACACACGTGCCATGACAAGTCTCTGTTTTCGCTTTGTGTGTGGACCGTTAACACAACAATGACTCATTTCTCTTGATGAAGTGGTGCTTGAAGCCTTCGCTTGTGCCAACCTGCTGCCAGGTGTGTCTGGAGAACATGGGGGAAAAAACGGGCACAATTGACACGGGTCAAATACAAAGTTTATTTTCTCATACTATAATAGAAACTTTAAGGTGGGGTTCTGGGAAGCGAATATATTTCAAACAGTCTGGAAAGGGCTGTGTGGATTAAGAAATGTCCTGTGCAGTGAAGCTTTATACGTACAGCAAAACGCCATCTAATGACATATGATATCAGTCTACCAAAATCTGTGCAATGTGTATTAATTCATTAATTCCCAATGAGCCTGAAAACACCAATGGTCCGTACACCTCGGCAAAACAGTTCATTGTTTCCACTCAAAGTTATTCAGTATTATTTATTAGTTGCTTCAGAGATGAACATGCTGTGCAACAGACAGTAGCACTGCAGTAAATTCACAGTTTATTTTATACTAACCTTTCTTTGTCACCAAAGGAAACAAATCACCCAAGCGTTGATCATTAATGATGATGGGGTTTGTCTCCGTGAAGAGAAGCAGCATGCATTGGGAATCTATAGCTTTATAGTTAGAGGGTTGTAGTTCTCGCTAGTCTCCCAGGTTCATAATTTGAGCTGATTTGTGCTGCTGTAAAGTTGGTCCTCGTGGTGACACTCTGTTTTTTATATGTAACGGAAATATAGGGTCTTGACATTTTAATAGGCGTGTAATAAATACCAGGTATCCGTTAGCTTTGACAGCCATCAACAACAACCCACATCCTACAGCCAGAGCCCTTAAAAATGCAATCACACTACATCTGAATGAAGAATATTAATATTGGAGACAGCTCTGTGTCATTAACGTGATTTAGGACTTTGGGGAGTGCTTGTGTGCACCATTATGCTCAGAGAGCTGCATTAAAGCCTGGTTTTTAAGAAGCATTGATCAAATGGTAAAAGTCACCCTCCACTATAGACGATAACCATGTACACATATTGAAAATCAGACACATAATATGTCTGCAATATTTTACTACTAATATCATACAGGGTACATGTAGAGAGTAGATCTTTACTACTGTGTAGCTCCAACATGCTGAAGAACTCCAGCCGGGGACTCACATGATCAGGCTGTCAGCTTAGACCGACAGTGAGGCGGCGTCTTGCTTGTCTTGTAACTCAGACTGTTCAGGCCTCTCTTTTTCGAATGCCATCCAGTTATTGTGCTGATGCAAAGAGTGAAACACAGCAACCACCGGTTATGTGCAAGACATACCTGGTGCCACAGCGCCCTCAAGATGAGTCTATAATCATGGGAATACATTGTAGTAATGTGTTTGGTCCTAGCGTATCAAGGTATTATATGTCTTGGATGCATATAATTCTCTTATTCTAAAAGCGATAACCGATGGCAGCTTGATCTCGGCATGAGAACACATCCTATCCCCTGTATGAAAAGCAGTGTCGCTTTGGTATTTTTGATCTACGGTACGAGGGGACCCAGTATTTTCCATAGGTGGAACATTGTTGTGCTCTTGTTAGCGTCGTACTCACCCGGGGTCTCGGTAGTTTGTGCTGCGATGGAACGCAGAGACATCTGGCTTACATGAAGAAGGCTTCCACTCTTATTTCTCACAGTAGAGCAGCATGACCTTATCCTGGCTACGGTCCCTCTGGCACATATTTCTTCCCACAGGAGACGGTCCGTTTGCAACCAAACCTGCTGACTTTACCCAGCAGCCCCACAGCATCCACCTTGTGTCTGATTTGGATGGTAAATCAATGCTTCACGTCAATTTATGATCCGCTTCTGGTCGAACGGGTATTCCCAGCCTCATCGGCAAGATGCCCGCACTGAACAAAATGATTTAGTCCTTATGAGAAACCAGCATGTGTCTCGACGCCAGGCGGAAAGTGTTGGCGTGCGGAATATTGTATAAAACACTTTTAGGACACAGAAGTGGTTTAATGAGTCAGGATCATTAGGGATTATGTTGGTTTTGAGACAGCTACAGAAACAGACAGGCATCCTTATAATATGCACTCAAGTTGATTATGTTTCACAAGCAAACTGTTTCACAGCAACCCGTAATCTGCATCCTGTGTACATGCCAGTATATTGCACAACAGAACTGATCTTAAATTGTTTTGGACCTCTTGCACTGCCATGATAGATGGCCGGACTGCTCCGCTGCAGGTCTGTTATGTTTTAATATCACTGGTGGAGCCCTTCTCTGATCCACATAAGTGCCTTGCATTGGATACAGTCATGTGGGGGATTAATTTATGCTGATTTCGCTTTTCATTTCGGGCTTATTTGGGACATGGATACGAAGAACGTGGGAGATTTTGGAAAATATTCCCCTTTGGTTAAATCCCCTTTGTAAAAACCTAACTTTTAACAATTCAAATCTTGTCCATGGAAAATGGTGTTTTAAAAAAACAACCCCAGGCGGCGTGTAGTTTAATAAAAAGCACAACCCATCAGAGGAATTACTTTCTAAGTCACTCTAAATAGCCATCACAAATATTCAACTATGAAATATGTCCACATCTGCTCCGGGATGTCCAAGGAAGCCAGTAAGTTGCAGGGCCAGACGCGTCCTTTAGAGGGAGCCATTCATTATTCTGTTGCAGTAATGCAGTATTCAAATAAAGGAACACATCACTAGAACCGTGAATAAGGTTCAACAGCAGGTGGATTGTTGTCATGTGCTCACTCATCATGTTTCAAGCAAAACTTTAATTTACAATTGTAAGTCTTATAAAACGGACATGTCTATTCACGTTGCTACATGCCACATGTAACGTCAATGGGTCGTGTTCCACATATTTGAAATTCATATGTATGAAAATCTCTCTTAACCATTACCATGTTACTGGATTATGAATGTAATTCCGCATTAAGGATGTAATTTAGCTGTGCATTCTCATTTGAAATAAGGTGTCCCGTCATCGGCCCTTAAATATATTGGTGGCATCATTTGATGATCCAGAGAAAGAAAAGAACACCATGGAGGAGAGACGGCCTGAAGGAGAACGAGTGTGGAGCAAACGGAGAACTTCTCTCTGTAACAAAGCAGCTTCAATCTCATGCAAATCAAAGAGAAAAAAAAAAAATTCCAGTGAGCTTTTGATATTGGTGCCACTGGTGGCTGAGGTCCATTTAGGGGCCTCAGTTGGTTGCGACAAGACAGTGACCGAGATGCCAATCGAGTCACAGTCTATCATCCAACCGGTGCTGATAGTAAGTAATAAGAGTCTTATTAGGCAGAGTAAGTGAAAAATGCACCATGCATGGATTATATAGTCAGACAGTAATGGCAGCAGATTTATTGATAAAACTACAGAATTCCAGAACTATAATGTCGTTCCTCAACAAGAGGAGAGGGAGTTTCCTCCCTCCGGTTGATGTCTTAGAAATTAAGATACTATATACTATTAATTTCCTCTGTCTGCTTGGAATTTCCTCTTCTATTCGTCTCAGGAGGAGCTTTGAGTGGCTTGAATGAGGTTGTTAGGCATGGAGACGGTAAACAGGAAGCGGCACATCCAACAGAAACAAACCATTTGGAAGGCGATGTTGGGTGGAGAAATCCTCGTTCAATCTAACGGCGCCTTCGGCTTCCTAAATGGTAAAGCTCAGCAATGAGCTGTCTGTAACAGGTACAAATGGTTTAACGTATAACATATTATTAATATGTGAGTAGCTTCATGTTTTATACATTTAGATACAGATAGCGGCCTCTGTGTCTTTAGATTTTAGAGAGGTCCAGTACAAAATAGTGTGCATGCCTCACCAGATATTGATATTGAACAGATAAAACTCAACAAATATTCTTAATCCTTCATGTAATTAAATCAGCTTGAATACAAATCCGGGGCACACGAGAAAACTCTTTGACAGCAGTGCAGCTTGGGTGCTTAAATGATCGTATAATTTATTGCAAGCAGACCAGCAGCTGTGTAAAGCTGCAGATGGGATTAAATACACATGCTGTCGACTACAATTTGCTTTTCAATTAGTAGACAAAACATTAATCCAGTTCTTCCTGTCCATATCTTTGTAAATGACTTTCTCCTTTGAAAGATTTCCCTCAATGCATTAGTATGCTCACATGGGATTTAAAGGATTAGTGTCACGGTGGTCTCTTTGGCACTGAAAAGACAAAGCTTCCGAATACATCGACAGAGAAGAGATACGCACTTTAATTGCAGCCTTGCGTTCAATCTGCAAATCTAAAACGTTCTGAGAAGAAAGTGGATTTTTAGAGCACAGGTCGTTGTCTTCTGCAAGTACCACAATCACAGCCCTGTACTCCCGCTCGACTCAAGGAACTATCGCGTTACGTGAATGCGATGGTTATCTGAACTCGTGCCCGACCGCCCTCGCCCCGCTGTGACACAACCCTTCCTCCCCGGCCTCTCCCGATCCACCGATCACAAGCAACATTTGGCCTTTTTTTTATTCCTCCGGACCGCGTCTGTCACCGTGATGCCGCAGAATCAGCGCGCGTTCTTTGCGTTCTTTGGGGATCCCGGCGCGTGAGCGCGCGGACCCGTGCTTTGCGTGGAGTCGTTTAGGGCTGAAGTCGCGTTCAGTGGTGGTCCGATAAGTTTGAAGGGCTGGAGGGGGGGTTAGAGGTGGGACACACACACACACACATCGAGTCTCTGTGCGATGGGGGATCCAACTCTCCAGCGATGCGTCGCCCATCACGTGAGTACCCGCTGCTGTCAGTGTGATACATAGTGTAGAAAAGTGGAGGGACAAACGGTTTTATTCCTCACATTAAAGGGTGATGTGAATTGGTGTATTTGTTTTGACAGTGATCGATGTATTTGGATTGAACCTCTCCCCGAGCAGCTCATCGGGATAGAAGGCCTTTTGCACACTATGTTCTCCATCAGTTCTCCTCCCCACTCCTCATACGCAGTGTGGGTCATAACCAACTGGTCTACAGTTTTTTCATTGTTGTTGACATTAAAAGTAAAAACGTATGCACCCCCGAATACTCATTAGAGCATATTTATGAGTTCAAATTAGTTATTTTATAGCAGGATGTGAGGATTGAATCAGTTTCTGGTCATTTGCAAGCAGTCAAGGACACGCCAATACAATTTTGGTTTTGGCATCTGTCTGAATTGTAGGAACTACCTTGCACGGTTCCTCTCATTGTGTTCCAGTCGGCACTCTCTAAAGCATTGTGTTACAACAAGGTCTTAAATTGAAGTTAGCACAAAGCCAAATGGCTGCGTGTGTGCACTTGCACAGCAGAGTGCTGAGATAAATTAGGAGTTGAAACATTTCAATAGGAATGCTGACTTTAATGCTGACTTTGTTACTACCGTATGAATGAATGATGAATACAAATCATTTTAGGCTATAAAGCACGGACTTATCACTGTGATCTTCAGCTCGGATAAGAAAATAACTTCATCAGTGACTGTTTGTGTAACAACGAGGAACATCTGAATTTCTTTCCTTCTCCCACAAATATAGAAAAGCTTATAAAAGTGTTTTTTTTTTTTAGTCATCCACAGCTTAAAATAAAATATATAATATTATTTAGGATTAATATGTAGAAATACTATTTTCACTCATGCATCTTTTGATAATTATGGTGAAAATAAATAGTGGATGAATAGGATTTAATATTGTACCAAAGTAACTGGACTCAACTTCTGGAGAGGATGAACAAATGATGATTATGGAAAAGCATGTTTAGTAAAGTGTTTACCAAACTTTCATTGTGGGTATCCACTTTAAAAAAAACATGATGAACAATCTGGTCCCAACTCACAATAGTCTAAATAACATAATATCTATAAATAATGATAACAGCGTATTTCTGTGCCAATGAATATTACTGATTATTGACTTTTTACTGCCATTTTTACCTTTATATTATATTTAATACCTACGGTTTCAAAGAGATGAAAACTGGACAAATTGCATATATGTTTAACTTGACATTGAAAACCTAGAAGTCAAATACTTTATAAATGCTCTCTTTATATCAATAAAAACCGACAGCATGTACCCAAGCCTTTCTTAATCAAGCCTTTCTCAATATATTTATGGTGAAAAGTAGGCTTCAATTATCATCACCATACTAACATTCAGGCTCCCGCGTGTTGCACGTATGTCCGCTGTGGATATAAAAGAAATTATGCTCAATTATTTCGCCACCCAATCTCCTACAACTCACCTTTGGGCCGTGAATCAGTGTCTGAGAATGACTGGCCAACTAATTCATGGAATTTCGCACAAAATTATAGTAGCTGTCATTTGAGAACGTCACTCTCCCGTCAGAGGTGAACTGTGGGAACCAGCTCACTCGTCATCAGAACGGGGAAAGGTTTCCGCTCCCAGAGAGTCACACAAGAGGAATGTCTGGACATGAGTAGATAATTGCAAACGTGACAATTTGGCAGTTTTACAGAGGTTTTGCAACACAAAGATTGACACACAGCAGAGACTGTCTCTGTTATTTCCTTATATTCTTGCATCCTGAGGATCTGTTGTCGCGCTTAAGTGATGAGGCAAAACCAGAGAAAAATAAAATAGGATTAACAGAAATTGCGACAGTTTCATCCTGTGTGCGTCCAGCACCCACCGTCCAATCCCCAAGCTTCTGTAGATTTATATTCTATTTGAGTTCATTAAAAGCCTTATTGCAAAGCAGTCGAAACATAAATTACATTACATGTCATTTAGCTGACGCTTTTATCCAAAGCGACTTACAATAAGTGCATTCAACCACAGGGGTACAAACTCAGAAGAACAAGAAAGTGCAATTTCCTCAAATAAGCCAAATTTGCTATAGATAAGTGGCACTTTAAGTACAATTTAAGTGCTACAATTAGTTAGTCTTTTAGTGGAGGTAGAGTCTCTGCGGTCCTGGTGTCTTCAGAGAGCTCGTTCCACCATTTCGGAGAAAGGACAGCAAAGAGTCGGGATCTTGTGTGTTTTGCTCTCAGTGAGGAAGAGATAAATCATATTAAATGTAAGACTATACATTAGTGCCTTACATTTAAGTATAGGGTGAGTTTGGTTTTGCTCTTTAGTCTAATAATAAATAAACCGTTGTTAATTTGTGATAAACATTTTAAGCAAAAGTTCATGTTGGACTGCTTTCATACCATGAAAGATCTTTGCACAATTAAAAAGCAGCACGATCATTGTGTGTAGGTAGTATAAAGACTCATTTAGATCTTAATTTGAAATGGATTCCTGTTCAAAATAATATTCCTTTTTAATATTTATTATTTGTCTATTTATTTGGCAGTGCCTGTCTGTTTGCGGTTGTTAATCTGATCCTTTACAGTTAACCTGCTCAGGAGGAGGTTATCCATACAACATGAATCTGGATCACGGGTTAGGTCACCATGGCAACCTGACAGGAAAACCCCGGTTAAACTCAAAGATCGCTGAGTGACACACTAACCTCCCTTCCTGATAAAGGCGCCATCTCTTTAGCTCAGAGGATATTGTCCTGCGTTCTTGTTTAACTTCAAAGGTCACTAGTGAGATAAAACTGAAACTAATACTTCCATCTAGTAAAATGGGAAAGATTTGCTATACTTTATTTTGCCATAGTATGAAACTGTGAATTCAGAATGAGGTTTCTGATTGTTGACAGGAAAAAAGAAGCATGTTGCAAGTCAGACTTTTGGAACTATTACTTTTTTTTATTAAAAATGAGTAATCAAACCAAAAAAGTAACCGTAGTGTATATTCTATGGACAGCAAACCAAACATATCTGCTGTAGTTATATATTTTACACTAACACCCTTTTTCTAGCCATTACAGTATGTGCCCTTCACTAAATCCAACAACTCTCCTCTAATAAAAAACATCCATTGCTGATTATTCGATTATTATTCGCCACTTGGTTCCCAAATGCAGAAATGCTGCAGGCCAGTGACCGCTGTCTTTGCACAGAAGGCATTAGGCCAAAGAAAACCTGCACGTCTTATCACGTTTTCTGTACTCTGTCATACTGTATTTGCACTAGAGAACAGTACGCTACTGTCGCACGGCCCTAATTCTCATTTAATGTGCATGAGCCAATCCTGTATAAGCCTTATCCTGATAATGAGTGACTAAGCCTCTTTGGAACATGGCTCATATGATTGGCTTGACCGTACTGGATCAAAGCGCCGTAATCTCCAGCATTGAGATGCTCAAAGGTTGAGGCTTTCAGACCAGATTATTTGTCCCCTCATTACCACAGTAAGGAATCTTCAGAACGTCTTTGCAATGTTTACTACCGGGTTTATTTCATAAAAATGTTTTTAATTTAGACCACAAATGATCCATTAATCTGTGGATAACCTATGCAGTTTCACTTTATTGAGCGGTGCAGGGACATAATTCAGATGAGGCATTTAGCATTCAGGAGCTTGTGATATAGCGATTGCATTATTAATAAGTAATGTTCTTGCTACTTGTAAAATAGGATCATCTGTGTACTTGCTCCTTGCTCTGATAAGGCGGCGGGCCCCATTCTGGGAACAGAGGTTCTGGTGGAAACGGTTACCAGCGTCGACAACTCGCGGTCCTCGTTTCTACAATCAGAAAATTAAGAAACATGTCAGAATACGTTATTCAAAAAGTACTGCTGAATGCTGCAAGCGAGCATCAAGTAGTTCATATCATTGGGACATTTTGGTCAGTTTTTGTCACGGCAAAAGTATTTTGTCAGTTCACACAAAAGGAAAAATGATGAAGGTGACAGCAAGGGTACATGTACCTGACGTGTGCGTTTGTGTGCGTTTGTGTCTCCTCAGGGTGACTTCACCTGGAACAGCGTATCGGGACGTAACGTTGGCCTGAAGCCCGTCCCTCTGCAAAGCCTCTCAGAGTTGGAGAGGGTTCGTCTCCAGGACGTGGCCTTCAGACGATTGCTGCGGGACGGGGACCCAGGCTGCCCCATCACAATCCCTAAATGTATTACTAGTCCCCGTTCCCTATTGGTCCAGTTGTTCTGTGTTCTGTCATAAGCAACGTGTCTTCTGTAGCACATGCAAACTAGATAAACAACGACAAAGTGTTTTTCTCTCTGTTTATTTTACATGAGAAGGTGTATTTCCTTCATGTGCTCCCTATATATTGCAAAACATTCTCGGGGCTTAATAGATTTCGTGCAGTGAGATTGTCTTCCTTAAACATTCTGTAATGACGTATGCTATGTTTATTTATTCAGGAATTAGTCTGTCATTCTGGTTGCGGCACATTCTATACGTTGTTGACATATAACACAAACTACATCGTCAAACCAAAATCGTGTTTTGAAAAGGTATGATATCATTGTACATGCTAAAGTGGTGCCAAAGTGAGGTACACATCTGTGAGGGTCATACATTCCGGATGTCATGTCAAGTGGAGAATATTAACTTTAGTCCTTTCTTTTTTTTTTCACTTTTCAGATGGCCACAAGCACAAGAAGTTACTGAGGCGGAAGTTAGATTCATTATCTAAGGAGAAGAGTAAAGACAAAGGTATAGTGGGATATAACGGATACACTCCCTACTGTGAGGGGAATCGAAGTGCTCCCCATTGGAAATTGCATTTAGATAAGAATATCTAACCCCCACTTAGTTATATTATTGTTCGCCTTTCCAAACCAGTGAAGACAAACAGCTGCTTTTAGGTCTGTGGGAGAGTCCTGTCAGTTTATTCCCCTCCACTTTCTAATCTGGTCTGCCTCGCCAGACCCAAGAAGACACACTCTGTGATCCCCTTTGGCTGAATCCGTACTGACTCACTGAAGCAGACACGCTCAGCTGCGGAGCGATCCGAATCTGCAGTACGGTAAAGAAGTCTCACGGGGAGCCGTGATCTTCCGCCCCCGCGCCGCCCCGCCCGCCGCAACAATCTGGCAGCAAAGGGATGTTTTCTGTCAGCCGGGCAGTCCGGGGAAATAACAAAAACAATCTTAAGTGGTGGCTCATTCATTACAGCCTGTCCTCCAGCACGGCCAGCCCCCGCTTTCCTCCTCTCCTCTTTCCTCCTTTCCCCTTCTGTTTACAGAGGCACTTCACAAAGTATGCGCTCCGAGACTGTGAATACTGCTCTGCAGACTACGGTTCGAGGCTTTTTATTCTTACTTTCACATTTTGACAGGCGCTCAACGCTTGTTTGTCAAATATTTCTATCGTATTCCCCCTCAACCCCTTGAATATGAACAGAACATAAACGGCAGCACTTAAAAAGGCGAAACTATTGAACGCAGAGATAAGTTACTGGTGCTCTGTGCAGGAAATCTAAGCCCCCGAAGGCTGACATCCACAACGTGCCGACGTGACTGACACGTCTCTTATCTAACTCGACATCTCCCAGTGGAGCCAACGAGATGAACTTTTAAAGTCTGCCCTTTCTCCTCACACAGAGACAGTGCCCCAGGCGTTCGGCATCCCTCTGTCGCAGGTCATATCCAACGACCGCGCACGCAAGCAGCGGCACGACCCCCCGCGGGGGGAGCAGGGCGAGTTGACGCTGTCCTTCCTCAACTTCAACTACAGCTTCAGAAGGGGCAACAAGGAGCTGTCCAGCAGCGGCTCGTCCCTCAGCTCCACCTCGGAGACCCCCAATGAGTCCCCTCGGCTCGGCACAGCGGACGCAGCCCCACGGACACGCAGGCGGGTAGGCGTCCCCCCCCCCCCCCCCCCTGAATCTGTCACATTACACTGGCGCATGTAATTCGTCAGGGGAATTTGTGACATTTTTCTTTTTTTTCTGTTTAGAGGGTGCCACTACGCTTGTATCGCCTATTAAAAAGTGTGTGGTTGTCGCCCATCTGCTTGACAGGGTGGCGTATCAGTGGATTGCATCACTGACCTTGATGATAACCAGTCTCGGCTCTTGGAGGCCCTTCAGCTCTCTCTGCCGGCGGAGGCGGCCGGCAACAGGGAGAAGCGACGAGACAAGAAACTCAGCCTCAACCCCATTTACAGGCAGGTGCCCAGGGTGGTGGATCTGTGCTGCCGGCACCTGGAACAATACGGTACGCATCATCAAAGTTGAACATTAACAGGACCGTGCGTAGTACATGGTGTGGAAAATAACCACTCTCTCTGTGGAAGGACATGACTCAAAGTATGTGATGCTTACAGGCCTGCAGACGGTTGGAATTTTCCGTGTTGGAAGTTCCAAGAAGAGGGCGCGACAGGTACAATTTCATTTGCTGTAACCGACATTTTGATTTAGATTAAATCAACCCAGTCTCACAGCAAAACGTGTAGTAGCTACGTTGTGGAACGTGGTATTCTCGCGCTTTATCCCCAAAATCGTGACAATACCACGTTTTATTTCGGCCCGTTCATTTACATTGCCTTGCAACTACGTCACTAGAAACTAATAAACGGAAGATCTTCTACATTCTCTGATAGAAGATTATGAAAATATAACGCATACTTCTCGCTAGAAATGCCATCGAAATGCATACAAATGCTGATGCCTTCTTAAAATATTGTGTTTTTCACACATAATAGACAGTCCGCCGTTTTCTTTTTTTAGCTGAGGGGAAGTTGATCATCACGTGACCTAGTTGCAACTAAAACGTTGTATTGTCACTTTCTCGTGAGAATACCGCGTTCCACAACGTAGCTAGTACACGTTTTGCTGTGAGACTGGGTTGATTAAATTGTGTCAACTACGGGCAACGATTTTCTGTAATAATTATCAAAATCTTTCATCCAGCTGCGCAAGGATTTTGACCAGGGCTGGGAGGTGCATTTGGATGAGGATCAAAGCGTCCATGATGTAGCTGCGTTGCTTAAAGAGTTCCTCAGAGACATGCCTGACCCGCTGCTAACAAGAGAACTCTACACGGCCTTCATCAACACAATGTGTGAGGAGCAAACCCCCCCACCCCCCCCAAAAAAAAGCAGTTTGCAGTTTTGATAGAGTTCCCAGTTGTGTGGCTGTTCTTTTTTCATCAATGTGTTTGCGTTTTTATTCTGCAGTGCTGGAGGATTCGGACCAAGACAGCGCCATCCAGCTCCTGATGTTTCTGCTTCCTCCCTGTAACAGCGACACGCTGCAGCGCCTCCTGCGCCTGCTGTCCACAGTGGCCGCGCACGCCGACGACACCTTCACAAAGGACGGGGAGAGGGTAAAGAAATTGCACATCCCCACGTAAAAGAACTGCTCATTCGGTTCCAGCTAATGTGATGGAGATAGACCCAGTCTGAATTCAGTAATCACAGGCTCCTGCAGCCTCTTTATTTGAGGAACATTGCTGTGAGTGCCAAAGCGCGGCGACTTATGCACGATGATCCATCGTGGGTTTCTGGATGGAATGAAGCACAACCAACAAATACAAAACAACACTGCAGCTGTGCTTCTACATACATTTGACTGTTTCGTCATCCCTCCACAGTTTGTGTAAACCAAAAGTAGTGTAAGTTATGTGCAACCACTCGTTTAAAAAGCTAATTACAATATTTGCACCAACCGAAGAGAAGAAATGTCCCTGCTCCATGAGTCATCTTTTCATATTAATTTGATTTTTTTAACACTGCACTTCGCAGTGGAGAGGATTTTTTTCCCCCACGGATCTGAAACCAGCTTATTCTTGGCATCGCTCCCTCGAGCGTGTATACTGCCACGGAGAACAAGTGGTCTGATTGTCAAAGAAGAGCCAGCCGCACATTCCCAACGTTTCAAGGACGACGAGGGTCCGACCACGACAAAAGACTCTGAAACGAAAGTGTGTAAAAGGTTTCACTCCGGTGTGCAGGCCCGTGGGCAGATTCAAAAAAGATCACGGCTAAATTTAGATACTGTTCCGTCTCGAAAATATATCTTGGGAATGCAGCGGTCAAATTATGTAATCACATTAGAAAATGTTCCTTGGGCGTGAGATATTTACTAGTGTTTGTCAATGTGTGACTGTCCATACAAATGAATTCTGCCCTCGGTTTTGTGTAGATCACAGGAAACAAGATGACATCACTCAATCTGGCAACCATCTTTGGACCCAACCTCTTGCACAAGCAAAAAAACTCAGACAAAGAGTTTGCGGTCCAGAGTTTTGCCCGTGCGGAGGAGAGCTCAGCCGTCATCAGCGTGGTCCAAAGGATGATCAATACATATGATAACCTTTTCATGGTGAGCCACCCTTACTGCAAAACAAAAGGCATCCTAAGAAGCTGAAGACAGCCATGGGATTACTCACGTATTCTCCAGAGCTTAACCAAAGGAAATGTAAACATCAGCTTTCTGCGTTCTGAGACGAAGAAAATATAATATTAATATAAAAGAATATTTAGTGGATATTCTTAGTGCGTGGGAAGTAAGATGCCTCACTGGATAAGTCAATAACTGGCATTCCTGCTTCTGCTTGCTTTATAGACCGCGATCGGGCGCGAGGGCAAGATCTTCATCTGTTATCGTTTCTGCTTTTTTTTTTACCAGAAAATTAAGTTCAGATGCACTTAGTTGAAGAGTCTGAAAACAATCTTTTTAGAGCGCCAGAGGGCAAAAAAAGCCCATCACACATTTGCTCTGCGTCGTTAGTTCCGCCTTTCTTTACGGATGTTAATTGTTTTCACTTCAACACAAACATGATGTTTTTTTTTTTATCTTCTGTGGTGATACAGTACTACTTTCATGAGTATCTAGTCGCATTGTGTACACTCACCCATGATAAACCAAATAAACTGGGAAGTCAATAATCTGTTTTGGGTTCAATAGAGTAGTTCATAGCAGTGAAATGTGATAAATATAGATAAAGATAAAGTAGAATAATAGATAAAGTTTTTGAAATGTTGCTCTCTCCTAGGTTCCTGCTGACATTCAGAACGAGGTGCTAATGAGTGTGCAAGAAACTGACCCTGATGTTGTGGATTACTTACTGCGAAGGAAGGCCTCTCAGGACTTGTGAGTTTCCACCTTCCTCTCGCTCTTTCTATCCCCGAGCCTCCAAATCATTGAGATGTATGACATTATCCCCCCTACGTGACGATGACGGCATTACATGTTGCCTGTCTCCGCAGTGAGCCAGGCCTCCTCGGTGCAGGGGATCCCTTCTCTCCGACTGAGCGATGCGTATCCAACGACTCCATCGAAGCATCTAGTGGAGAGGTGTCTCCGTACGATAACAACTCTCCCGTCCTGTCTGATCGACTGCTGTGTAAATACCCCGAAGATAGCGGCCTCTCAGAAAGGGACCCCAGACTTTCTGGGCAGTTCAAACTCAGCAGCCGTAGTAAAGACGGATCCGGCAGCGCCTCTCCTACACTTTCTACAGATAAAGGTGAACTACCTTCTTTTGCAAAATGTACTTTAGGTATTAAAAAAAAAGAAGAAAAATTGTGTTTCTTGCTGATATATATTTATATATATAAAGAATTGTGGAATTCAGTTATCACTCATGTAAATACGGCGGCGGTGTGACACGTAAAATGTACATAGTTGGGCTCCGAAAAAAGAAAACGTATAGTAGAAACCGAATTATTGAAACTGCTATTGTGACCATTTTCTCTTCCTATCAGAGGCCTCAACTGACAATTTCTGGGACACCTGGCACGAACTATTCAGCAAGGACTTTACGGGCCATCATCTTACTGGTATGTTTTGTACATGTTGCTGCAGATGGTTTCCGAGCTGTGTAAATGGATGCTGCATGTTAACCAATGGTTTCCCGCAGGCTCCCTCGGGGACGTGTCGGAATGTGAGTCGGACGGATCTTCAGAGGGGCTGAGCAGTCACCAAGGTAACAACAAGCTGCCCGTCAGACAGTCACAAACCCCATTGGGCGTAATGGAAATAAGACCACACCTCTCGGTGACTCGCAGCTGCAGTGGTCCTCACGACCAGAGAGGACAGAGACCACCCACGTCATTACCTCAGGGGTCGAGCAGCCAATCAGCAGCCTTCAGCTCCGAAAGCCCGGCAGGAAAGACGAGAGCCTGCGCATCGATTAAGGTCGGGGCGGACGGTGTGTCTCGACCTGGCTGCTCTGGGCGGCTGAGGGAGACCCACATGTCTCGGTCCACGCCCTCTCTCTTCTCTCATCAGCCCGACGCACAAACCCAGCAGCAGCAGCAGCAGCAAAGCCCCGCCCCTCAGGCCGCAGGTAGCGCAGACGCCTCGGGGCCCGGACTACAAAAGCGCCTCGGTACACCGAACTGGCAGACGGAGAGGTGGCATATATGGAATATACTGTCAAAAGACAATGCAGACGCTCTGCCCGAGACGTTGGTTTGATGCACCCTGTGACTGTGTTGAACAACGTGGTCAAGGGGTCATTCTCCTGTCACAGCAGCAGTCGCCGAAAATGCCGCCGTTCGTATATGCAGTGTTAGCTAATGTGTCTCATTGATGGACAGATGGGCCTTTCATTGACCACCACTTAAGATGGTGGTGATATTGCTGTTATTTTTTCAAAGGCGCTTGTGTAAGTGTTTATATATTCATATTAATGTGTCATCATTACATAAATTATATTTTTTTTGTGTATATTTGAATGAGTTGTCGCCATCAACGCAGAGATTATTTGAAATACAATCATGAAAAACTTCTATTTACACCTGACATATTGTCACAATTAGACTTGAAAGGTATTCATTTGAAACATGAATGTCTTTAAGCTGAATGTAACTCTATTATGCCTATATTGTCATATTGCTTTAAATGTGTACCGTATAAGGTACCTTGGCTTCTTTTAAGATTTAGTTTTATTCAGTTTAAATCCAACTATAAACTACTTGTAGAAATGCTGCTGCAATTTCAGATTTTGTATATCATCCAAAGTTTTGACACAAATTATGTAGGAAGTTGCATGGAGTTTATTTCTGTGGTATGGTGTGAGACCATCCTATTGTAACATAATGGGATAAGTGATTGCAAAGTGGTGGAGGTCAGGACATACATTTTTTGTAAGATTGTTTAATATTCAGTGAGGCATCTCTTCCCTTGAGGGTTAGTTGTCGTAATCTTTTTGCCCATTGCCATGTAATTACCCATATCTTACAAGTTGATCTCAAATCGTCCACAGCCACAAACTAACTAATCAACAATGTAGAAAAGGATGTAAAAGTAATCAGGGTGCATATTGAATACCTATAACAACTGTGTGTTCTGATGCATGGGAACATAAGAATTTGATCTTTTCACATAGAATCTAATTCAGAAATTTACATGAAGTTAAATTAAATGTTTACTTAAGTAAAAAAAAGAAAATTGTTTTACAGTCAAACACTTGAAATGATGAAGGCACTTGCAAATGACACAGATCTCATGGAGTCTAGTCATAAAACATTGAAACAATTACCTGAAATGGCCACAAGAGGGAAGTATGAGACCAGGAAATGGTTTTCAATTTCCTTTTCTTCCCCTAATTGTAATGCAATGTGGGTATGCACTGGGATTTAATGACTCATTACACACTGAAAAGCTATTAGTTCAGTTTCTTTCTTAGTGGACCCTATGATCGGGATGTCGGGGATTACATGTGTTACGGACGATTGCTTTTTACGTAAAGATCTAATCTTTCACTCTTGTCTCTCTAGTGAAGAGTACCTCTTTTATCAGCAGCAATCTTGCTCCATATGAATAAAAAAAGAGAGATCTGAGCGGAGACGATAACAATAACATTTGGCATTTTATACTACTGGAATTGCAAGAAGTGCCCACAGAAGTATGCAATTATGCAGGAAATGGCCACTATTGAAATGTGGCACAGATTACCGGTGGTGTATAACAATCTGCGAATGCCGTTTTGAGGAAACAACAGTATTTTAATTTGCCCTAAAGTGTTGTAACTGATTGAATTCAAGACATTGCGTTTATAGGTTTGTGTTTTAAAGTAAGGACTCCCAATATGTTTTGACAATAGGCATCATCTCCCTGATAATAAACACTTCCCTTGTTAAGAAAAGCCTGGAGATTTGCTCAGCACAGAGGCATGTGGCTGAACCTCCTAGGCCGTATCTGGCTGCACACGTGTGCGCCAAGCTGCATTTGGCCAGCACACAATCCCGTTCTGACCGAAGAGACAGAACAGGCTGTCTGGTTGTGTTTTACAGAACACGTGTCGTTTTCCTACCCTTCTGCATCTGCACTGCAAATGCAAAATTGCAGTTTGCATTCAGTATCCCACTGAAAGCAGCATTGAGAAACAAAAAAAGAAACGGCCTGGAGATGATTGCCCCCCCCCCCCTTAATTTTTGACCTGCCTCCCAAAAGCAAAACAATCAAGATCAAAGATTTAATTTCACATGTTATCTCTGCAGCATTGGAGGATGTAAGTAGATCCTCTGGCAGAGAGCAGCGGCTGTTCCCGACAGGGAGTCCGTCCTGTCTGAGTCTGCTCGCTTGCATCAGAGCCGCTGCCGAGGAGGACAGAGGAAGGTCACAACGAAAGTGAGGCTGAATGTCCAGAAACCGGGGAGCGCTGCCCCTCGGTGTTTCAAGGTCGAGATGGAAACACAAATCTCTGCAAAGGACAAAATGGGGCTGAGTGAGAGCTCATTTAGCTGTCGGTTATGCCACATGGCACTTTGAAAGCATCAGTCTATTTCCGTTATTTTGGGTAGCAACTCTGAGCTGCTTAATGTGGTGATCTGATGTATACTGTCATCTTAAGTGCTGAAGGATTTGCTCCATGGCTTTAACTTGTATTCAACATTTTCTTTAACAAGTCAAACACAATCGCTGCATTAGTGTTGTGTGTCGCATTTAGATTTCCAAAAGCTTAGACAATAATCCATTACACACTGATTAATGATTGCACTTTTGCTCCGTTGTATGTGCAAATGTGCATCCAAGGCCTATAGTAGTGAAGGACAGCGTGTCCATGACGAGTGTGCACAATGGCCATTATTTCATGGAAGATATTTCAGAAGAACGTTCAACATTTTATAAACAATAACATGCCGAGTGTTTCACTGATGAGACAAGAATAAGTTGGTGCAATTTTTGACCATATTTAACCCTTCCCTTCTATTCGTTGGAAGGTGTTGAAGAAAAACCGCTGTGAAGAAAATCTACTCTGATTTGATCAATGTTTCTCCCTTATAAAAAGGTGATCGTATTGTCCCCAAACGTGTTGCATTTCGATGTTTGTGTTCAACTGATCGGTATGCAAGAAGGCTATGAAACAGAGTGTTGCATTGTTCTGCCCTTATTACACCGTGACTTTTAGTGCTCACGTTGCCAGCAATGTTCCCCCTTCCCTCCTTGAGTCCACACGGTTCAGAGATGGATGTGGGATGCAGGCTCAATCAACCTACAAACTTGCGCAACAAACACATTATGCTGCAGAAGCAATGACTCCCATGTATCTCCCATTCAACTGAATTTAAGCATCCAGATGTTTTCCATCGAAGCTGGTTGTTATCAAGCGTATTTTACGGGGCAGCTATGAACACATACAGATGCTTTCATTTTGTACATTTCGCATGTCTGTGTGCGTGCGTTGTCTGTGAATGGGTTTCCTGTTGTGTTCGGATAAGGGTGTCAAGTTTGAAAATGTCCACTTTGCAACTGATAAGAGACTGAACTTACATGGAAAACTTGTTCCATAGTTTAAATATATTTCAAGTTGTTGATTTCTTGGAGAGAACATTAGCGCGCTGCGGGCAATTTTTGTTAAAATTCCCCTCTGAACGCTGACGGCAAGAGAAACACGTAGCATCAAACATGTTATCATGCTGGTTTTCAGCTTCAAAGAAAGTGCCAGCAGTTAATACTTAAGTAGAGGATCGAACTAGGTAATTATCACAGAGTGAAAGGCGGCCTTATGCACTCAAAATGCAAACACACAAACTCTTTGGCAACACGACTGTGTTCCCATGAGAGAGGAAAGGTTTTTATCAGCAAACGAAAAATGTCACACCATTGTTCCAAGGAAGTCAGTGAGCAGCACTAGAAGTTCCCTCTGAACATTCTCCTCTCCAATCTCCTGCTGGCAGATGTTCCCCTCCAGCTATCTCTGTTTGGCCTTAATTCCCTTCTTAATAGAACAGAAATGCTTTCAGAAAAACGCTGATTTAGCAGATTCACATAATACGCCGCATCATACTTCTCCATTCTCTCTTCTCTTAAGGTTTTACCCAACAGATGAAGGGAGATTTTCATTAGTAGTGATATTTGTATATTATAGGTAGCCATAGCAACCACAAATAATGAGCAAAGCAGGCAGTCACACACCCACACAAGAAACCGTGTAGTTCTAGTTCTTAGCTCTACATGAGCCCCTCCCTCTCCTGTGTGTCAGCCTCAGATAACTTTTAAAAAAGCTAATTAAAATCATTAAAAAAAACTGTTTTTAAAGTGCCATCTGTAATTTATACTTTAATTAAAAAGCAATGAATAGTAATCAAGCTAGTAGTTACAGTAGCCCAACCATTTGGACACCAAACACAGTAAAAAAGTGTTGAAAACATTCCTGTGTAATTATCAACCATTACATCTTTAGATTTTCAGAAGTTCACACAAGCTTCACACGAGCGCAGGTTTCAAAAGCTGCCTTTTCTTAACCGAATGTAACTTTGCAGAGGTCAAACACAAGAGCACAGCAGCGAACACTCACGGGGTTTGCATGAATAACCAACAAACACCAATTGTTTTGGTTTGTTGATTTCATCGTTATTTGACTTTGAATGGATGTCCTCGTTCCATTTCCGGCACCAAGAGCATGAAATTACAAAAACAGAATTGAGTGCATGCTTCAGAAGTGACGGTGCTGTGGCCTTCTGGGATTTTTCTAAAGCTTTTTTCTCCGTCTTTGTGTTCAGAGAAGAACAAATTGCCAAACAATTTCGTCTGCAGTCGGCTACACATTTGTTGTGATCTTCAAAGCAAATGATTGGGAAATGTTCCACTGTATCATAAATCTCACACTGGCCGACTCAATTCTGTATGAAAAGTTAAATGCAAGGCATAGATGCATCATTGTCTTTGTATCTCATTCACATCAGTATCCTCTCTCATATTGTTATCATAATCATTTTGGACACATACATTTCAGACTACTGGCCCTTAGTGGCACATTATTTGATGATGCAGATTTGTAGTTAATGCGTCAAAGTTCTGCACACCCAAACCTTTCAGTCCGACCCATCAAACATCTGCTGCTGGTCGATGGTGGGGGTTTGCTATGCGGGAAATGTGCTGTCATCAAACCGCATCTTAATGAATCATGCTGTCAAGGTGTAATCATCCCACCATAACAGGTGTGGAAAAAGTCCCCCGAGTCCCTCCTTGTTTTTCTTATGATATGTAGACAGCAACTTTCCCTATACTTTAGATTAAAGCTATGTTAAAAAGGTAGTGACTATCTATCTAATGATCAGCTATCGGAATAATTCAAACACTGATGCTGAACAAAAGTGCAACACCAGTGCACTTCTGTGTGAACCGTCTTTAATGTGGCCCTTTAATATAGGGACAGAAAAACTGCTACCAGCGAGGTTCACTCTGATTCGACATCCAGTGCAAGTAAGTTGATTTAATCTATTTCTACATCTCTCCAATCCATTTTTAGGGTTAGATTTCAGTGCTTGCTAATGCTTGCCCGGACACGGAACTCAAACGCCTCGCCCCATAAAAGATTATGTCCGTGCAATCTTTCCAACACGGTGACTAGTACAGCCTCACATAAGTTATTCTGACACACAGACACAATAAATCTTCATATATAACCGTTTTATTTCATTAGGGATGAAAAAGAGGGAATTCCTCAGTAAAATTTTTGGTAACCTTGACTTTTTTTCACTCCAGGAATGAACACCCAATTCGTTAAAAAATGATCTCATTATTGCAAGTATGGAATAGTGTTTTCACGCTGACTCATCCATCTCGCAAGATGAATTCTCATTAGGGTGGAGAAAACCAATTCTCTCTTGTTTAATTCGTCTTTACTCAGTGGAGTAACTGAACGCCTGGTAACTTAGTGGAGTAACAGAACGTCTGGTAACTTAGTGGAGTAACTGAACGCCTGGTAACTTAGTGGAGTAACTGAATGCCTGGTAACTTAGTGGAGTAACTGAACGCCTGGTAGCTCAATGGAGTAACATAATGCCTGGTAACTTAGTGGAGTAACTGAACGCCGGGTAGCTCAATGGAGTAACAGAACGCCTGGTAACTCAATGGAGTAACATAATGCCTGGTAACTCAGTGGAGTAACTGAATGCCTGGTAACTTAGTGGAGTAACTGAACGCCTGGTAGCTCAGTGGAGTAACAGAACGCCTGGTAGCTCAGTGGAGTAACATAATGCCTGGTAACTTAGTGGAGTAACTGAATGCCTGGTAACTTAGTGGAGTAACTGAACGCCTGGTAACTCAATGGAGTAACATAATGCCTGGTAGCTCAGTGGAGTAACTGAACGCCTGGTAGCTCAGTGGAGTAACATAATGCCTGGTAGCTCAGTGGAGTAACTGAACGCCTGGTAGCTCAGTGGAGTAACTGAACGCCTGGTAGCTCAGTGGAGTAACTGAACGCCTGGTAGCTCAGTGGAGTAACAGAACGCCTGGTAACTCAATGGAGTAACATAATGCCTGGTAACTCAGTGGAGTAACTGAACGCCTGGTAGCTCAGTGGAGTAACTGAACGCCTGGTAACTTAGTGGAGTAACTGAACGCCTGGTAGCTCAGTAGAGTAGCTCAATGATTGAAGCTAAGGCTGTCCTTCCTACTATCTCATGCTGACTAGCAGTCCATATATACGTACCAGGTCAAGCGACACCGTTTCACTCAATTTACTTTTTCTCTTCTCTTACCAACACAAAAAGAGGAAAGCTCCTTGTGTATGAAGTACCATTACCAGAGCTGGTGATAATGGTGCGAGAAATCTAAATGGTTTGATTTACATGGTAATGCATGTAGAAATTAATGTCTTCTTTTTTCCTTCCATTATTCCAGCATGTGCAAGAGTTCTCTGCTCTGGAAATGTCCGTGCTCTTGTGTGAACCTGCAGACGAGACGCAGAGTGTATGTCAGGGAGGTATGTGTGTGTACACACCCCGATGAAGGGGGAGTGTGTGTACAGACAGAACACCTTCGACCTCCTCTCTCCTGCCTGTGTTACCTCAGGGGAAGAACCAGCTGCCCTTACTCTCTATTAGCACAGGGTTTGAATCACAAGGAGAGACACATACCACCGCAGCCATGGGGACGCAGGTAAGATCTGATAAAGAAACAGTGCCGTCGGGTTAAGGGAGGTTAGTACTATGTCGTAAATTGAGTTTTTGTTGCTCAGAGTAGATATGTTGTCTCAGCGTCAGCAGTGGGTCACTTGGGGGAACTGCTTTTATCTTTGAGATTGTGAGTCTGATAGAGGTGACTGCAATGACTTACCCTCTTTACGTATGTGGTTCTTTTGTTAAATCTCCTGAAATAGATTACAGATCGATCCCCACACGTTTTGTTTCTGCTGCATGTGATCCAACACACTGCAGACGGCAGTCAGGAATGTATTAGAGACACATATGCAACATAATGAGAAGAAGCACTGTACTTTCTGTGTTTGTCAGTGAGAATTTTAATTTAGAGGTGAGCCGGAAATGTTGCAATAACAAGTTCAGTCATGTGTGCACATGCATCACATCTGCTGACACTTTAATATACTCATATTGGCTTCCTTCTGAAACATATCCTGGAAAAGTATTGAACCTGCAAAAAATGGAATGTTTCTTGTACACAGAAAAAAGATTTGTCATGTTTTTGTATTTTCCACAAAAATATTTTCAATGAGAAGCATTATCCGTCTGGCTCTTGCTTTGGCAAGAGCTAAAGCAATTCCATGCTGTTCTGAGAGAGCAAAATGTGCCAAATAACTGTGGATAGGGAACTCTGGCAAATTCGTTTCGGTTTTCAGTACTTTTCCTCCTGCAAGCATCTGGTTCTGCTATTGTTCCCAACCGCCCTCCTTCCCTCTGCTTTAAGAGACCCAAAGTTGAGCATTCTCTTCTTGGCTTTCGTGCCACGGTATTAAATCATTATTGCTCAACCATCCTTTATTATGTTACAAACTGGATGAGGAAGTCACTTCATTTTAAATGTATTATCATTTCCTTGGGTGCGTTGAATGTGTGGTG